AACGGACGAAGGACGAGCTTGTTGGGGAGCCGCACGGCCAGACCATGGAGACGCACGGCCGTGCACTTAGGGATGGCAATGGGTCGGGTTGGGTCGGGTTTTGCCAAACCCAAACCCAAACCCATGGGTTTATCTTTGAAAAAAACCCGGGGTAAAACCCACCGGGTTTGAAAAACTCAAACCCAACCCAACCCGTTGGGTATCCGCGGGTTCATGGGTACCCACGGGTTTTGTCGTAAAAAATTTACAATTACAAGTTCTTATCAAAATTAAAGTCAAATATCAATCTCTCAATATAAATTATCCATATATAAAACACCATTCTAGAAAATTCAAGCAAATCACAAATTAACTATACAAATTGTTCAACACCAATCTAGAAAACTCATGAAAATTGAAGCAAATCACAAATTATCCATAAATAACATGTTTAATTGAAAGCTTCTTTCTTTCAATTAAGTTTCTTTAGTCTCCACTCCATAACATCAACTTCATTCTACACAATTAAAAAGAAAAAATTAGACATGTCTCCACAAACATAAATAAGAATAGTTATTTAGAATACTAAATATACCGAAAAAATTAATTATATTAGTGGGCGGGTACCCACGGGCCGGGTTTACCTAAACCCAAACCCAACCCAACCCGGTGAATAGTGAACGGGTTTAAACCCAAACCCGGCCCAAAACCCGTCAACACGGATTTTACCCGCGTTGACCGGGTTGGGTCGGGTGGGTACCCATGGGTTCGGGTTTTGTTGCCATCCCTACGTGCACTTGCACCATATGGCCTTGCGCCTCATGCCGAGAGCTTGCACGGGCAGAGCAGAGAACCGCACGGCCGTGCAACATACAAACCTGGCCGTGCGGGTTGGTGCGAGAGCTTTCACGGGCACAATCCAGATGTGCACGGCCGTGCGCCTGGCCGTGCAAGGTGGATGAAGGCGATTAAGTGAAACGGCGCGTTTTGAGGGTGCACGGCCAGAATGGTGATGTGCACGGCCGTGCACCCTGGCCGTGCAAGTCGGGGAAACCCGGTTTATAAGCAGATTTCAGCCAAATTGAGGGGGGATTCGAGTTTTAGAGAGACAGAGTGATTCCTAGAGAGAGAAAGCGACGAACAAGAGCCTCCAAGTGCCCTAGATCGATCTTCAACACCATTGGAGCTTGGTTTGAGCTTGGAGAAGTGCCGATTCAACGTCCAGGAGCAGAAATCCATCTTCACAGTATGATTTCCGCGACTGATTCTGCTTTTGCTTCTCTCTCCATGGAGTAGTTCTCCCATTCATCTGGGTGTGGGAAACCCTAGTTCTGTATGTTAGGTTTGATTGTATGAACCCAAGTATTGATTCTATGATTTGATTATATTCGATTGAGGTTTGAATGATTGAATGACTTGAATCCTGATCAAATTCCTGTTGTTTCTGCTTTAACCTAGAATGATAATATCTGCCTAGGTTAATAGAGTATCCTTGATTGAAGGTAGTGAATTGGTGACTTTAGTCGATGAGCCAATCACTATTCTGTACCGAATTCCATTCGATAGTGGAGGTTTTGTTCATAGGGCCTCAATCTGTTTACTCCGGTGTAGGTTAGTCGCCAGCTAGAGACTCAGATTGAGAGGGTCTGAAGACCTTTAGTCGAGACTTCAGACTGATTAAGAACCTTCCGCAGTATAACTTTCATAGAAATCGAACTTGGCAATTACAATCCGGCTTAACTGCAGACTAGGGGGAACCATATCCGGGTGACCTCTCTTAACCTGAATACAACCGTTTTAGTTACTTTGCTTGCTTGTTAGTTTAGAACTTCACTAAAGTTTCATTGCTAGATAATACGAATTCACTGAGTAGTCATCACATCTAGGACCCGGGTTGACATTAAAACCCAAACCCGCTATACTACGCTTTAGGAAGTGGTTACACTTGGCCAATTTCTAGAGTGACAGTAACAGCGAGTCAATCGTCGTACTGTTTTGCTGGTAATAATTCTTGTTTTTGTGGGTCTATCCCTCCTCTCTTTGTTAACCTTTCGAATGATCTCCAAGTCAGCAAAATCAAAGAAAAATCCATCTGCGGAAGATCCAAGATTACCCAATTTCATAAGGGTCTCTTACAGAGACCTTCACAGAGTAACTGGTGGATTCTCCTCAGAGTACTTAATTGGCTCGGGCGGGTTTGGCATGGTCTACAAAGGGAAGCTGGATGAAATCAACCCACCAGTAGCTGTTAAAGTGCTGAAGCTGGAAAACAGGGATGCTTACAAGAGCTTGGCAACAGAACTAAATGCATTGAGAAGCATTAGACATCGGAATCTTGTAGGGGTTATGTCATATTGTTCCAGTTTGGACCACAATGGTGATGAATTCAGAGCTCTAGTCTTCGAATACATGAAGAACGGAAATTTGGATAAGTGGCTGCACCCTATGGACGGCTCCCCCAAACTGAGCCTTGTCCAAAGGCTTGACATTGCAGTAGATGTGGCATCTGCCCTGCATTATCTTCACGACCTCTGTGAAACTCCAATCGCTCACTGTGATTTGAAGCCGAGTAATGTGCTTCTCGACGAAGACATGGTTGCCCATTTGAGCGATTTCGGCATTTCCAGAATTCTTTCAACCAAGGATACAACGTTATCTGGAACAAGCACCATTGGTATCAAAGGAACAGTTGGTTATACTCCTCCAGGTGAACAAAATTCTGAACATTTCCAGTCTTTCGTACATCTATAAGTTCGTGAAAGCATATGTATTTTGGATACTTACTAAATGTGGTTTCACCTCTTCGCAGAGTATGGAATGGGCAGTGCAGCATCGAAAGAAGGTGATGTGTACAGCTTCGGAATTCTACTGCTGGAGTTGTTTTCTGGGAGAAGACCCACGGACCACTTGTTCGGGGAGAGTCCGAATCTTCGAGACTTCATGATAGCAGGGCTGCCCGATACGATATCCAGAGTAGTGGATCCAGTGCTCTTCCTCGGTGGAGACATGACTGAAGCAGTGGAGCAAGATGGAGGCGACGAGATCACAGAAGTGGTAGAACTGCAACACAGAGAGAGTAACTTTAAAGAGGCGACCTTAATGAGGTCTATTCAATACCACGATTGCATAGTTTCACTTGTCGAGAGAGGTCGTAAATTTGGGCATTCGGGCCTTCACTGATCTAATATGTGAGCAACCAAGCACTGTCGGTGGGGGGGGGGGGGGGGGGGGGGGGGGGGGAACAAATATGTATTGTCATAATAAACTAGTACGACTCACTTACAGAAGTTGGAGAATCTAAGCACCTGAGAGGGAAAATTCCAAGCAGCATTTGGAACTGCTAGAGCTTGCAGTATCTCTATTTGCAGAGAAAACTTGTTCAACGGTGCCATCCTTCCATCTATAGCTTCCTTGAAAAGCATTTAAACAACTTGATGGCCAGGTGCCGACTGTAGTATGCTTTGCGGTGGTATATTGAGTATCCATCTTCCTAAATGCACAACTAAACCTCCCAAGGACGCTATCAATCATTATACAGTTTTGTTGCTAGCAGACATAGCATAAAGAAATTGGCAGAATCAAATATTATCAGGGGTTAGAAGGCATCACATAAAAAGATAGGTAGAGCTCTCTGATTCAAGTGTAGTATAGATTTTCAACCAAAGAAGTACCAGAATCTCCTTAAGCTAAAAGAAAAGTGCATTTATTATGAGTCTCTGAAGAGCGTATTCTGAAAGCAGGAAAAAGCAGTTACATGTAACAACACAAACATAAGGCTACAAAAGACAGAGAGAGGCGAGAGCAGTAAACCAAGCAATTACTTGTATGAACCTCTAGGAGCTCGTACTTCCACCTCGGATTTAATGTGAAAATGCAATTTATTTTGCATCAATCATTCTCACTTCCAATCATCTCTCCCTCTTATTGCTGTAAGAATGAAAGGCATGCTTAGGAGCGATTAAGTTTCGAAAGTGGCAACAGTGATATGGAACTTCTACTCTAGGAGATGGGTTGATTTGCAAGTACAGAAAGTTGACGTCTGCTTCAAGTATATCTTAACTAATCATCTGAAGAGATAATGGCACCAAAAGTCATTGAGTAATTTTCGAGATTTCAAGACCAACTTTCCTCACTCAGGAATCAAGACAGTCAGACCAATTCGACTAAGAAGACCAAAGCAGATACCTTCATACCATAATCAATCACTCAATCAGTATACGGAATTCAACACTCCACATTCGATTATGCAGGAATTGTACAAATTCTGAAACTACATGATCTCTTCATATGCATATGCAAATGGGATTCAGGGGATTACCTCGTCAAACACGTGGAAAGCCAGGGGAATTCTTCTATTAGGTTATTGAGCAAGATGATGACACGCCTGGAGTTTTTAGAAAGAGGGCTAGGGTTCCGGCTCTAGGACGTCTACTACACAACCAGTCAACCACGCTCCTTCATTTGTAAGCTCTTCTGAAAGCAAAGGCGAAGTGGTTAAGCCCTTCTGAAGTGAAGACACGAAATTGATGGTGGTCAGTAAAGGACTTCGAATTCCACCTTCCCCGATGGTGAAAAAAAAAACCAAATTGACGGCGATAGGGCTTCGTTTTCCCCATTTATATTATGAACCCTCGAAAGCTTCCGCCTGAGCTTCCATCGATTTCCACTTATCTGAACTCACGGCGGCTAGCCATCAGTCTCGAAGAAGAAGAAGAAGAAAGGGCGGCGCTCGAATTTGAAAGGGGCAGAACTTTACGGTGTGCCCGCCCGCGCCAAACCAAACCCGTGAAACCACTCCATGGAAAAAACTTGCGCAATAACTCCGTTGAACGGAGGGCGAGGGGCGGTAGCTATGGAGTGGTAGGTTTGTTCCGATGCAAATATTTGTACCGTAAAAAGTCACATCCTTTTGACAACCAGGCAAAATTCTGTGACTTGCAAGTTGCAACGTCCCCCCATTCTCCTCTACTTAACCCCTCCCTGCCTCCATCCTTCCCTCCTTTCCACCAATCAGTCGTCAGCTCCAGAAGAGACCAAAAGAAGTTTTTTTTTTTTTTGAAGTGAGCACGACGATGACTTAGCCAGCATCGGCTGCCATATTCGTCTCCTCCAATAATTTACTCTCACTAAACACTTCTATCTCCCTCTCTCTCTTTCTGTCACTGGGTTGGGAGAAAATGGCTCCGGTGGGAGTTTTGGTGGGAAGCGGAGGGCCGGTGAAGGACTTCGGCGGCAAGATAACGAGCTCCGTTGTGGTCACTTGCGTCGTTGCCGCCTCCAGCGGCCTCATTTTTGGATATGACATTGGGATTTCAGGTAATTTTTGTGACTTTTTTGTGAATTCAGTGTTGATTATGTCTGTTCATTTCATTGTAATGTGAACGAAACAGAGCAAAATATAAAGAAGTAAAGTTTCTATCTCTTTGCACCAATTGGTTAGGATGTTTTTTTTTTTTGGCATAATTGGTTAGGATGTTTAGTGTCCTTTGTATTGTAATAATTCTTTAGAGAAAAGAAAGCAACCATTTTTAATTAATAAATTTACAAAAATTCGCTAATATGTTTGCGTAGACTAATTAATCTATGATCTGGACTGTTGTAACGGTGTTCGGTTTAGTTCTGACTCATAAATCATAATGACTGGTATAATTTGTCATTAGCAACGGGGTAAGAAAAAAATTAATATTGTAACATGCAATGTAATTTGTTACGTTTTTTTTTTTTCCACCATATAGCAGAAACGAGCGTTTCTTTACTATGTTTAATCGGACTAAATTTAATTAGATTATTAGATAGCTCCAATCGGCAGTAGTTCTATCTGTTTTTTTTCCCCCTAGCTAATCAAGTAAATAATAAATGCATACAAGCAAAAATAGTTTACCACATGTAGTAGTAGATAGCTAATAATGCAAGTCATGAATGTGTTCACAACCAGAATGCATATTTATGATTTGTTGACATTCGTATTTTAACTAAAATAAACAATTGAATTTAATATTTAACTTTATTCTATAGCAAAAAAAATAATATTTAATTTTTCCTTGTGGTGCCGAATTGACAGGTGGCGTCACAACAATGGAGTCATTCCTGAAGAAGTTCTTCCCGTCAGTTTTGCGGAAGGCGGCAGCGGCGGAGACCAACATATACTGTCAATACGACAGCCAACTCCTGACGGCATTCACTTCCTCGCTTTACATTGCAGGATTAGCCGCATCACTTGTAGCCAGCCGCGTCACCGCCGCCCTCGGCCGCAAGAACACGATGGTGCTCGGCGGCCTCACTTTCCTCGCCGGCGGCGCGGTCAACGGCGGGGCTGTCAACGTCGCCATGCTCATCCTGGGCCGCATCTTGCTCGGCATCGGAGTCGGCTTCACTAACCAAGTACGTAACAAAAGATCATATATATACTTTGTCGGAAAAAGGGTTGGTGGCACATAAACAGCCACGTCACCTAACGGTCCTAACTAACGGAATTGTTGCGTTATTCACATAATTTTATTGTTATTTTAACAGTAATGAATAATGATTATTCAATGCAACTCATTTTTACAAGAAAAATTGAAAATCAAAATTTTATTTCACCAAATATAACTAATACAAATTATTATAGGAAAAAAAGAGAAAGAATTTTAGAATTCTATTTGCGTGAATAAGCATCGAATTACATGATTAGCAATTTCCCTCTGATTTTAAACAGGCGGCGCCGCTCTACCTGTCGGAGGTGGCACCGGCGAAATGGAGAGGAGCATTCAACACAGGTTTCCAGTTCTTCATCGGCATCGGCGTCGTAGCCGCCAACTTCATAAACTTCTTCCTGTCAAAGCACCCGTGGGGCTGGCGACTCTCCCTGGGCCTCGCCGTCGTCCCCGCCGCCGTCATGACCGCCGGCGCCGCACTCATCTCCGACACGCCCAGCAGCCTGGTGGAGCGCGGCCGGCTGCGGGAGGCCAAGCAGTCCCTGGCCCGAATCCGCGGGGCCAATGCCGACGTGGAGGGCGAGCTGGACGACCTGGTCAAATCCGTCGACGTGGCGAAGGCGGCCAATCAGGAGCCGTTCGTGACGATACTGGAGCGGCGGTACCGGCCCCACCTGGTGATGGCGGTCTTGATCCCGTTCTTCCAGCAGGTGACGGGGATTAATATAATCGCGTTTTACGCCCCCGTTCTGTTTCAGTCGGTCGGGTTCGGGAAGGACTCGGCGCTGATCGGGTCGACGATTTTGGGAGTGGTGAATCTCGGGGCGATTCTGGTTTCCACGGCCGTGGTTGATCGTTATGGCAGGAGGTTCTTGTTCATGGCTGGTGGCCTCCAAATGCTCATTTGCAAGGTAAGTTACATTCATGTATATTTGTTCTGACAAAAAAAAAAACCTAAAAAATTCTCTCAATATCATACTTATCGAAATATTTTATTCAAAACATTAGAGTTTAGCATGATTTACTCGAGTTTCAAGTGAATTATGTACTGGTTCGCTTGAGTAGAGAGCGAACGTGTGTGAATTGCGACAGACTTAAGCAATTCCTCTTTTTGGAATTGAGAAAGGGTCTATTGGGGTAGCATTTTTTTGGGAAAAACACAGACCTAACTTTCTTTGGTTGTTTGCAGCTTCGAAGATTTATCTTATAACCGAGCAAAAACTGAAATTGTTTGAAGTTTCGAGCTAAGTTAGTGGTAGGTTTGGGACTGTTGGAGAGTGGCTCGCTTCGATCTGGCGAGATTCAAATGGTTCGAGGTTGGTTTGCTTTGTATTTATCACGATCCAGATGGCTCGAAAATGATTCGCTTAAATCGAACGCGATCTAATTGATTTGAGGTTGATTCGCTTCCATATCACGCGATCCGGTGTAGATAGCTTCTATGTCGAGCGTGTAGGGATGGCAAAAATATCCGTAACCGTGGATATCCCCCCGAATCCGACCTTGTCGGGTAGGGTTAAGGACTTTTAGCGGGTACGGGTAAAACCCTAACCCGAATATTGCGAGTAATGGGTGGGCATGGTTTTCTCACTATCCAACCCGAACCCGCCCGATATACACATGCATATGTATTTTGTCTAGAAATAATTATTATTTTTCTCTAATATATTTTATATTTAGCATATAAATATATAATCTTTTTCATGAAATTGTGTTGTTTTAATAAATTTTCTTCATTCTAGTGAATTATTGTCATACTTTTTGCCTTAGGTAATGTGAGAATACATATGAATAATAACAATATTGGTTGAAGTTATAAAGAGAAACTATTACCCATGGATAACCGTGGATACCCGAAACCCGAACGGGTATGGGCATGATTTCGATTTTTTACCCGTTTCTTATGTGGGTATGGATATGGATAAAACCCGAACTACTTTGAGTAGGGTACCCGGCCATTGCCATCCCTACGAGCGTGCCAGTGCATAAATCGCTGAACACTGAAAAAATATTTTTTTTGTAAGCATTGGAATGGGGGAATTTTTTATAGTAAATAGACGGAAGTACTTTTTCCAACAAAAAAAGAAGTAGTTCATTTTAATTTGCTTGATATTATTTTGGCAGCTGGCGGTGGCAGCCGTGCTGGTCGCCGGGACGGGAGTTTCAGGGACGGAGCACATGAGCAAAGCACTGGCCGTCGCCGTGCTGGTCTTGCTGTGCACCTACGGCGCCGGGTTCGGGTGGTCGTGGGGCCCGCTCAGCTGGCTGATCCCCAGTGAGATCTTCCCGATCAAGATCAGGACGACGGGGCAGAGCATAAGCCTGGCCGTGAATTTCGCCACCACTTTCGTGCTGTCGCAGACTTTCCTGACCATGCTGTGCCATCTCAAGTACGGCGCCTTCCTGTTCTACGCCGGCTGGATTGCCACCATGACGCTCTTCGTCGTGTGTTTCTTGCCGGAGACGAAAGGGATTCCGCTTGACTCGATGCAGGGGATTTGGGAGCAGCACTGGTATTGGCGCCGGTTTGTTGCGACGACGACGACTACCTGAGTAGTAGTAATAGTACTGTTTCTGACAACAGAGTGTGTTCTACCAGAGAATGGAATCATTGTATGTATTGAGATTTGAGATACATAATAATGTATAGCATTGAGATAGTACTATTGGCGCTTGTGATTTGTGGTAGATGAATGACACATAATGGTGTATTACATATGTATAGAAATGCTTAGTAAATCAATTAGCTAAATCTTATTTTTCAAATGACCGCTTAAATCTTTGAAAAAATGTGAAATTAAATATACATTATTTTCGATGTATTATACATGCATACATTCCGTGATTAAAACAAGTCAAACGTATACTCAGAATACCGTACAAAAAAATGTATACTCAGACTACAATGTTTAGAATGGGGAATTCCAAACGAGTCGTATCGATTATCTTAAAAGTAGAACAGAGTAACAGACACACATTATTAGAGCATCCACATTGGTATTGCATTCTCAATTGCAAAATGACATGACATAGGTGTTTGCAATTGAAAAACCAATTGCATTGATATGGCTACCAATTGCATATTTGCAAACTTGCAACAAATGCAATTCTATATGCAAGTCAAAAAAGCCCAAAAAAATGGGGATTTTGTATTTTATATTATTTTCTTTTCTCTTTTATTTAATTTTCTATAATTTAAACATAATATTTAATTATATTTGCAATTGCAAGTTAATTGCGTTGATGTAGGTGAATAAAATGGATGTGACGTGGATTGAAAAAATTTGAGTTGACAATAAAAAACACAAATACAATTTCTTTTGCAACTTCTAGCGTCAACAACTCTCTTATCCAGAACTGCAATCGGAGACAGATCGAGCATTTGGTGGTTCGTGTTTTGATGGTGAGCGATTTGGGGTACATGGAGGAAGTGGGCTTTCGTCCCGATGCTCCCACCAGGCCACCATCAATCCATTCATTGGAGATCTTTGGGGAGCGGTAGCATCGTTCGTTCATGAGGTTGAATAGGGGACGAGGGTTTCGTTCGACATTGCGAATAAAGTTTCTTTCATGGTTGCGCTCTTATTTTACGATAAAATACATGTTTTCTTGTGAGCCAGGTCTTGTTTCCACACATTAAAGTCCAGAGAAGGCGTGAGTTCCCCCAATTTACGACCGGTCCGGCCACTCCCTGGCTCGACGGCGAATGGTATTTGCGGTAAAAGCATCTCTAACGCACTCTAGCCTATGGTAGACGTCCGCCGTCTTCATCCGTTGTGTCGCCGATTCCAGAGAACAAGCTATCCCGATTTCGACGACCGACTTCATGCAATTGAGGTATTGACTCGACCTCATTAAGCTCGCCTCTCTGTAGTTAATCTCTCTGCGTTGCAGTTCGACCAATTCTGTGATTGCTTCACCTCCGCATCTCTCCGCCGCCTCAGTTATGTCTCCACCGGGAAACAGCACTGGATCCAGCACCGCAAATACCGTATCTGGCAGCCCCGCCGTCATATAGTCTCGAAGATTTCGACCGTCTTCGAACAATTGGTCGGTGGGTCTTTTCCCGGAGAACAATTCCAGCAGTAGAATTCCGAAGCTATACACATCGCCTTCTTTCGACGCTGCACTGCCCATTCCGTACTCTGCAAAAAGGTGCAAAGTAAGTATCCTGTATCCAAAGAACAATTGATTATGTAGACACATGGATCCACGAAGACGTAAATGTGAAAGGAATTTTGCCCACCCGGAGGAGTATACCCAATTGTTCCTTTGATGCCAATGGTGCTTGTTCCCGAGAATGTGGCACCCTCAGCTGAAAGAATCCTGGAAATGCCAAAATCGCTCAAATGGGCAACCATGTCCTCGTCCAGAAGCACATTGCTCGGCTTCAAATCGCAATGCGCGAGTGGAGTTTCGCAGAGGTCGTGGAGATAATGTAGTGCAGATGCCACATCCACTGCAATGTTGAGCCTATGACCGAGACTGAGTTTGTGGGAACCGTCCGTGGTGTGCAGCCAGTTCTCCAGATTTCCATTCCTCATGTATTCGAAAACTAGAGCTCTGAATTCATCGCCATTGTGCTCAGTACTGGAACAGTATGACATAACCCCGACGAGGTTCCGGTGCCTGATGCTTCTCAATGCATTCAGTTCTGCCGCCAAGCTCTTGTAAGCCTTCCTGTTTTCCAGCTTCAGCACTTTCACAGCTACTGGTGGGTCGATTCCATCCAATTTCCCTTTGTAGACAAGGCCGAAGCTGCCAGACCCAATCAAAAACTCTGAAGAGAATCCACCAGTTGCTCTGTGAAGGTCTCTGTAAGAGACCCTTACAAAATTGGGTAGTGTTGGACCTTCCACAAGTGTCTTCTTCTTTGATCTTGATGAGTTTGTGATAATTCGGAAGGTTAATAGGGACAGAAGGGATAGACCAACAAAAACAAGAACTACCAACATAATTGTACGGCGATTGATAGCCTTTGTGGAAGGTTTAGCCGTGCACTTGGGAAGATGGAGATTGAGCACACCACCGCAAAGCATATTGTTCCCCATTAGTGATATGCTACTTGAGTTTGAAAAGATTCCTTCCGTTGGCACCTGGCCGTCAAGGTGATTGAAAGAGAGATTCAGATACTGCAAGAGGTTACTATTTTGAAGAGCCGACGGGATTTCTCCTTGCAAGTTGTTGAGTGAAAGATCGGCTTTTCGAAGGCTTTTCAAGAAAGCTAAAGATGGAGGGATGGCACCGGCTAACGAGTTCCTCTGTAAATAGAGATACTCTAAGCTCTTGCAATCACCAATGGCGCTTGGAATTTTGCCTGTCAGGAAATTATGAGAAATATCCAAAGCATTGAGATTCTCCAGCATCCCTATTTCTGGAGTCAGGTTCCCTGTGAATAAGTTGTGTGACAAGTTCAGTAATTTTGTCAAGGATGGAAGACTGAAAATCTTGCCAGGTATAGATCCAGTGAGAGTATTTCCTGAAATATCCAAGGAAATCAACTGAAGCAATGAACCAAGACCCAAAGGAATAGCGCCTTCGAATCTGTTATTCGAGATGTTGAGTTCAGTCAACTGAGTAAGGTTGCCAATGGAGGGAAGAATTGGACCAGATAGCTGATTTCCTTCTAAATGCAAGCTTTGCAAATAGGGAAACCTGCTAAAGAAAGGAGGAATGGAACCTCCAAAGAGGTTGTATGACAGATATAGGGCATTCAAGTTAACCAACTTCTCAAGTCCAGCAGGAACCGATCCTATTAGTTTATTTTCTGAAACGTCAAGTATGGCAAGCTGGGCGGAGAGGTTTGCTATGGTGCTAGGTAGAGTGCCTCCAAAGTTGTTAGCAGTGATGGACAAAAGTTGAAGCTGACTGCAATTTTGCAACCCTTTCAAGAACTCGAAGTCGTCAGGGGAATAATTGCCGAGATGATTTATCCCAGCTGACAGCCAGAATAGATCTGGCAGATTCCCTATGCAATCGGGAATTTGACCGACGAAATCATTTTTGTTCATGTCCACGAGCTGCAGCTCTGTGGCGTTGCACAATGATTTTGGGATGGAACCGGCAAATTTGTTCTTTGAGATAGCAAACTTCTGGAGTTTCGGTAAAGTGAAGCCTATATCATCCGGTAGACGACCCTCAAACTGGTTCCAAGGGAGGGCAATAATGCTAAGAGTGGTGATGTTGAAGAACGATTGAGGAATGGTACCGATCATTTGGTTTATCCCAAGAGAAATCGAGTACAAGTTCTCCAGAGCACCCAGGCTCTCTGGGATACGCCCCACCAGGTTGAGATAAGCAGCTCCGAAGTCAATCAGCTTCGTCAGGTTCCCCACCGATTGGGGAATCTCTCCTGTCAGGTTGTTTGTTCCAACCCTCATGACTCGGAGCTTTGACAAAGACCCAATCTCCAGAGGGATCCGCCCTTGCAGATTATTCAATCCCAGCCTCATGATACGGAGCTCATAACAGCGTGTCAGGTTGTCAGGAATTTCCCCAACGAAAGAGTTGGACGAGAAGTTGATTTCTCGAAGCTGAAGTAGGTTCCCTATCTCCTGAGGAATCTCCCCGTGGAAGGTGTTGTTTTCCAGGTTGATGGCCTGGAGGAAGCTGAGGTTCCCAATGTGCGGAGGCAGAGTGCCCACCAGGTCCTGTTTCTTCAGCACCAGAGATGTGACTCTCTGCGAGCCATCATCACCATGTCTGCCGCAGGAAATGCCCACCCAGCTGCAGAAATGGACTGAATCGTTCCAGGATCGGAAAACCCCATGTGGATCGCTGGTTATGCCGTTCCTGAACTCGAGCAGCGCGAGCCTGTCGGTCTGGTTGTTGGTTGAAGCAGCAGCTGTGACTGCTTGCTGTGGGTCTCTGAGTGCAGAGAGATGAAAGAGGCTGATAACCATAACTAGATTGGAGATCATAGAAAGTGGTTTACAAGTTCTGAACGACATTCTTGTTGATCTTGGAAGAAGGATTGTTTGATGTTTGACGGCAGGACATCAAAGCCTTGTACCGTTTATATAGCCGTGAGGTTTACAGGAGCTACAGTTCTTGGCTGCTGTTCCCGCCTTAATAAAATGTGTGTAAGTCCCATTCCATTCCATATCAATCATAAGTCAAGTCAGTACTGGAGATAAGGCCAATTGGAATATTTTATAACAACTTTATGTAGTAAGCTCCCGTATTCAACTCTTCAACAGTTAAAATTTTCTGAACTTCTAATTTTGTCTCCTGCTTGACTTAGTCCCTTGAGTTGCAATCCGCCATTTCTTGTTATGTTTGCCCCTTCAGATTTTTACAAGTTACAACCCAATTTGGGAATGAGTCAAGGAGAGAGGACTTTGACTTTCCCATGGCTGCAATCCGCCAAGGGCAGTTTCTCTTCGTGATTTATTTTATGGGTGCAAATGATGGTTGATGGATGAATGATCTTCGCACACGTGATTAACATAATGAAATATAGATCATAAAGGGATTTAGGAGAAGTGGGAGATTGGATTAAGAACATTAGAGATTTGAGAGATGAATAAAAATTTACGCACATAAAATTCGAGTTGGTGAGGAGGCTAACTCCTTGTAAATTGCAAGTTTGGTCACTTGCCACTAAAATTAATTTATTCCATTCGCAGTCACTCAAATTAGTTTAACGGTTCAAATTTGGGTACTCTCCGTTAACTTTATGTGACGTGGCAGGTGGCCGTTAAATAAATGACATATCAATTAAAAAATTAAAAAATAATAATATTTAATCTTTTCATTATTCCACCTCATTATCCCAACCCATACAAAAATAAAATAAAAATTAAACTAAATTTATTTTTAGCCATCGTCACCATTGCAACTAACATGCTGTGTCGGTGGGAGTAGTGTAGCTGGGGAACGCCAGTTTGTCGGAGCCCCGAGGCAACCACATGAAGTATTCCAAGTTCGCCGTCCAACAGTCCGCTTCTACTTCGACAGTGAAGCCATCGCCAACCTGGTACTCCCTTCCTAGCATAACCGGGATGCTTGCAGCGACGGCGAGGGTCGTCGCCGCCGCCGCCGAGTCTGTATGAGAGCGATTCAGTTGCAACGGTGACAAGGGCTAAAAGTAGAGTAGTTTTATTTTTGTATGGGTTGGGATAAGGAGGTGGAAAAAATGAAAAAATAAATATATATTTTTTTTAAGTGCTACGCCATTTATTTAACGGTCAATTCTTAGAGTCGACTGTCACGTTAGATAAAGTTAACGGAGACTAACGGAGAGTGACCAAACTTGAACAGTTGAACTAATTTGAGTGACTGCGAATGGAATAAATTAATTTTAGTGACAAACATAAACTTTTTAAGTAATTTCAGTAACCAAACTTATAAGATACCCTTATCAACTATTATATTTTATAAATTTATTACAAAATTTGTATGTAATTTTAAGGGAAGAATTGCCGTGTATTAAGGTAGCTCTTCATTACTGCTAATCATTACCACATGTATAAAATAAACTCCTGATAATTAATTTCTCAAATTCTCGTTTTGTTGCACACATTTTTTTTTTATAATCGTTTTGTTGCACACAAGGTTGTCAACCCGCAGGTTGACCCGGACCCGGTCGAGCTAGTGGGTCAAGGGTTAATGGGTCAACCGTTTTAGCCCGGTTTGGCCCGGAAATATGGAAAGAGTCATTATATTGTACTTATCATCATAAATTATATAAAAACTTATTCAACATATGAGTTATAACATATAATAGTACACCAAAATAACATATCGTACTTAGATCCAACATATATTGAAAATTCACACACACTTATATAACATAAATATTCAAATGTTCAACTTAGGATTTTAAAGATTGAGTTAGGTGAAAAGAAAAATCGGAAAATAGGCGCATTTCGCAAAACTAAAGAAAAAAGACACAATTTGATCTCCAACCCGGTATCTTATAGTGGTCGGCCCAGCAGATGCGTGCGGCCCGTTTTTCTCACCGAGTCAGGGTCAAACTGGGTCGACCCGCGGGTCATTTGGTTGCACACATTAAAGTTGGGTGATGGCGTGAGTTTCCCCAATTTACGACCGGTTCGGCCACTCTCTGGGTCGACGGCGAATGGTATTTGCGGTAAAAGCATCTCAAATGCACTCTAGCCTGCGGTAGACGTCCGCCGTCTTCATCCGTTGCGTCGCCGATTCCAGAGAACAAGCTATCCCGATTTCGACGACCGACTTCATGCAATTGAGGTATTGACTCGACCTCATTAAGCTCGCCTCTCTGAAATTACTCTCCCTGCGTTGCAGTTCGACCACTTCCGTGATTTCATCACCTCCGCCTATCTCCGCAGCCTCGGTTATGTCTCCACCGGGGAAGAGCAGTGGATCCATTACCTCGGTTACCATATCTGGCATCCCCGCCATCATATAGTCTCGAAGATTTCGACCGTCTTCGAACAACTGGTCGGTGGGTCTTTTCCCGGAGAACAATTCCAGCAGTAGAATTCCGAAGCTGTACACATCACCTTCTTTCGACGCTGCACTGCTCATTCCATACTCTGCAAAAAGGTGCAACCACATATTTAGTAAGTATCCAAAGAACAATTGATTATGTAGACATACGTGTTGAAAGAATTTTGCCCACCTGGAGGAGTGTACCCAACTGTTCCTTTGATACCAATGGTGCTTGTTCCTGACAATGTGGCACCCTCAGCTGAAAGAATCCTGGAAATGCCGAAATCGCTCAAATGGGCAACCATGTCTTCGTCGAGAAGCACATTGCTCGGCTTCAAATCACAGTGCGCGAGTGGAGTTTCGCAGAGGTCATGGAGATAATGTAGTGCAGATGCCACATCGACTGCAATGTTGAGCCTTTGACCGAGACTGAGTTTGTGGGAACCGTCCGTGGTGTGCAGCCAGTTCTCCAGATTTCCATTCCTCATGTATTCGAAAACTAGAGCTCTGAATTCATCGCCATTGTGGTCAGTACTGGAACAGTATGACATAACCCCGACGAGGTTCCGGTGCCTGATGCTTCTCAATGCATTCAATTCTGCCGCCAAGCTCTTGTAAGCCTTCCTGTTTTCCAGCTTCAGCACTTTCACAGCTACTGGTGGGTCGATTCCATCCAATTTCCCTTTGTAGACAAGGCCGAAGCTGCCAGACCCAATCAAAAACTCTGAAGAGAATCCACCAGTTGCTCTGTGAAGGTCTCTGTAAGAGACCCTTACAAAATTGGGTAGTCTTGGACCTTCAACAAGTGTCTTCTTCTTTGATCTTGTTAAGTTTGTGATAATTCGAAAAGTTAATAGAGACAGAAGGGATAGACCTACAAAAACAAGAACTACCGACAAAACTGTACGGCGATTGATAGCCTTTGTGGAAGGTTTAGCTTTGCACTTGGGAAGATGGAGATCGAGCACACCACCGCAAAGCATATTGTTCCCCATTAATGATATGCTACTTGGGTTTGAAAAAATTCCTTCTGTTGGCACCTGGCCATCAAGGTGATTGAAAGAGAGATTCAGATACTGCAAGAGGTTACTAGTTTGAAGAGCCGACGGGATTTCTCCTTGGAAGTTGTTGAGTGAAAGATCGGCCTGCTGAAGGCCTTTCAAGAAAGCTAAAGATGGAGGGATGGCACCGGCTAACGAGTTCCTCTGCAAATAGAGATACTCTAAGCTCTTGCAATCACCAATCGCATTTGGAATTTTGCCTGTCAGGAAATTATGAGAAATATCCAAAGCATTGAGATTCTCCAGCATCCCTATTTCTGGAGTCAGGTTCCCTGTGAATAAGTTGTGTGACAGGTTCAGTAATTTTGTCAAGGACGGAAGACTGAAAATCTTGCCAGGTATAGATCCAGTGAGAGTATTTCCTGAAATGTCCAAGGAAATCAACTGGAGCAATGAACCAAGTCCCAAAGGAATAGTGCCTTCGAATCTGTTATTCGAGATGTTGAGTTCAGTCAACTGAGTAAGGTTGCCAATGGAGGGAAGAATTGGACCTGATAACTGATTTCCTTCTAAGTGCAAGCTTTGCAAACTCGGAAACCTGCTGAAGTACGAGGGAATGGAACCTCCAAAGAGGTTATATGACAGATCTATGTAATTCAAGTTGACCAACTTCTGAAGTCCAGCAGGAACAAATCCTACTAGTTGATTAATGGAAACGTCAAGTATGGCAAGCTGGGCTGAGAGGTTAGCTATGGTGCTAGGTAAAGTACCTCCAAAGTTGTTAGTAGTAATGACAAAACGTTGAAGCTGGCTACAGTTTTGCAACCCTCTCAAGAACTCAAAGTCGTCAGAGGAATAACTGCCAAGATGATTATTCCCAGTTGATAGCCAGTATAGATCTGGCAGATTCCCTACACAATCGGGAATTTGACCCACGAAACCATTTCTGTTCATGTCCACTAGCTGCAGCTCTGTGGCGTTACACAATGATTTAGGGATGGAACCGACAAATTTGTTCTTTGAGACAGCAAACTTCTGGAGTTTCGGTAAAGTGAAGCCTATATCATCGGGTAGCCGACCCTCAAACTGGTTCCAAGGGAGGGCAATGATGCTGAGAGTGGTGCTGTTGAAGAACGATCTAGGTATGTTACCAATCATTTGGTTCATCCCAAGAGAAATCGAGTGCAAGCTGTCCAGACCACCCAAGTTCTCCGGGATGCGGCCCACCAAGTTGAGATAAGCAGCTCCGAAGTCAATCAGCTTCGTCAGGTTCCCCACCGAATGGGGAATCTCTCCTGTTAGGTTGTTGGTTCCTACCCTCATGACTCGGAGCTTTGACAAAGACCCAATCTCCCGAGGAATCCGCCCTTGTAGATGATTCGTTCCCAGCCTCACGATACGGAGCTCATAACAGCGAGTCAGGTTGTCAGGAATTTGACCAATGAAGGAGTTGGACGTTAGGTTGATTTCTCGAAGCTGAAGTAGGTTCCCTATTTCCTGAGGAATCTCCCCGTGGAAGGTGTTGTTTTCCAGGTTGATGGCCTGGAGGAAGCTGAGGTTCCCAATGTGCGGAGGCAGAGTGCCCACCAGGTTCTGTTCCTCCAGCATCAGAGATGTGACTCTCTGGGAGCCGTCATCACCATGTCTGCCGCAGGAAATGCCCACCCAGCTGCAGAAATGGACTGAATCATTCCAGTACCGGAGAACTCCTTGTGGGTCGCTGGTTATGCCGTTCCTGAACTCGAGCAACGCGAGCCTGTCGGTCTGGTTGTTGGTTGAAGCCGCAGCACTGGATGCTTGCTGCAGGTCTCTGACTGCAGAGAGATGAAAGAGGCTGATAACCATAACTAGATTGGAGATCGTAGTAAGTGATTTACAAGTTCTTAACGACATCCTTGTTGATCTTGGAAGAAGGATTGTTTGATGTTTGACGGCAGGACATCAAAGCCTTATGCGGTTTATATAGCCATGAGATTTACAGCAGCTACAGTTCTTGGCTGCCGTTGCGTCAGTAATAAAATGGGGAAGTCATTACTGGAAATAAAGACCAACTGGAATAGTTTATGTAGTAAACTCTCGTATTCAACTCTTCACTTTAAAATACTTTCCCTAAAATTCCTGAACTTTTGATTTTAGTCTCCTGCTTTACTTAGTCCCATGGGCTGCAATCAGCCATTATCTTTTTATGTTTGCCACTTCAGCTTTACAAGTCGCAACTCAATCTGGGAATAAGCCGAGTAGAGAGGACTTTGACTTTCCCATGGCTGCAATCCGCCATGGGCAGTTTCTCCTCCTGCATTGTTTTTTATTTGTGCAAATGATGGACGAATGGATCTTGGCATACGTGATTAACGGTAAAGGTTTTTTTTTTTTTGGTATCCTTTGATTGTTTTCTCTTTATATTGAAAAGAAAAAGAATAAAAGAAACGCATAACATCAATTTACACCTTGCCTATCCAAACATTAACAGGAGCAGTTCAGACTTCAGAGTAGTATCGCCGTCCGCCTTCGAGTTCTGAACAATTCCCTGCGGTGGTTAGAATGCCTTGGTGGCCGGCCGTCCACCCGCCTTTTCTGGTCAGACAGAGGTTGCTAGAAAGGTACTTCTGATAGTGTGGAGCTTTCTGGTAACTTCCGCCATTTTCATCCGTTCTTTCGGCGCATCAGCTGAGCACTTCACTCCCAGTTCAAGCAAGGAAATCAAACACTCTTCCACCTTCTTGTCAATTCCGTAAGTTTTTCCAGATACCAGCATTGATGAATCTATTAGCATTGAAAGTTTGGATGGCAATGCGGCCTTGCAAGAGTCGCGTATATTCACACCATCCTTGAACATTTCGTCCGTTGGTCTTTTCCCAGATAGGATTTCCAGCAGAAGGATTCCGTAGCTGTACACGTCCCCTTCCTTCGATGCCGTGGAGCCCGTCCCATATTCTGCAAACCAGGTTAGGGAATTTCTGTCACTGTGCTGAAATAATGAGGTTTGAATGCCGTGGTAGGGTTTCTTTTCTGGAGGCAAATTTGTGGGGAATCATGTTTTTTCCTTACCTGGTGCCGCATAGCCTACCATCCCGCTTAGTCCAATTGTGCTTGCTGTGTTTGTTTGACATGGTGATGAGAGGATTCTCCCTAGACCCAAATCACTCACATGAGCTACCATGTCATGGTCTAGGAGCACGTTGCTTGGCTTTAAACTGCAATGAACGATTGACATTCCGCTAAGATCGTGAAGATAGTACAATGCGGCTGCCACATCTCTAGCAATGTTGAGTCTTTGGAGAAGACTGAGATGGTGATATGTCGTCTTGGTGCCATCATTACTGCAATGCAGCCATTTGTCGAGGCTCCCATTGTCCACAAATTCATAAACTAGAGCTCCAAATGCGTTGCCTCGGTTGTCTGTGCTAGAGCAGTAAGATAGAATCTTCACGAGATTTCGATGCCGGATATTTCGCATTATCTTGCATTCCACCACTAATCTCTTATATGCTTTCTTTTGTTGCAGGTTGAATACTTTGATGGCTACTGGTGCTCTCATTTGCTCCAGTTTTCCTTTGTAGACTGTGCTGATACCACCAGACCCGATTAAAGTTTCAAGACTGTATCCATTGGTTGCCTCATGAATGGCTGTGTAGGAAAGCTTCACAAAGTCGTCCACCAGTAGATCTTCTCCTCGATGGATATGCTTGTTAGATCTTCTCGTCTTGCCACTTAGTAGAAGGCCTATCATTACCAGTACAAGTGCAGATAGAGATGTACTAACAGTGATGACTGTTAACTTCAACTTTGGAGGCCTTCTATTCTTGGTGGTTTTATTTGGGCATTTAGGCAAATGGAACTCTGGAGTACCACCACAAAGCATGGGATTGCCCGACAATGACACAATGCATGCATGGGCAATAGCCCCCTTAGATGGCACTTCACCTCTCAGATTGTTGAAAGAAAGATTCAAAGACTGTAGGCGGATTTGTAGGAGACCTTCTGGGATTTCTCCCTCTAAGTTGTTTCGTGAAAGATCCAATTCCTGAAGCCCTTTCAGAGACGACAAAGCTGGAGGAATAACCGCGTCGAAAGAATTCCCCTGCATATAAAGGTATTCCAGACTTGAGCAACTGCCGATGGTGCTAGGAATTTCCCCTTTCAACTGATTATTAGAGATATCTAACTTATTCACATTTTTCAACTTCCCAATTTCTGCAGGCAGGTTGCCTGTGAGCAAGTTGTTTGACAGGTTCAACAATATGGACAATGAAGAAAGGCTCATTAACTCTCCAGGTATAGCTCCCATGATTCTATTTTCTGAAATATCCAAGGTGCTCAATTGAAGACAATTCCCAATACTTGGTGGAATGTTGCCTTGCAGTTTGTTCTGTGATATATGCAGTTCAGACAACCGACTGAGATTGCCTATAGAGGATGGAATCTGACCTAAGAATTGATTACCATTCAATGACAGTCTCTGCAGATTAGAAATCTGGCCAATATTAGGGATGATGCTTGTCAAGTAGTTATAGGAAAGCTCCAGATCCGCCAGGTTGAAGAGATTCACCAACCCTGCAGGGATAACTCCAGTGACTTGATTGTCCCCAATATACAGTGCGGTGAGCATGGTTGACAGATTCCCCAGAAATTCTGGTAATGGGCCGCCAAAATTATTACTGCTAATACCCACTCGCTTCAGTTGACTGCAATTGCTCAATGACTCTAGAAATGCAAAGTCACCCGTTGAATTGCTTCCAAGATTATTTTTAGCCATGTCTAGCGTAGTAAGACCAGTAAGCTTCCCGAGACAAGTAGGAACCTTCCCTACAAAGTCGTTTCGGTTCATATTCACCAGTTTTAGCCGAGAGACATTGCAGATTGAGTCAGGGATGGTTGCGAAGAATTCATTTCTGGAAATAGCGAATTGTTGCAGGTTGGGCATGGTGTGGTCCATGCTCTCCGGCAAGCGACCACGCAAATGGTTCCACGCAATTGCAAAGCTTTTGATTGATGAAATATTAAACAAGGACAGGGGGACTGAACCAAAGAGCTGATTGCATCCAAGATTAATTGAAGCTAACCTTGATAGCAGGCCGAAGCTTTCTGGAATGGTTCCGGTCAAGTTGTTATATGTAGCACCAAAGTTGACGAGCAACGAGAGGTTCCCCAAGGAAGGCGGGAGCCATCCTGTTAGGTTGTTGTTTCCAACTCTGAGGAACTCAAGCTTTGATAACGAACCAATCTCTGCCGGGATGCTCCCCCATAAGTTATTCGCTTCCAACAACAAGTACTTCAGCTGGCTGCAACGAGTCAGGTTGGTTGGAATCTCGCCTTCAAATGAGTTGAATCTGAGGTCGAGGCACTGGAGTTGAAGCAAGTTTCCAAGTGTTTGTGGAATCTCACCACGAAAACTGTTCTCCGTGAGGTTGATGTATCTAAGAGAAGTAAGGTTGGCGACGTGCGGAGACAGAGTACCCACCAGATTTTGGCCATGGAGATCAAGCGACGTGACTCGCTGGCTAGGAAGCAGATCACACGCAACACCAAACCAATTGCAGAAATGGTCGGAATCGTTCCAAGATTTCAGAGCTCCATCTGGATCACTGCTGATCCTATTTTTGAACTCCAGCAGAGCAAGTCGGTCTGTCTCATTGTTGTTGCCTGAACCATTTGTTTGCAGTGAGGAGTTCAGGAGCAGGAACACGACTATGAAGCCGTCAAGTAACAAGGGAATGGTAGGAAGCTTCCAAATTCTCATTTGAGATTATGAGAACCAGCTACCACAGGTAACACATAATCTTTTCGAGGCTTTGCTGCTTTCAGAATTAATGTGTGAATGAAAATAATATTTGTAGCCTTATTCCCAGAGCGGGCGGCAACAATATTCCACTTCCAAAACAGGCTCGCTCATCACTCTTTGTTACAAACTTACAATGTTGGGTGGCCGGCAAAGAAGCGGATGATGAGAAATTGGCAATGATGAGAAATAAGGACAGCAGAACGAGGAACCTATGAGATGATAATTTTATGTGTTTGAAATATTCCATTTACGACACTTGGCGTGGAATCTTGAACCGAGAGAGATAAAAATTATGGTAATGTTTATTTTTTATTCAAATTTTTTTCAGATTCTTTTATATTATTCAAACTTATTAAAATGTTATTGATTAACTAAATCTTTCGTAATCTATCAAAATATTAGCCATTTTTACGTTATAGTTAATAATTTTATAACTTTTTCTTAGTGAAAATACCAAAATGTTGGAAGGTTAATCTTCATGTGTCTCTTCCAAGTCAGTATCATGTTGCCAAGTCAATATTATTGTCAATATTACTAACAAAATTGCTAACTAAGTTAACATTTGGATAATTCTTAGTATTTCGATAGGTTTGCCTAATAAAAAAGAATCCGAAAAAGGTTTGGATAAAAAATAGACATTACCCTAAAAATTACAAACAAATATTTTTTAATAGGTTTGTTAGTCAAAGGACGGAAAATGGACGAATGCACTATTTTAGGACAATAATGCTCTATTCTAACTTAAGTGGTATAACTCTCCCAATTATGGCAGTTAATATTGGAGGTCATGAGGACTTGAACACATGACCTTAAAGGCAAACCAACTCTAATATAATGTCATAACAAATTGGTCCCAATAACTCGAGTTATTGGGAGAGGTTAATGTATGTTACTTAACCACTTCCTTACACAAAAGGAGGAAAAAAGGCTAGAGTTTCCCACATGAGCCATCTTAGTTTGATGCATTTTTCTTATACATTTATCAAATTCATAGAAATAAAAAAATATATATTATAATATACGATATCAATATCAATTTAGTTCGATATGATTCCATCCTTAACCAAATAATTGTACACCCCTATTTCTTCCGCAAACTTTACATAATCCCACTATTTACCCGGAGAAACATAATAAAGGCAACTCTAGCCTGTGGGAGGATTGGGCTTCCGGCGCTTTGAGCTGTTCAATCAAGCCCTGTTGGCGAAAGTGGCCTGGCGCGTTCACTCGGAGCCGGATTCTTTGCTGGCGCAGATTTATAAAGCAAAGTATTTTCCGCAAGGGACTATATTCACGGCCTCGGCGCGGTCTCGCCCTTCTTGGGGCTGGCAGGGCGTGCTCTTTGGATGCCAGCTACTTCGGCAGGGGATGGCCTGGCAGGTAGGGTCCGGTGAGACTATTCCGTTAATGTCGGAGGGGTGGATCCCGGCACTGCATCCTTCCCCCCCGGTCTTACGAGCAGATGCTCCAGTGGAGGGTACCGAGAGGGTGGCGGATTTGATAGATCCGGATACCGGGGAGTGGTGCCGGCATTGTTTAGATGAGGTTTTCACCCCGGTAACGATCAGAGCTATTCTGCAGATCCCTCTCCCAAGAGAACCCATGCCGGATAAGCTTGTTTGGAGGGAGGATTCCTCGGGGAGTTATACGGTGAAGTCCGGGTATCGATTGGCGGAGAGGTTGTCCCAAAAAACATGGGTGGGTAAGCCGGCGTGTAGTACGATGGATCGGGGATTATGGATAAGGGTGTGGGGGTTACCAATTCAGCCTAAGCTCAAGTTTTTTGTGTGGGAAATCCTGCAGAGAATTTTGCCAACTATGGAGGCATTGCGAGAGAAGAAGGTATTGGTTCTTGCTCGATGCCCGGTTTGTTGGGCGAGCGAGGAGTCGACTGAACATCTCTTCTTCCATTGCCGAGTGGCGCGCGGGTTGTGGGAAGCGGCGGGGCTGGCCGCTGAGTTGGACGCTCTGCCCACTGGGAGTTTTAATATTTTTTTCCGGCGATTCCTGGATCGCGATGCTTTGCCTTCTCGGGTTGTGCGGTTGGTTTGCTGTTTGTGGAGAATATGGAAGGGTCGCAACTCGGTAGCATTTGAGGGGATTCAGACCCTGCCATCTATTCTTCGACAGGAGTTCCTTTTTCAGGTGAATGAATGGCTTCAGGTTCCGCATGATGGGGGGAGAGGTGGTGCCTCTCAGGTTCTGGCGCATCATGTGGAGGTTCCGGCTAGTCAGAGGGCTCCGTTCGGTACTATCTGTTCCTTTGATGGTGCAGTCCGGGAGGGGTCACATGCAGCTGGAGGGATGGTTCTGCGTGATGCGGCAGGGATGGTGTTGGCAGTACGGGGGGTATCTTATAGGGGTCTTCAGAGCCCAATGTTGGCGGAGTTATCTACGCTCCGGGATGCCATCAGGTGGTGCCAGCGCTGGGGATTGGAGACGGTTCTGCTGGAGGGAGATGCGAAGGGGGTGATTGATAAGGTCAACGCTAGGGGTGTTGCTGATGCTTCTGGGGGGGCCATTTTTGAGGAAATTCGTCATCTCCTGTCAGCAGTGCCAGGGTTCAGGATTATGTTTGTGGGTAGGAAGAACAATTGGGTAGCCCATCTGGTGGCTCAGAAAGCCCTGTCTTTGTTTCCTACGGATTGTAATGGGTTTGATTTTCATGCTTGGCTCCGATTGGAGCTTGGTCATATGTAACTTGATTTTCTTGTTAATACAAGCGATCGTTTCGTCAAAAAAAAAACATAATAAAGGCAAAGAAAAAACATCACTCTACATCTGCCTATCGACCACAGTAAACAGAAACCGTTCAGATTATCATCGGTGTCCGCATTCGAGTTCTACAAACAATTCCCTGCGCTGGTTAACATGCTTCGACGCCCAGCCGTCCACCCGCCTTCTCTGGGCATTCAAAGTTTGCTAGAAAGGTACCTCTGATAGTGTGGAGCTTCCTGGTAACTTCCGCCATTTTCATCCTTTCGCTCGGCGATTCAGCTGAGCACTTCACTCCCAGTTCAAGCAAGGAAATCAAACACTCTTCCACCTTCTTGTCAATTCCCTCAGTGTTTCCAGGTATCAGCATTGATGGATCTATCAACATTATAAGGTTGGATGGCCAAGCGGCCTTGACAGAGTCGCGTATATTCATACCCTCCTTGAACATTTCGTCTGTTGGTCTTTTCCCTGATAGGATTTCCAGCAGCAGGATTCCATAGCTGTACACATCCCCTGCCTTCGATGCGGCTGAGGCCGTCCCGTATTCTGCAAACCAGGTTAGGGATTTCTGTCAGTCTTGTCAGTTTTGGATGGCGCCGCGTGGTAGGTTTTTTCTTAGATGCAAATTTGTGTAGAATCAAGTTTTTTCCTTACCTGGTGCCGCATAGCCTACCATCCCGTTTAGCCCAATTGTGCTTGTTGTGTTTGTTTGAGATGGTGAGAGGATTCTCGCTAGACCAAAATCACTCACATGAGCTACCATGTCATGGTCTAGGAGCACGTTGCTCGGCTTCAAACTGCAATGAACGATTGACGTCCCGCTAAGATCATGAAGATAGTGCATTGCAGATGCCACATCTATTGCTATATTGAGTCTTTGGAGAAGACTGAGATGGTGTGGTGTCTTGATGTTATCATTACTGCAATGCAGCCACTTGTCGAGGCTCCCATTGTCCACAAACTCATAAACTAGAGCTCCAAATGCGTTTCCTTGATCGTCTGTGCTAGAACAGTACGATAGGATCTTCACGAGGTTTCGATGCCGGACATATCGCATTATCTTGCATTCCACCACTAATCTCTTATATGCTTCCTTTTGCTGCAGTTTGATTACTTTAATAGCTATCGGCGCTTTCATTTGCTCCAGTTTACCTTTGTATACCGTGCCAATACCACCAGACCCGATCAAAGCTTCATGGCTGTATCCATTGGTTGCATTATGGATGTCTGTGTATGAAATCTTCACAAAGTCGTCCGCCAATGGATCTTCTCCTTGATGGATATGCTTGGTTGATCTTCTCATCTTGCAATTTAGTACAAGGCCTGCTGTTACCGCCAAAAGTGCAGATAGAGATTGCCTATAGAGGATGGAATCTGACCTGAAAGTTGATTTCCACTTAATGATAGTCTGTGCAGATTAGAAAACTGACCAATATAAGGAGGGATGGTGCCTGTCATGTAGTTACTGGAAAGCTCCAGATCCATCAAGTTGAAGAGATTCACCAACTCTGCAGGGATAACTCCAGTTACTTGATTGGCCCCAACATACAGACCGGTGAGTGTGGTTGACAGGTTCCCCAGAAATTCTGGTAACGGGCCACCAAACTTGTTGCTGCTAATACCCACCCGCCGCAGCTGACTGCAATTGCTCAATGACTCCAGAAATGCAAAGTCACCCGTTGAATTGCTTCCAAGACTATTTTCAGCAATGTCTAGCGAAGTAAGACCTCTAAGTTTCCCAAGACAAGTAGGAACCTTCCCTACAAAGTCATTTCGGTTCATGTTCACCTTCTGTAACCGAGAGACATTACAGATTGAATCAGGGATAGTTGCGAAGAATTCATTTTTGGAAATGGCGAAATTTACGAGATTGGGCATGGTGAGGTCCATGTCCACTGGCAATCGACCACGCAAGTGGTTCCAAGGAATTGCAATGTTTTTGATGGATGAGATATTAAAGAATGATAGAGGGACTGAACCAGATAGCTGATTGCTTCCAAGAGTAATTGAAGTTAACCTTGATAGCATGCCTATGCTTTCTGGAATGCTTCCTGTCAAGTTATTATATGCAGCACCGAAGTTAAGGAGCAACGAGAGGTTCCCCAAGGAAGGCGGGAGCCATCCTGTTAGATTGTTGGTTCCAACTCTGATAAACTCAAGCTTTGATAACGAACCAATCTCCATCGGGATGCTCCCTCTAAAGTTATTCCCTTCCATCAACAAGTACTTCAGCCGGGAGCAACAAGTCAGGTTGGTTGGAATCTCGCCTTCAAACGAGTTGCCGCTGAGATTGAGGTGCTGGAGTTGAAGCAAGTTTCCAAGTAGTTGTGGAATCTCACCATGGAAACTGTTGTCCATGAGGTTGATGTATCTAAGAGAAGTGATGTTTGCGACGTGTGGAGACAGTGTACCCACCAGATTTTGGCCATGTAGATCAAGGGACATTACTCGCTGGCTAATAAGCGGATCACATGCAACACCAAACCAGTTGCAGAAATGGTCGGAATCATTCCATGATTTCAGGGCTCCATCTGGATCACTGCTGATCTTACTTTTGAATGCCAGCAGTGCAAGTCGATCCGTCTCATTGTTGCCTGAACCATTTGCTTTCAGTGTGGAGTTCAGGATCAGGAACATGACTATGAAGCTGTCAAGTAGGAAGGGAGTGGTAGGAAGCTTGGAAATTCTCATTTGAGATTATGAGAACCAGCCAGCCTACAGCGACGAGGCAGAGATTAGCTACCACAGGTAACACAATCTTTTCGAGCTTTGGTGCTTTCAAAATTTATGTAAAAGTGAAAATCATATTTGAAGCCCAGCGCGGGCGGCAAAGATATTCCACTTCCAAACCACGCTCGTTCATCACTCTTTGTTACAATGTTGGGTGGCCGGCAATGATGACTGATGAGAAATGAGAAGGACAGCTGAACGAGGAAACCATAGTTGATAATTATGGGTATGGAATGTTTCATTTGGCTGTGCTTGGTGTGGAATCTTTACCTGCCTATCTGAGATGGTTTAGTGTTACGTGATATGTCGTAGTTGATTAAATAAAATAAGAAGGAATTGCTATGACTGAATGCAAGAACCAATTTTTTGAAGAGGTTACAGCTCTTCTCAACTCTCAAAATCATGTAAAATTACATGTGAAATTTTGAGCTAATGCATTACAACACTCAAATTATAAAAAAATGAAAAGGTTATTTGTATCCTATTTTATTCAACATGACCAAGGTTGACAACTTGTGGGTTGATCCATGGGTTGGCCCATTTTGACCCTGCTCGATGAGAAAAATGGGTGCCGCACACCCGCGGGTCAATTCGCAGCAAGGTTTCAAAGGTTATATAGTGTTGTTTTTCCCTTTGATTTGTGAAACACACCCTTTTTCCTGTTTTTCTCCTCGCCTAATCCTATATTTGAAATTCTAAGTTGAACATTTGAGTATTGATGTTATATGAGTGTATTTTAATTTTACGAACTGTGATTTTCATGTAATATTTTATATTATTACCTATATGTTAGATATTTCGTAGCCCTAAAAATATGGTTTGGTTAATGTTTCTGTAGCGCCAAGTACTAATTATACCATACTAATTTGATATAATCTGTAAATGGATAAACAATATAGTGAATTTTTCATATATCTGGGCTAAAGAAATAAGAGATCAGACCATTAACTTTTAACCCACTTGCTCTACCGGGCCAACGGACTAAACTGGGTTCACAAGGTTGAGGCGTCCACCCGCCTTCTCTGGGCATGCAGAGTTTGCTAGAAAAGTACTTCTGATAGTGTGTAGCTTTCTGGTAACTTCTGCCATTTTCAGCCGTTCGTTCGGCGGTTCAGCTGAGCACTTCACTCCCAGTTCAAGCAAGGAAATCAAACACTCTTCCACCTTCTTATAAGTTCTGTCAGTGTTTCCAGGTATCAGCATTGATGGATCTATTAACATCGGAAGTTTGGATGGCAATGCGGCCTTGACAGAGTCTCGTATATTCACACCATCCTTGAACACTTCATCTGTTGGTCTTTTCCCTGATAGGGTTTCCAGCAGCAGGATTCCATAGCTGTACGCGTCCCCTTCCTTTGATGCGGCGGAGGCCGTCCCGTATTCTGCAAACCAGGTTAGGGTATTTCTGTCAGTCTTGTGCTGAATCAATGGGTTTTGAATGGCACCCCGTGGTAGGGTTTCTTTATAGAGGAAAATTTGTTGAAACTCAAGTTTTTTCCTTACCTGGTGCCGCATAGCCTACCATCCCATTTAGCCCAATTGTGCTTGTTGTGTTTGTTTGAGATGGTGAGAGGATTCTCGCTAGACCAAAATCACTCACATGAGCTACCATGTCATGGTCTAGGAGCACATTGCTCGGCTTCAAACTGCAATGAACGATTGACGTTCCGCTAAGATCATGAAGATAGTGCATTGCAGATGCCACATCTATTGCTATATTGAGTCTTTGGAGAAGACTGAGATGGTGTGGTGTCTTGATGTTATCATTACAGCAATGCAGCCACTTGTCGAGGCTTCCATTGTCGACAAACTCATAAACTAGAGCTCCAAATGCATTTCCTTGGTTGTCTGTGCTAGAGCAGTACGATAGGATCTTCACGAGGTTTCGATGCCGGACATTTCGCATTATCTTGCATTCCACCGCTAATCTCTTATACGCTTTCTTTTGTTGCAGGTTGAACACTTTAATAGCTACTGGTGCTTTCATTTGCTCCAGTTTTCCTTTGTAGACTGTGCCAATACCACCAGACCCGATTAAAGTTTCATGGCTGTATCCATTGGTTGCGTCATGGATGTCTGTGTAGGAGATCTTCACAAACTCGTCCACAGGTGGATCTTCTCCTCGATGGATGTGCTTGTTTGATCTTCTCATCTTGCAATTTAGTAGAAGTCCTATCATTACCACTAGAAGTGCAGATAGAGATGTACTAACAGTGATGACTATTAGCTTCAACTGTGGAGGTCTCCTATTCTTTGTGGTTTTATTTGGACATTTAGGCAAACGAAACTCGGGAACACCACCACAGAGCATGGGATTGCCTGCCAATGATACAGAGCTTGCATTGGGAATGATCCCCTTTGATGGCACTTCACCTCTCAGATTGTTGAAAGAAAGATTCAAAGACTGTAATCGGATTTCTAGCAGATCTTTTGGGATTTCTCCGTCTAAGTTGTTTCGTGAAAGATCCAATTCCTGAAGCCCTTTCAGAGACGATAAAGCTGAAGGAATAACTGCTTCAAAAGAATTCCCCTGCATATAAAGGTATTCCAGACTTGAGCAACTGCCAATGGTGCTAGGAATTTCGCCTTTCAAATTATTATTAGATATATCCAACTTATTCAAATTTTCCAAATTCCCAATTTCTACAGGCAGGTTGCCTGTGAGCAAGTTGTTTGACAGGTTCAACAATATGGACAATGAAGATAGGCTCAATAATTGTGGAGGTACAGCTCCCATAATTCTGTTTCCTGAAATATCCAAGGTACTCAGTTGAAGACAGTTCCCAATACTGGGTGGAATGTTGCCTTGGAGTTGGTTCTGCGATATATACAGTTCAGATAACCGACTGAGATTGCCTATAGAGGATGGAATCTGACCTGAAAGTTGATTTCCATTCAATGATAGTCTCTGTAGATTAGAAAACTGCCCAAAATAAGGAGGGATGGTGCCTGTCATGTAGTTACCGGAAAGCTCCAGATCCGTCAAGTTGAAGAGATTCACCAACCCTGCAGGGATAACTCCAGTGACTTGATTGGCCCCAATATATAGTGCGGTGAGCGTGGTTGACAGGTTCCCTAGAAATTCTGGTAACGGGCCACCAAAATTGTTGATGCTAATACCCACCCGCCGCAGCTGACTGCAATTGCTCAATGACTCCAGAAATGCAAAGTCGTCTGTTGAATTGCTTCCAAGACGATTTTCAGCCATGTCTAGCGAAGTAAGGCCTCTGAGTTTCCCAAGACAAGTAGGAACCTTCCCTACAAAGTCATTTCGGTTCATATTCACCATCTGTAGCCGAGAGACATTGCAGATTGAATCAGGGATAGTTGCGAAGAATTCATTTTTGGAAATGGCGAAATTTACGAGATTGGGCATGGTGAGGTCCATGTCCACTGGCAATCGACCACGCAAGTGGTTCCAAGGGATTGCAATGGTTTTGATGGATGAGATATTGAAGAAGGATAGAGGGACTGAACCAGAGAGCTGATTGCTTCCAAGAGTAATTGAAGTTAACCTTGATAGCATGCCTGTGCTTTCTGGAATGCTTCCTGTCAAATTATTATATGCAGCACCGAAGTTAAGGAGCAACGAGAGGTTCCCCAGGGAAGGCGGGAGCCATCCTGTTAGATTGTTGGTTCCTACTCTGATGAACTCGAGCTTCGATAACGAGCCAATCTCCATTGGGATGCTCCCCCTAAAGTTATTCGCTTCCATCAACAAGTACTTCAGCCGGGAGCAACGAGTCAGGTTGGTTGGAATCTCGCCTTCAAATGAGTTGCCGCTGAGATTGAGGTGCTCGAGTTGAAGCAAGTTTCCAAGTCGTTGTGGAACCTCACCGTGGAAACTGTTGTCCATGAGGTTGATGAATCTAAGAGAAGTGAGGTTGGCAACGTGTGGAGACAGAGTACCCGCCAGTTTTTGGCTATGGAGATCAAGGGACACGACTCTCTGGCTAGCTAGAGGATCACATGCAACACCAAACCAGTTGCAGAAATGGACTGAATCATTCCAAGATTTCAGAGCTCCATCTTGATCACTGCTGATCCTACTTTTGAACTCCAGCAGCGCAAGTCGATCTGTCTCATTGTTGTTTCCTGAACCATTTGCTTGCAGCGGGAAGTTCAGGAACAGGAACATGATCATGAAGCTGTGAAGTGGGAAGGGAGTGGTGGGAAGCTTGGAAATTCTCATTTCAGATCATGAGAACTGAGAAGCAGCCTGCTGTGACGAAGCAGCATAGAAATTAATTTTCTAGCTTCATTTCATTCTCACCAAGGTCGGCAAATATTCCACTGCTGAAACGCACCTCGTCACTCTTTGTTAAATATAAGTTTGGAAGCCGGCAAAAGGGAATAGAGCTATTGTATTGGGTAGGCGACGGCACAAAAGTTGGGAATACTGGGAAATTGAGAATGACAGCTGAATGGGGGAAATGATGAATTGATAATATTATGGTATGGATGTGAGACAGTGAGAGGCTGATGAGTTCAGCTTAGGGACTTATATATTGTTATGTTAAGATGCAAGGGTCAACCTCACTATTGAAAGCAGCCGGCGACGATATGGGCTAAGATTTCATGGTCGTATGTGATCGCCGGAAGGGGAAAGAGACGGCAAGATTCCTCAGGATTTTCGTCCATCAATGTTGTTTTTGGCCGGTTCTATATGCCATCTAGCTCCTTGCTTTGCATTCCTTGCAATTACCGGCGGTGTAACGTCAACCTATTCCACGAGAGTTGAGACGTACTTGATGAATTTTTCTCAAATGACAATAGAAGTGCCGAGAGATTTGGATATGATTATGGTCTAATTGATAAAATGTGTATTATGTAGTTCGAATATTCATCATGTTTGATGGTAGACGGAAAAATCACTGCCTCTTGGGCTCCCGACTGATTCAACCACATAGGCTAACGATAGACAATAACTCGCCAACTCACAACTAAACGGGTAAAAGACATTCAGAGTAATATTCCAATTTTCTGAAAAAACTATTTCTAACCAACTAGGTTGAATGAGCCATACAAATGCGTTGACAAATATGATGTGGTTGACACGTGGCAGAGTTAAGACAAAAAATCTTCACATCAACATAAATCGTTAATCTACTCAACATCACTAACCGTGTTGTGACGAAATGACTTCAAATTTTGGTTCTACGAATGTATTTTGCCAAATTTGATCATAAGTATCACAAACGTCAAAGTCATAGCAATGGGAGTGATTCTTTGTATTAAAAAAAACTCTCTGCTAAGATTTTCATCCATTTCTCGTTAGAAATCGGAAGAGGTTTGAAAAAGAAATGTGTTGAGGGATAAGATATATACACAGGACCAGTGGAGGCAGGAAGAAGAGTGGCCCGGGCCCCTGAGAAGAAGTTTACTGCTCTCTTCAATGCGCTGGTGGCCTTTTCGTACCGTGACTTATTCCCCTCCAATTATCATCCGTGCGAATGTCTGCTTGGACCCTAAGAACTGCACGCAGAGAAAAAATCAACCCAATGTTACAACAGTCAAGACTTGACAAAAAGCATCATTCCCATTAATGGTTACCTGTGGAAGAAGGAAAGGGGGGAAAAAAGCACTAAAGGTCGAAAAAGGGTATCTGTTATCTGTGGTAGCTAATCTCTCTGTCGTTGCAGCAGGCTGCTTCTCATAATCTGAAATGAGAACTCCCAAGCTTGCTACCACTTCCTTCCTACTCCACAGCTTGATTATCATATTTCTGTTCCTGAACTTCCAACTGCAGGCAAATGGTTCAGGCAACAATGAGACGGATCGACTTGCCCTGCTGGAGTTCAAAAGTAAGGTGAGCAGTGACCCGGATGGAGCTCTGAAATCTTGGAATGATTCCGTCCATTTCTGCAACTGGTTTGGTGTTGCATGTGATCCTCTTCCTAGCCAGCGAGTCATTTCCCTTGACCTCCATGGCCAAAGTCTGGTCGGTACTCTGCCTCCGCACGTCGCCAACCTTACTTCTCTTAGATACATCAACCTCATGGAGAACAGTTTCCACGGTGAGCTTCCACAGTTACTTGGAAACTTGCTTCAACTCGAGCACCTCAATCTCACCGACAACGCATTTGAAGGCGAGATTCCAACCAACCTGACTCGTTGCTCTCAGCTCAAGTACTTCTTGTTGGAAGCGAATAAGTTTAGGGGAAGCATCCCGCTGGAGATTGGCTCGTTATCGAAGCTCGAGTTCATCAGAGTTGGAACCAACAATCTGACAGGATGGCTCCCGCCTTCCCTGGGGAACCTCTCGTTGCTCCTCAACTTCGGTGCTGCGTATAATAACTTGACAGGACGCATTCCAGAAAGCATAGGCCTGCTACCAAGGTTAAGATCAATTACCCTTGGGAGCAACCAGCTCTTTGGTTCACTCCCTCCATCCTTCTTCAATATCTCATCCATCAGGACCATTGCAATTCCTTGGAACAACTTGCGTGGTCGATTGCCGGTGGACATGGACCTCACCATGCCCAATCTCGTAAATTTCGCCATTTCCAGAAATGAATTCTTCGCAACCATCCCTGATTCAATCTGCAATGTCTCTCAGCTACAGATACTGAATATGAACCGAAATGACTTTGTAGGAAAGGTTCCTACTTGTCTCGGGAAACTTGGGAATCTTACTTCCCTATACATGGCTGACAATAATCTTGGAAGCAATTCGACGGGCGACTTTGCATTTCTGGAGTCATTGAGCAATTGCAGTCAGCTGGACGGGGTGGGTATTAGCATCAACAATTTTGGCGGCCCGTTACCAGAATTTCTGGGGAATCTGTCAACCACACTCACCAAACTGTTTATTGGCTTCAATCAAGTCACTGGAGTTATCCCTGCAGGGTTGGTCAATCTCTTCAACCTGACGGATCTGGAGATTTCCTATAACTACTTGACAGGCACCATCCCTCCTTATATTGGCCAGCTTTCTAATCTCCAGAGACTAACATTGAATGGAAATCAACTTTCAGGTCAGATTCCATCCTCTATAGGCAATCTCAGTAAGTTGTCTGAACTGTATATAGGACAGAACAAACTCCAAGGCAACATTCCACCCAGCATTGGGAACTGCCTTCGATTGACTGCCTTGGATGTTTCAGAAAACAGAATCACGAGAGCTATACCTCCAGAGTTGATGAGCCTTTCTTCGTTGTCCATATTGTTGAACCTGTCAAACAACCTTCTCACAGGCAACCTGCCTGCAGAAATTGGGCAGTTGGAAAATGTGAATATGTTAGATATCTCTAACAATCAATTGAAAGGGGAAATTCCTAGCACCATTGCCAGTTGCTCAAGTCTGGAATACCTTTATATGCAGGGGAATTCTTTCGACTCGGTTATTCCTCCAGCTTTATCGTCTCTGAAAGGGCTTCAGGAATTGGATCTTTCACGAAACAAATTAGATGGAGAAATCCCAGAAGATCTACTACAAATCCGCCTACAGTCTTTGAATCTTTCTTTCAATAATCTGAGAGGTGAAGTGCCATCGGAGGGGATAATTGCCAATGCAAGCATTGTATCATTGACAGGCAATCCCATGCTCTGTGGTGGTGCTCCAGAGTTCCTTTTGCCTAAATGCCCAAATAAGACCACCAAGAATAGAAGGCCTCAAAAGTTGAAGCTAATAGCCATCATTGTTAGCACATCTCTATCTGCACTTTTAGTGGTAATGATAGGCCTTGTACTATATTGCAAGATGAGAAGACCAAACAAGCATATCCATCAAGGAGAAGATCGACTGGTGGACGACTTTGTGAAGCTTTCTTACAGAGACATCCATGATGCGACCAATGGATACAGTCATGAAACTGTTATCGGGTCTGGTGGTATTGGCACAGTGTACAAAGGTAACCTGGAGCAAATGGAAGCACCAGTAGCTATTAAAGTATTCAACTTGCAAGAAAAGAAAGCGTATAAGAGATTAGTGGTGGAATGCAAGATAATGAGGAATATCCGGCATCGAAATCTCGTGAAGATTCTATCTTGCTGCTCTAGCACAGACAACAAAGGTAATGCTTTCGGAGCTCTAGTTTATGAATTTGTGGAGAATGGGAGCCTCGATAAATGGCTGCATTGCGGTAATGATGGCATCAACACATCACACCATCTCAGTCTTCCCCTAAGACTCAATATTGCAATAGATGTGGCATCTGCATTGCACTATCTTCATGATCTTAGTGGAACATCAATCGTTCATTGCAATTTGAAGCCAAGCAACGTGCTCCTAGACCATGACATGGTAGCTCATGTGAGTGATTTCGGTCTAGCGAGAATCCTCTCACCATCTGATACAAATACAGCAAGCACAATTGGGCTAAACGGGATGGTTGGCTATGCAGCACCAGGTAAGGGGAAAAAACATGAATCCCCACGATTTGCCTTCAAAAAGAAACCCTTTTCACGCCATTGAAAACATTAATTCAGCACACTGACAGAAAACCCTAACCTGGTTTGCAGAATATGGGACGGGCTCCGGGGCATCCAAGGAAGGGGACGTGTACAGCTACGGAATCCTTGTGCTGGAAATTCTATCAGGAAAAAGACCAACAGATGAAATGTTCAAGGATGGTATGAATATACGCAACTTTGTCAAGGCCGCATTGCCATCCATACTTCCAACCTCGATTGATCCTTCAATGCTGATATCTGGAAAAAATGACGGAATTGACAAGAAGGTGGAAGACTGCTTGATCTCCTTGCTTGAACTGGGAGTGAAGTGCACAGCAGAAGCGCCGAACGAACGGATGAAAATGGCTGACGTTACCAGGAAGCTACAGACTATCAGAAGTACCTTTCTAGCAAAATCTGTCCGCTCATAGCGATGGAGAAGACGGGTGGATGGCCGGCATGCTAACCACAGCAGCAAATTTCCAGATATGTTCAGAACTCGAACGTGGACACTTATTATACAACTCTGAACTGCTTCTGTTTTAATATTCAAACTGCATTCACCTCAGACCTCAAGCGGTGTATAATAAGTACCTTATTTAGCAATTATCTCCGGGCAGGGGATTTCAGAGATCAAAACCCCTGGGATCCTGGAAAATGAGCAGGAGCAGAATTGATGAATCCAGCTCTATAAATCTCTACCTCAACTAGCAACCATATCACGAGGGGCTAACCGATTAAACACTCTCAAACATAGAAGAACACTGTGCTTGGAATTGGAGAAAACACCCACACTACTCTGCATACGCCTCGAACCTCAAGAAATGTATTGAGGAATAACATATGTACACGATATCTGCTTCGAATCAAACAGGATGCACGAACAATTGACTATGCATATACCACACAAAAGGAGATATGTGCTTTCCACTGGGTAAATGGAATAACTCCAACAGTAAGTAGTAGTTGCTACGGGAGGAATCGGGATAACAAAGCTAAAATAGGATTGGAGTAACCTAACAGTCATACTTTCTATCTACAAACCCTTTCACGGGTTCCCCGTACCAGTATCTCATTAGTAAGTCTGGTTTTCATGTTCTGCGAGAATCACGTTTCGAGCCTGTACCACCACGCTGCTGCTGCTTTGCATACAAAGACCCTGCCCCCGGTACATTTACACGCGGAGAGGCCATTAGTGTAGTCATAGGTTGGAAATTAGTGTTTCCAATGAACCAGTAGAGAGCCCATTTCAAATTGCAAACCGTGTACTTGCATGCTTTTGTCCAGTTCTCTGGCTTATTGAAGCTCTGGGCGATGGAATGGCCTTCCACTTTGTCATTCTCAATCCTGACAGCAAAGTACATGAATAGTTACCAGAGATTGGAAAGTGGCTTCTATAGTGAATTAAATTACGGCAGGAAAAAGTGAGAGAATGACTTACTTGTATGGAAGCTTGAACCTACTCTCAGGTGGGATGTTGTTCTCTTGGTCCTTCAAATATGCAAAATCAGCAAAGTCCTTGAGGCATGTCAGGTACAGTATCATCGCTTTATCATAGCGAGTGCTCCAAAATAAGTTCACCGGTCCAAACCTAAGAAGACAGTTCAGTACAAGAGAAAAAGACTAACAAGAAAGGTGCGTACTAAATCTCAGGCATTCAGTACTTACAGGTCATAGGAATTGTTGTTGCTATCCATAATGCGCGGGTAGCTCCCCATAGGAATCATTTTTATGTGATATCTAAACATTTCAGCAAGTAAAGGATGTCCTATCCACAAACATCCATCCATCACTGACCATTCAAATCATAACTAACTCATTTATGAGAGGAAGGACCAGATGCAGGTATATAACAAGATTGATTACGTAATAGAAAGCAACTATTTAAGAACTGGCATGTCCTATGTCATGTTCCTTATTCAGATGTGAAATTCAGTAGAAGTCTTCATAAGCCAATGATCAAGTGCTCCGACAGGATCAGAACTCCGAGTGGAAATATTATCTTTAATGGCAAGAACGGACCCCCATTGTTCTCCTTTCTTGGCGAGAACCACCATAACTTTTCTTTTAATTTTCATCTTACCTTCATTCATAAAAGCAATGCAGCTTAAATACAAAAGAAGGGGAAGGCATTCCTATACCTAAGGATCATGGCTAATCCCACACCTAACTAACATCTAAATTCAACTAAGGACTCCCTCTCCCTGCGGACTCGCTCGCAGAACTGAATCATTAGTCCTACGTCCTAACTAATAGCAACAACAAAAACTAGGAGTTAGTGGTCAAAGTGGACATCCCCAAGTCTGCAAGCAGCCAACTACTAAACAAAGGGAAATTTTATCTAACCTAATTAACAATCCATAAAATTAACTTAAATAGAAAAGTTCTCAATTTAACAATTCACAGTTCCATCATGTTCCCTGCAATCAGAGATTCATTTCATATTTATTATAATTAAGAAGTTCTTTGTATCGTATGCAATTGGTGAAATCAACAAAGCGATTGCACATTACAATCAGCAAGTTGACTTGTGGAGAAAAAGGATACGGAAATTTTGGCTTGAAGTATTGACACATTGTATGGAGGAGTAGACAAGCTTGGCCCCAGGCAGCATTTATCTCATCCCATTCAACCTATTCAATGTTTCCACAAAGTTTCTTGTAAATATTATTATGCTTTTAATGCAATGTAAATAGAAGGTATACAGTCCGTCAAAAAAACAGTAGGTAGACAGAACTACCCCAATGCAGACTGCAAGGCAGTATTAGTAACTTTACCGGGATTTTAGGAAGTCTGCCAAGTCGGAAATTGTTTATAGTTCCAAAGTCTCCATCATGATAGATTGGGAAAGCATCACTCAGCACACTGGTTTGCTTCAACAACTCCAAGTGCGCTTGAGAAACCTCGGTCTTCGCTAGAATCGCATCTCTCTCTTCCTAGAGTGACCCATCAAAAAATTATCATTCAAAGTTATGTAGGTTGCTATAGTTCATCGTAAAACAATGGCAACAACCTCAGACGCTTCAAAAGAAAAGCCTCCATGACAGTAGAGTACAAAACTATGAGTGTAAGAAGGGTACAGCATATGGAAAATGAACAGTCAGCAGCACACCTGATATGATATTAATTGGAACTGAAAATTATTGAACTCCTGCCAGTACCTGCAGTAGAGTGAGGTCAGGCCTCCAATAGACAGAATATATTTTACAAATCTCAGTTAAGCAGCTCTAGGGTTGGAACTATGACTCCTTGAAAGTGAACAGTAGGGAAACAGAGTCAGCATTAACCTGTAATTCACACATCCAATCCTCAAAGATAGAGTTCGAAGGAGAACTTACCTCTCTTCCAGTTCTTTAAAGCGGCCAGATTTTAACTCCAATTCCTCCAGTTCAGCATTTACTTCAGCATTCTGTTTCTCGATCTCTGAAATAGTAGCTTCAAGTTTTCTTTCTTCCTCCTCAATCTTAAGGAATCATAAAAGAAAACCAAATGGTTATTTATCTGCGTAGCATGTTTATGAAAAATCAACATCAAATGCAATAGAAGCATACAGTGGCTGCTCAATCTGCACAAACTAAGCTAACAGCAAAAGTAGGAACTCACAGCAGCAAATATGATAAATATTCCTTCCAAGTCACAGACCAAAAATCACCTAAGCAACGGTGTATCAAAGGGCCACAAAATTCCTTGATGCAGATAAAAACCCCTATCAGTTATGAAGAACCAACCTTTAGTTTCTCCTTCAGAAAATCAGCCTCGCTGAGAACATCTCCGGTCTCTCCTTCAAGGCGTTGGAGGCATGCTTCATACGCCTCAATGTCCCTATTCACATCTTCAACCTCCTTGTCAAGTTTATCAGATAACACTCTCATGCACTCAAGACACAATGGCTGCTCAACCTACAAGTTCAAAAGCTCGATACAGTAAACACAGATTATGATCTAGTTATGGGACAACTTATGTGCGCGTTCAAAAGAGCTTACTCACTACACTACACCCACGACCCACCTGTGTCTGCGTTGTTGCAATCTCAAATGCCCGTTTAAGGACCGAGATTGTAGAATGAAACCCGGCATTGTTGGGATGCAACTGACCATTGGATCCTCCTTCTAGAGCAGGCAACTGTCCCCCTCCGCCTCCATCAGAGGCAGGCTCAGACTTGTACACGACGACAAAGGATTCATCCATAGCCTTCCCAGGCTGAACGCCTCCACCTCGTGGACGTGGAGGGTTTCCCTGCAGTTGGGGCTTTTGATTTGGCAATACGACAAAAGAATTGTCCATGCGTGACGAGCCCAGTACGCTGTTAGCACCATGAGCTGAAATTGAATAAAAAAAAGCAAACCCTATCTCGTTCAGAATCAACTGAAAGTTCAAACGGAGCGAAAGAGGAGAATTGCGAAGAAAACAAACCGGAGCGGAAAGAGGACTCGTTTAAGAACTTGTCGGCGAAGGAATCAGCTCCGACGATGCAAAGAGAGTGCCGGCAGTTCTGGCACATCCATCGCGGAAGGTTGGGATCCACCTGGACTTGAAGACTCCCGCCCTTATCGCTCATTGGAGAGGACACAAACTGAATCTTTCGTCTTCCTTCTGTTAACTCAAGAATTGGAAATTTTCACTCTCTTCTCCGGCGGAGCTCCACAAAAATTTTCTCTGATCGAATTAAACAACCGGTTTACGTGCTCGCCTGAGAAAAATTATTCCCCAGCCCACTATTTGGCCCATTTAATAGTTTCGGGCCCAGTTTTATCCGCTTGAAGTTTTAAATGAAAGCCCGGCAGGTTTAAAGCGTCAGAAAAAAAAACAGTGTGTTTCTCTAAAAGGACAATTCTGTAAATTCATCTAAATCGAGAATCCCCAATTCGAAGCTTTTCACTGGGAAAGATACGTGTAGACTTATGAGGAGTTAGTAATCCTATGTAGGGGCGGAGCTAGGAATTGGTGTTCGGGGGGCCGGGGTAAACTAGATTATAATAATAAAATAAAAAATTATAATAATTAGAAATAAAAAAATCATTATTAATTTTTACAATTTATTTATTATTATCGTAAACAGTCGACAAAAATTAATCATACATTTTAATGTGTAACATGTTTCTCGACATTTTTATAACTAGAATATGAATTTCGCCAATATTATCGTTTGAACAATATAAGTAATTCATAATTTAACTAAAAGAATTCTTAAAATACGAATTCAAAAGTTGAAGAATTGATTGAATTACTTTGACTAATAAAAAAATTATGAAAATTAACATGAGGAAAAAAATTATGAAAATTAAATGATTAAATTGCTCATCCAAATTAAAAATTAAGTAATTCATTATATAACCAAAAGAATCTAAAAAATATAAAAGATTAATTGACCTAGTTTGAAATTACAAGACTAGTTAATGCTCTTTGGTCAAATTAAATTAATTAAACGAATTATATTAAACTAGAATAAAAGCAAACTAAACAAAACTAGCATAATATCAAAAAATAGTAAGAAAGTGCTCTTTGGGGGATTCGAAACCAGTCCCCCTAGGAGAGAAGGAAGGATACTTTCCAGTAGACTACTCTCTTATTAACTGCTTTAGAACTGTGCACGATCCAATATTATATCAAAGTTTAATTTATACGTAATTTATTTTATCAACGATTGGATTTTGTACGAGATCTCGGAATTCTCGGGGGGGCCGGGGCCCCCCGAGACACCACCTAGCTCCGCCCCTGATCCTATGTGTTTATATTTTTTATTAAAAAAGTTATTAGCTCAATATCATCCATCTGTTAAAAAAAATAGAAAAGAGAATGACTCCAATAATGTGTAAGAGAGGTGTTAAAAATGACAACAAAAAACGGGTTAGCACATAGCACGCTAACTCACCTCTTACTTGTCATAGTACTATGCTAGTAAGAACACTTAAATAGTTTTATAAAAAAAAACACGTAAATAGCATAAATCTTTATTAGTTGAGGACTACTTAATTAATCAAGTAGTTGTACGTGGTCAGCTCGTAATTTGATAATCTCTAATTAGATTGACTAAATATCGTTTTAGAACAAGTAAACTGCCTTCACAAAAACGACATCATCCTACTAAAAATTATTGTATAATGAAACGGAAAAAATAATAATAAACAAAACGATAGACAAAAACAAAAACAGAGGAAGATTATTAAAACCTTCTATCAAATTAGTTCCAATAGTAGCAAGCATATATCATCCATAAGTTCAAAGAAAGAAAATAACATTACAATGACTACCAACCTTTATTTATAGACAGGATGATGAAAATAAGAGACAACAAAAACAAGCAAGCATGCCCAAGGAAATCAAATTAAAAGAAAAACTAGAGAAAAAAAAGAGTTCTTAAATCAAATTGCAGCAAGCTTAAGTAGAGCAATTTAGACGTCCATTGCTGTGACGAGCAGAGCCATCATCATATCCCTAGTGACTGTGTAGGAGACGGTATAACTATCGAAGTCCTTGTAAAGCACTTTCATCACCCTCGCGAGCCCAACAAATTAACATCGAAAGAACATCCTTAGATATGAAATTCGGAGAGTTGATGCAATCCTCGTTTATGCCCTTCCAGTCTTCCTCCACCATTTCGTTCAATGCTTCAACCGCCTCCTCTGTCGACACGCCGTGTTGGTTCGTATAAACCTCAACCGACGAGATGACATGTCCTCGTTCCTGCTCGAACTGCATAAATTCCCCGAGATCGAAGTTTCATATAAGTTTATTGATGAGGTAAAATAAAATTTGCCAATCTCGTTAACTATAAGATCCAATTTCGGACAACTCCCAATTACAGGACGAATTCTTAGATGTTTGATATTAGCTTAAAGTTTTTTTGTCCACATGTCATGTACGTGTTATTGTATTCAGTGGCGGAGCCACATGTAGAGGAGAGGGGTCCTAGGATCCCACTTGGAAAAAAAACAGGACAATAAAACCCTTTAGATGTATAGGTTTTAGTAGGATCCTTTGTATTTAGGAATTAGGACCCCATACTTTTGTTGATGTTAGCTCATCTAAGGATACCAATCAACTCAAAGTTCATTAGATACACATACTAAAATGTTTTGAAAATTTTAAGGATCCCAATCAATTCAAAGTCTGGCTACGCCACTGATTGTATTTACAATCTTCAATATATTAACATTCAATTGAACATTTCTTCTAGCCATTTGAGTTACTATGAATGATATGAATGATGAGACGGAATTTGATTTTTAATATACCTTATGAGATACGATGTCATCCATGAGCCGACGGTGATCCGAGACGGCTACGAGGATTTTGGGACCAGTCACCAACCAGTCAAATACCTCCTTTGGTGCACCCAAGCCGTATAAGGATGAGCATGCCAACACCGGGTAAGCAGATGAATATACGCCCACATGTCAATATTCCTCTATTGTTGGCACTTCTCCTCGAGCGAACCATCTCGCTTGTGTTAGGTACGCTCTCATTAGGTTCTTTTCCTACAATAATAATATAATTTAATAATATATGACAAAAAAAAATTAATAATGGTAATGATTGGTATACTCAAGTAGGGATGACAATTTTGCCCATACGTAGGGATGACAATTTTGCCCATACCCATGGGTATTTTACTATCCAACCCAATTGGGTTGGGAATGAAATCCAAATATATGGATATGGGTAAAGTTTGATGGGTTTGTACCCATACCCATTTACTTTGGGTTGGGTTGGGTTGGGTTGGGTTTATAACAAATGGATTTGGGTTTGTACCCATGCCCAAATGCAAATTACAGTTTGGTACCTAAACTTAATAGATATGCATATTTAGTACCTGATTTTTTTTTTGCATATAAGTCCTCAAAATATCGATGGAAAATTACGTTTTGGTACCTAAATTTTTTTGGTCTTACATTTGGTACCTAAAATTTTCAAGTTTTACAAATAAGTCCAATTTTTGCATGTGTAGTTAAAACACCCTCAAGTAAATGGATATCCATATCCAACCCATACCCATTTAGATAATATCCATATCTAACCCCAAACCCATACACACATCCCCCAAACCCTACCCATAATAAATGGGTCTACTTGGGTTTGGGCAAAATTACCCATGGGTGGGTAAATTGCCATCCCCATACTCAAGTAGTATAGTATACTCCACGTAATCTGTCCATTAGATGAATTGCGATGAGCTCCGACAAATCTCAACGGTCAATTATTTTTTATTTATTTAATTGAACTTTGGATTTGAGTTTAAAGAATTAGTGCATGGGGTTTATCCATTAGAGGTGAGGGTATATAGTATCATACTCCAAACTCGATTTAATTCATGGTCTACATAAAGATATATCTCACTATGAGTATGTGGAGTATAGTATACTCTATGAGTACATCAGTCTGGCCCATTTAATAATACATTCAAATTAAGGTGGCTTCTATGATACACTCACAAAAGTAAGTGAGTGTATACTATGCACAATCTCTAAAACTAGACTTAACACATCGAATTTTGAATTTTAATTGGTAGTATAATCTAATATGGTCATATAATATAGGTTCACAACTAATCAAAAGCATTATCATAAGTCCTAAACCTTCAATTCTACACCATAACCCTAAACTCCAAAATTGTAAACCCTCAACTCTCACCCTAAATCGCTAATTAAACACTAAAACATGGAAATCAAAATAAACCCTGAAATAGTTTTTGTGCGAATTCATGTGAAGTTTTGTCCACTATATCACAAGTGACTAGGGGTGGACATTGGTGCGGTCAAACTGCTCCGAACTGCACCGAACCGCTTTTGTGGTCGAGCCAAACCGCACCGCAATACTTGCGGTCTAATAAGCGGTCGGAATTTCTTGCGGTTCGCGGTTTGCGGTCGGATCAATCCGAACCGTGCGGTTGCGGTTAAAACCACAAACCGCTAAGTAACCTTTCACGTTTGATTTGTCGGGAAAAAAGGATCGGCTTGATTTCTAGAGAAAGAGTATTTACCTTTCCTCTCCCTTTCCCGTCCCACCTCCTCTCCCTTGGGAACAATCTCTGTAAGTTTGGTATGGCAGCCATGGCAGGTTTTGGTTGAGGGAAGAAGAAGATCAATCAATCATTCATTTTTATAAATTATTATTTTAGAATTTATGTTAGAAGTTCAACCATTCATTTTTAGTTTGAGTAGATCAATCAATCAAATTCGTGAACTCGTTAATGAGCCGAATTTGAACTCAATTCATTTTCTAATGAGTTAAACTTAATTAGGCCAAAACTTGACTTATCTCTACTCGTTAACTTTATTCTCCAGCCCACTACGTGGCCCACTTTGATTGTTTCGGCCCATAGAAGAACACTGGATCAATAGCTCCCCATTCACTTGTTTGGGCTTCTGATCAGGAATAGTTATGTACCGGTTTGGGTTTCAGCCACTTGAAGTTTATGCCCAGCAGTTGTAAAGGCTCAGAAAAATCAAAGAGTGTTTCTCTAGTAGGAGAATTCTGTAAATTGATCTAAATCGGAAAATCCCCAATTCGAAGCTTTCCACGGTTCCTCTCTGCACCGTCTCGTCCTCTTTGACCTAGTCCTCCTCCTTCTCGGTCTTGATCTTCCTTACTTCCTTTCCCATCGATTTCTGACCGGCTTCCCTTCAAGGCGTTCCGTTCTGTCTGAAGAACAACTACCCCACGGTTACGAATTTACAGGATTCCGGCACTCGCCGATCGACGACCATGGAGAACCACAGAGTCGCGGATTGGACGGCGTTCCAGATCTTTGCGAGGCTTCTCGATGGGAAGACGGCTACCCTGCGATTCGCAGCGCCGCAAGCCTACACTCACGAAATCAAGCGCCGAATCTTCGAGATCACCAGAATCCCTGTTGGATACCAGAGGCTTGTCAGCGGCGGCCGCCAGCTCGATGACGATTCCGTCGTCTCGACGCCGGAGTGCAGCGTTCACCTCTTGCTCGGCCTCCGTGGCGGGAAGGGAGGCTTCGGCTCGCTTCTTCGTGGCGCCGCCACCAAGGCCGGGCAGAAGAAGACGAACAATTTCGACGCCTGCCGGGATATGAGCGGTAGAAGGCTGCGGCATGTGAATGCCGAAAAGAGGTTGGAGGAGTGGAAAGCGGGGGAGGCGGAGAGGAGGCTGGAGAAAGTTGCAGACGACTTTCTCAAGAAGAATGCGAAGAAGAATGCGAAGAAGGGGAACGGGGATGGAGAAGCCGCGAAGTACGTGGCTAAATACAGAGAGGATTCTGCTAAGTGTGTGGCAGAGGTTGAGGATGCCGTGAGAGAGGCTTTTAGTAATGGGAGTGGGAAACGAAAGGGGAAGTTCCCCATTAAGGACGCCAAGAAGTTGAAGAATTGGTAAGTGCGCTTTAGGGTTTCTAAAGCTGTTGTTGGATGTCTTCCTTTCTGATTTTTGGTACTCTTTTTTTGCTGAAGAACTTGGCGATGAACTGGGAATTGGCGGATACCATTCTGTTCTCGCGGGAGAACGTTAGGGCTTGGTTTTTTGTTTTCCCCCTTTTCATGACGTTACTGATATTGGTCATTCTGAATGTTTACCAGTTATATTCTGAATTGATTATAGTTCTGGTTATCCCCAATGCTGCTGTTGAAAAGTTTGGGTTTTAAGGATTGATGTGTGTTTTCTTATTTATTAGGTTGGGGAAGAAGATGTTGGGTGTAAGTGATTCTGAAGACTCAGAAGATAATAGTGAGAGTGAGGGAACTGAGAAATCTGTTATACTGAATGGCGGGAGTAATTCAGATCCTAATTCAGACTCGGTTTCTGATTGGAAGCAAAACGCAGAATGTTCTGCTTCTGCTTCTGGTGAGAGTGGTAGGGAGGAAGAGAAAGAGGTTGCCGAGGGGCACAACAGTAAGTCAAGTTCTCAAAGAGATGCTATCAATGACATGGAGACGGTAGCTGAACCTGACACTTGCTCCGAGGTAGCAGCACATAGTCCCACGGTCAATGGCTTGGAGGTTGCTAAAGCTTCTGGACCTGATGAGATGACAATGGAACGTCGAGAGATCCCCTGTTCCGAGAATGTGGAAGTTACAGCAGACAACCTAGTTATTGGTGTGACAAATGGCCCTGGAGACTTAAAAGCAGATAAGGAGGAAGAAATTGTAGTTGCAGAGACGAGTAATGCTGATTTGGAGAAGCAGCTAAATCTTGAAGATTTCACTTCACCTACTGATTTGGAGGTATATTCTTGTTTGTAGTCGCCTTGTCACAGCTTACGAAGTTGTGCTTAGTCCTGAGTTGCTTTTTCAAATGCTTGGCCTTCAGATGATTCACTTGTTATGTTAAGTAATCATAAGCTCTTTTAAGGATTTTGCTCGTCTTCATGTACATCTGAAGTCATTTGTGGGATATATGATGGATAAATAGAGAATCATTTCATGTATAGAATTGCCAAAGGACGAACACATTCGCGAACCTAATGACATGTTTGATTAGAATTCTTGTTGGTTCCTTGTTCTTTGTTTACTGATATTTTTTTTTTGTGTTCTGACCATGTACAGGTTCTGGGATTGGAGAAGCTGAAGACGGAACTGCAAGCCCGTGGTCTGAAATGCGGAGGCACTCTCCAAGAGCGAGCGGCGAGGCTTTTCCTCCTCAAGTCGACCCCTGTAGATAAACTACCTAAGAAGCTGCTCGCCAAGAAATGAACCCTCTTTGATTTTACTGCCTCCATGAACAAAGGAAAGGTACCATCCTTCCTTCAAAATGTATTGTAAAGTGACGTTTTTTGTTGTTGGAAGTTACTGTCCTCTTGATCAGAAGGGTGAGATAAACAATGTGTGTACTCTGATGGATTCTCTTATAATGACTTAGCCAGACCAGATGTGGATTGGATCACTTACTATTGTTGCTGTGGCTAACGGTGAGAACTGAGAAGTGAGATGGGGATGGTGATTCCGTGTCGAGTCTTTCTGTCGTAGAAATGACGATTGTGCACAAACAATTACGACTGGGTGGCACTTTGGACCAAAGGGTGGGAACCTAGTATTGGTTCTTTGGTTAGACCGAAATCAAAATTAATCGGCACAAAAAAAAAAAAAAAAGACGAAGCGACATTTGTATTGGTTCTAGTATATGTACACATGGAATATAAGCATTCAAGACGATGAATTTCAAGAGGGAAGTCTTGAATTACAAATTTACAACATGCAAGATGTTGTGTTCCAGTAATAATGTATGAAATTCTCGAAAGAACGTCTTGAAAAAATGGTTAATAATGCTAATTGATTGACTATGTTTCCATTACAGGTATTACTTAGATGTGGATCAAACCATTTGTATTGTTATTATAACAAATTCTAAAAAGAGGAAGAAGTGAGACCACGATGATCATTCAATCCTAAACATATAGCTACCACTGGGTAATAAGTAGACGATATAAAAAGATGAGCATGACTTAATGGATTTTAAACGATTGAGAAGAGAGCCGAATCTCATAACCCTTGACGTAGTTTTTCAAGTACTAGTTTTAATTTTTATTTTCAAGTTGTTTCCCAAACACAATAATTTGTTTTCTTTAGTTTTTGTCTTTAATTGTCACACTCACAAAAAAGAAATGCTTTCTAAATAAATTTAGCTTTTAGGTTTTAGCTTGCATTTCAGACATTTTTTATGATTTCATAAATGAATATAATGAAAAGCTTGAAAAATTAAAATTTCAAAACCTTTTATATGATGCAATTTACATTTCATGAACCGAACCGTACAGGCACCGGTGCTGGTCCAACCAGAAGTCCGGACTGAATTCCGGTCGGTTACTAGGCCCGTGACCTCAGTTTCCGGCCGAAAAAAGGGTATACATTGTCGTTCAAGTTTCGATTCTCTCATTCACAGAGTTGAGAGAGATTACCCGTCTCTCATCACCTGCCTCCTCCTCGCGCCGCGCGTTCCCCTCGTGGCTGTGCTTCCTGTACGAAGCTCCGCTGCAAGTTCTGCTTCCGTTGGCGCTCTCAGTCGTTTCCTTCTTAAAGTGAAACTGCAAAAGCTGACTTGAACCCTTTCTCTGAGAAGCCAGAAGTCACAGCGGAAGGTACATCAAATCCCTGAACTCCGAGCCAAGAAATTTATATAGTTTTCTCTTGTTTTCCTGTTGCTGCGTGTTTGTCTTGTTAGTACAGATGAACTCTAGGTTTCGCTTTCCTTCACCCTAAGTTCTAAACAATAAATGGCGTTCGACTGTTTAGAGTCTAGGGTTTAGTTCTCGGTAGTGGAAAATAGGTGACTTAAAGTTGGAGATGCGGTTTTTCAGAGTTGTTCTGTAGGGTTATGTCGAGAATAGGTGCTTATGATGGTGGGGTGTCTGTTTGGATGGCTCATAGTTGCTTTGCAGAGGGGAATGGAGATACATATTGAAGATTTTTCACACTCTTAGAAGGCAAAAGATTAGTTACAGAATCACACAGCTGGCATTAGGCGAGAGTTGCTTATTAAGTGAAAAGACGACATCTTGAATATGAACGGTAGGTTATAGAGTCGAGGCTTTGTGGTGGAAAGGAGCTAATGCATGCCTTCGGTCGCAGTGAAGGTGATTGAGTTAAAATGCTTTAATACTGTCTGTTTTAAGTGTTCTCTGAACATGGAACCTTCAGGTCCTTGGTATCCCATCTCACGTTTGTTATGACCACCATTCCAAAATCTGGTGCTCTAAGAATATACTAGTTACATTCTGATCTTTACTCCCCCCCCCCCCCCCCCCCCCCCCCCCCCGGGTCTCCTCTCTCTCACACACACAAGACACAACTGTGTCTTCTTTGCCACTAAGAGCTAGCCTCTGCATATTAATTGTTTTGCACTTCAGTTTGCTGCCTTTTCCTTCATAATTCTGATCTTGGTGAATCATGTGCTTGCCATAAATCGGGCTATATTTTGCAGGGATGACGTCGAATATAATACTCTTCGAGGACATTTTTGTTGTTGACGAGATCAACCCAGATGGTAAAAAATTTTATAAAGGTATTTTCCTTGCACTTCCGCTTGCAAATTTTATCACTTCACGCTTACCTCATCTTAGTACTCCCCATAGTATGATCTCATTATATGTAAATGGGTTTTAGCTTCCCTTGTCCTTGGTTCTAACTTAAAGAATGGAATGAATGTAGAGTAGTGTGTATACTGTCTAGATTGCTCGAGGGGAATGTGGTTTTATGTAGGGGTGGGATTCGGTCGGTAAACAATTTACCGTTTACCGAATTTACCGGTTTCGGTATACCGAAGTTGGCCAAACTGGTTACCGATTACCGATACCGGTTTGTAACCGGTTTACCGATTACCGAATTACCGGTAAACGGTAACAAACCGGTATTACCGAAATACCGTGAGAAGCGATTTCGGGTGATTTTTTCGGTCGGTTTACCGAATATTTACCGAACCGAATCTCTGGAAGTGGGGTGATGTTGTAATATTTCGATTTTTTTGAGTTTTTTTCATCATTTTAGTAATTAATAATTTATTATTAACTCTTATTTACAATATTTTTGAGGCCTATACTTACATTCATGTATGTAATATTTTATATTAACTCTTATTTACAATATTTTTGAGGCGCAACACTAGGGAGTAGGGAGGGGGGATTCGGTATCGGTAATACCGATTTACCGTCGGTATTTACCGATACCGTTTTCGGTAAACCGACTCCCCCAACTTCCCGCTCGGCTACCGATACCGCCGGTAAACGGTTTACCGTTTACCGCCGGTTACCGGTTCGGTAAAACGGTAAACCGTTTACCGGATTACCGTTTACCACCCCTAGTTTTATGGACAATGGTCCCGCTTAATGTATAACTTGCTTATTGGAGCTTCACTATGAATTTATGGGGGAAATCGTTCTCTCTTTGGACACTTTGGATTGGGTTGAGGCAACTCACAATGCACTTCTCTCTAGTGAAAGCCACATTATGCTTGCACCCTATTTAGCTTGGTAGTTTTTTTTAATATTCTTTTTCTTTTGTAGCTTGTCGGATCGTAGCACGTAGCCAAAACTGTGACATGTCCATGCAACTCGATATCAACAACGAAATATATCCCATGAATGTGAATGACAAATTTACGATGGCATTGGCATCTACGCTGAATTACGATGGGACACCTGACACTGGCTATTACAATGCAGTAAGCTTTTCTCTCTACCTTGTACTAGAGATACATAAGAGAAATCTGAATGTTAAGTATGTGTTTGTCTATGAGGCTACATTTCACAAACAATGATTTTCTATTGCTTAGACACCTCCACTTTATCTGTGGTGATCATTTCTTCAGTCAGGTTTAGGTTCAAGCATTTGGTGTTATGTGATATGTCTTTGTCCTATGCATGTCATTTGGCTTCCAGTTGGCATTCAACTTTGTTGGTTGGTCAAACTTCAAGTAAAGGTCATGTAAAATTTTCCATTTGGTGCAAGTCTCGGTTATTTCACCTTTAACCCTCCAAAAGTTGTTAGGAACGGATCATCTGAAGTTTACATGCTAGTCTTAACTGTTTCATAACCTTAGTAGGTTACAATTAATTAGTTCAATCATGTCGAAGCATAAAAAAGAAGAAGAATACATTAGTTTTTCTGGAATTTATCTGTATGGGTACTTGCTGCAATTTTTCCTTTTGATTTGCCCTGTCATGAAGCTCATTGTCTCTCTTTTTTGACATTGTATATTTTCTCAGGCGAAAAGGAAAAACCTTGCGGACAAATATGAATATGTCATGCACGGGAAGCTATACAAGCTATCAGAGGAAGGTTCAGGAAGATCGATTACAGCGTATGCATATATTTGAGAACTTTCATATTCTACTATTGTCTTCCCTTTTAGAACTTACAGGGGCTTGTGATTCTTCGCGTTGGGTTGCAGGGAATTATATGCTTCCTTTGGCGGGCTTCTGATGTGTCTCAAAGGGGATCCTTCTCATGTAGCTCACTTTGAACTTGACCAGAGAGTGTTCCTTCTGATAAGGAAGATCAACAAGTGATAGCAGTATCCATATGATGAAGCGACTTGTTATCAGACGAACATGCATTTGTCTGATAATTATGATACTTGAGAGATCGGCCATGGGTATTTAAGTAGAGTGGGCTACTTTGAAGTTTGGCGGTTTATCTTTATAACTCGATTTCTTCTTCAGCTAATGGTACTAGTGCCTTTTATGTTTTCCCCCCTGTAAACATTGAACCGAAGGGCGTCTTAACCTATTATATTAAGCAAATGGGTCTCACATATTCCGTCAAGGCTATACAAGAACCAATGTGAACTACGATTCTGCATATCGATGATATGATAACCAAATGGCGAGCCATGTCCTTGATGGGCAGGGTAGTTTGCTGTGGAGTTGTTGTCTCTGTAAACATGGGTAAGAACTAAGAAGTACTTCCCATTTGAATATGAGCGTGATCTACCTGTTGGAAGAGAGATTTCTGTCTATTGAACTAGTTTCTTGAATCCCATCTTACAAACTAGTTTGACACTGTAAGGTAACGCCAACTCAACTCTACTGATAGTTTCACATTGACTGTCAAGGCCGAATTGATCATTCTCTCTTTTGATAATGCCACCTTCCGAAATCGAATCCGTGGGATGCTACACAGAGCTGTTTAACTGGTGGAATGCCTTTTATGTTGATTCTTAGTCCAAGTACTTTGTTTTGGCCGTTTCTGGGTGATCTTTGTTGTTATGTCTGCGGTTAAATTGTACGGCGGCGACGTGTTCATCGACAGCTATTCTTTGGTTGTTCTCTGAGCTTGGAATCATTCCCCTGTTTCGAAAGGACGGGGAAAAAACAGAGGTTGGGAGAAATGGAGGAAGTCAGCATCCTAAACTGGCTGGGGAAGGTCTCTCCTCCGAAGAATGATTACCGTACAGCAAGCAGTGCATTAAAGGATTAATATTCTGCGGCTTGTCGATGAAGCAGGTGATGCCTGTTCCTTGTTTTTGTTCACAGCTTCTCGTTGGACTTTTATGTCCATTCTTGTCCGTACTCTCCTCTGGAACCTTAAACAGAGGACGATGATCGATCGAACTTTGTTCACTTCTCCCTTCCATGTTAAATACCCAGCTAGCTAGCTTTTTCATTCCTCCACCCAAAGTCCCAACACACACACTCTCTCTCTCTCAAAATCTGAATTGGGTTTTCTGAAAAATGGTGGCTTTCTTCTCATTGGAGCTGATAACTGGGGCTGCTTCGAACTCGGTGATGGTCTTCTTCTTCTGCAATTTGATCATCGTCACCATCCTCGTTGCCTCCTCGATACCTCCTCCTTCGACAACATGCGAAATTCACCATGTGTCAACGGTGGGAACCCCTTACCTCTACCCCTACGTGACTATTCACCAGCAAGAGGAGACTCTGGTTATTGGTGGTGAGAATGATGCTCTGCATCTCAATGATGAAAACAGAGCATCTTGGTCGTTGTCGTGCTCGGAACCGAAGTTGGCCGCATTGGCAACAACTCCCCACCAAGATGAAGAAGAAGAAGAGGAGAAAGAAGATGAAGAAGAGGAGAAAGAAGCTGATTGCTGCGCTGGAGAAAATGGTAAAGAGGACTACAATGACAATGATGAATATGAGGAGGAGGATGATGAACTAAGAAGGAGAGTTGAAGAGTTCATAGAGAAGACAAACAAAGCATGGAGGGCGGAATTGCTGAGAACATCAAAATCGCCGCGGCTGATGATTGCTGGTTGATTGCTCCCAACTCACAATATATGAAATGGTGATCGATGGGTGGAATTCAGGAACAGAGTTTTTTTTATTGTTCCCAAGGAATTAGGAAATTCAGGAAGCCATGTCCAGAAATTTTGATGGCTGGCTCCTTTTTTTTTATTAATCTTTCTCTCTTTCTGCGCTGAAAATGAAATGTATTCTTTTGTTCTTTATCCAAAATTTATTATGCAATTATTTAAACAATAATCTCTCTAAGTTCTTGATGATCAAGCTCTGTCTGCAATGCATACATCTTTTCTGCTCTGAAAAATGAAATATATAGTCTTCATTCTTTCTCGAAATGTATTACACGGTTATTTGAACCAGAATCTCTATATTCAAAGTCCGATTTCGCGACGAAACTTGTGTTTGTTCATCTTGATGATCAAGCTCCTGTCTGCAATGTATACATCTTTCATCCATCCAGTTCACCTGCGCAGCATGTCTCTAATTGATTGCAGTTTTGCAGCTGCAGCGGCCATGTTCATTCGTTGCCCGGGCGACTCAGAGGAGCAAGCAACTCCAACTTCAAGTATTGAAACCAAACAACCATGCACCCTCTCCATCTGCAAAACACCTATCCTTTTCTTCCTCGTAACTTTGCCCTTTCCTATTCCACCATCATCATATGGTACAACCTCTTCAGAGAGAAGAACCGGGTCTAGTATGGATCCAAGGTTTCCAGGCGAAGCAGCCTTAGCTAAGCTATGGAGATTCAGACCTTCTCTGAACATTTCATCCGTTGGTCGCCTTCTCGTAAACATTTCGAGGACGAGAATCCCATAACTGTACACGTCTCCTCGCGCTGACACATTCGAGCCCATCCCATATTCTGCAGTTCATATACATCTTGTTAAGAGAGTGCAAGGCTTGAATTTACCGTCGAATCAACGTACAAAGGGCTCGAATTTACCTGGAGCAGCATAGCCGATAGTCCCCTTTACACCACTTGTAGTTGCAGTGCTATGAGAAAATGGCTCACCGTTAGAGAGAAATCTTGCCTGACCGAAGTCACTAACATGACCCACCATGTGACGGTCAAGCAGAACGTTACTAGGCTTCAAATCACAATGAATGATCGGCGTCTCGCAGAGATTGTGCAGATAGTGCATTGCTGATGCCACATCTATTGCAATGTTCAATCTTTGAATCAGGCTCAGATTGTTGGTAGCTTGGTTCACTATATCAGATGTTATTGAAGTAGTCCCATAGAGCCAATCCTCCAAGCTTCCGTTCTCCATGTACTCAAACACCAATGCCTTGAATTCCTTACCCTTGTGGTCCAAGCTAGAGCAAAAGGAGACCACCTTTACGAGATTTCGATGACGAATGTTCCTCAATGCGTTGCATTCCGCGGCTAAGCTCTTGTCAGCTTGATCGTGCTTCAGATCGAGTACCTTAACGGCTACTGGGTTCTCCATATGCTCCAGTTTCCCCTTGTAGACGGTACCAAACCCGCCAGAACCGAGTAAGTTGGCTGCGGAGAAGCCATCTGTTGCTTTATGGAGGTCTCCGTAAGAGACCCTCATGAATTGGTCTGGAATCGCATCTTCGATGGATCGCTTCTTCCTCGATGTTTTATACTTGTGGATCAAGACCAATGCTAAGAAAATGAGAAGAATGAATGCAGACACAGGCAAAGCAATTTCGACTCTCAATTTAACTCGCCCAGAAGCAGAAGCCGCAGCAGCTGGTTTAGCAGTTGAGCACTTTGGTAACTGAAGTTGAATGACACCACCGCATAGCTGAGGATTACCCATCAACGAAATGGCGCTGGCATTCGAGAATATCCCTCCACTTGGCACTTCACCTTCCAGATCGTTGAACGAAAGATTCAGATATTGGAAGAACTTGACATTCTGCAGCTCTGCTGGGATATTTCCTGTCAACTTGTTGTGGGAAAGATCCAGTTCTTGGAGAGTTTTCATGGATGCCAATGGTGCAGGAATAGTTCCTTCAAAGGAATTTCCCTGCATAAAAAGATGCTCCAAGCTACTGCATTCCCCAATCGAGCTAGGAATTTCGCCTGTCAGGTTATTGTAGGACACATCAAGTGCATTCAGATTAACCAACTTCCCTACTTCCTTAGGCAGCTTGCCACTGAACAAATTAACTGACAGGTTCAGCAATGTGGTTAACGAGGACAAGCTCATCACCTCTGGAGGTATATCTCCACTGAGTCCATTCTCAGCAACGTGAATGAAGGCCAAGCTCTGACAATTCCCTAGACTTGCAGGAAGGGTTCCTTCAAGCCTGTTGGTGGACAAGTCGAGCTCGACCAATCTACTGAGGTTCCCCAACGAGTCCGGTATTTCGCCCGAGAAGTCATTCCCATGTAAGATGAGTCCTTGAACATTCTGCATCTTACCAAAATATGAAGGAATGGTGCCACTCAGCATGTTCAAGGACAGATCCACATAGGCCAAACCCATCAGATTCTGCAGCGAGTCGGGGAGAGCACTGATTTGGTTGACTCCAACCAACAACTCACTGAACTGGGTTGATGACAAATTCCCCACAGAGTCCGGCAATGATCCCCCGAAGTTGTTCCTCGATATCCCCACGCGTCGAAGCTGGCTGCAGTTCACCAACGAAGCCACGAAATCGAAGTCACCAGTCGAATTGTGACCGAGACTGTTGTTGCCCACATCCAACCACAGTAGACCCCCAAAATTCCCCAGGCAGTTCGGAATCCTGCCAACAAAATTGTTGCTATTCATGTTCATGTCCACAAGCTTCGAAGCGTTGCAGAACGATTCTGGGATCGTCCCCACGAGATTGTTCCCCGAGATTTCGAAGTAGTTAATGTTGGTCAATGTGTGGCCTAGATTCTCAGGCAAGCTGCCTTCCAGGTTGTTGTAAGTAAACACCATGTTTTGCAGGGATGAGAGGTTGTAAATGGAGGGAGGAATTTTACCAGAGAGTTGGTTTATCCCCATGGTAAGCGACCTCAGCTTGGAAAGCTGCCCAAAGCTGTCAGGAATCCGTCCCGCCAAATTGTTGAACGCAGCACCCAAATTGGCGAGCTGCGAGAGATTTCCCAGGGAAGGTGGCAGCTTTCCCGTCAGATTGTTGGTCCCAACTCTTAGATACTCGAGCTTTGCTAAAGAGCCCAGCTCGTCAGGTATCGTTCCTATAAGCCTGTTTATCTGCAGCGACAGGATCTTGAGCTTCGAGCAGCGGCTCAAATTGACAGGAATCGCGCCATCGAATGTGTTTTCTGAGAGGTTTAGCTGCTGGAGCCTGACCAAGTTGCCTATCTGTGATGGGATTTGGCCATAGAAGCGGTTGTTGGCGAGGCTGATGGAAGTAAGAAAGCTTAAGTTGCCGATGTGTGGAGGCAGAGTACCTGCCAGATTAAGATCTGGCAGGAAAAGGGATGTGACTCTGCTGTTACTTCCCCTGCCGCAGAGGACGCCAGGCCAGCTGCAGAAATGGAGGGAATCGTTCCATGAGTTGAAAACGCCATCTGGGTCATGGCTGATTCCTTTCTTGAACTCCAGCAGCGCGACCCGATCGGTGTCGTTGTTGGCTGAAGCTTCATGAGCTTGCCAGGTGAAACAGCTGAGTGATAAGAGGACGATGAACTTGGTTAGAGCTTGAGATGCAAACGCCATGGACGAAAGGACAACGACGAAGCTAGCTTGACAGTGAACAGAGTATTGAAAGAGGTAATTTTTCCCCAGCGGGGGCAATTTGATGCATGGATTCGTTGAATTCCTGTACCAAGTTTTTATGTGAAGTCTGAATTGACCGGAGTTGGAAGGGCAGGTTTTTATATTGCAAGTCTAACATAGGATGATCTCACAATATGGCGTCGTGATAAGACGTGCTGCAAATAAGTAATGGCATCTCATTTTATGTCGTTTAGGTATGGAAAAGTTGTCTTGGTACAACTTGTAAATGACACAAGTTGTAAAGATTGTTCTATTTTTATTAGAATATATGATTTCGTATTAATCACGCACAAGGAGTGATTGATCAGATTTGGTAATTGATTGATGGTACTGAAATATATATTGACGAGATAGGGATAAGGACTATTGTCTTTGGGTTCGTGCACGGGAACCTCGAACCTTAATAAACGAAGCCAGTGGAAAAGCTAGGTTGATATACTAGTCGTAACAAATTTAGTAGCAGATCTAGGAGATATACTAGTCGGTAAGGCCTTAGCCCCTTCTCTCTCAGTTACCACGATTCAAGTCAACCCCCTCATATCTATTCTTCGCTCCGCCACTGAACGAAACAAGGTTAATAAACAATTTCAAATCCATATCATCCATCACCAAAAGTTCTAATAGATTAAAACTATCTAAAAAATGAAACCATAATTTTTTATAATTCAAGTTAGTAATTAGGATGACAATCCGTAGGTGACCATACAAAGGCGATAAGGAGACTGAGAAACGAAAAAGAGGAAGAAGAAATAAAATTAGCAATTCATGTTAGATGGTTTTCGTTTATCTTAAAGTATTTGTTTTCCTTAATATTTTTGTGGTTAAAACAGTAAACTAATGAACCACTCAAATTGGAGTGCTTCATCTGATTTCATGTCAAACTGTTAAAAATCGTTCGGTTCATTTCTAGCCGTGAACCAACTTCAACTTATTGTGTGTTTTGTTTAGAAACTGTGATTAGATTCATTATTTTTTCTAGTGTCCATGATGGTTGACCGACCATATAGTTCTGACCGGCCCGGTTAAGCCGATTGTGGACATGGATAAACAAATACCTTTCTATAACTAGCTATGAGCTCAGCCATACACGATTTAATGAGATGCTGACATCATCATTAGTGTACTTCTATCATAATTGTCATTTTCTTTTAATTATGACAAAATTTCCTCTCAATTATTGCACATAAATTGGGAGAGCGAATCCAGGGTATAACCTAATAATTATGTATGTTGTGCATAAGTGCATAACCTAATAATGATGCATGGACTATGGTGTTAGTGTATAAATGTTCTTCCATTAGTTTTTTATTGAATATATATTTCACCCATTTTAATTCGCATTTGTTTGTACAAAAAATCTTATTAATTGACCTTAGTATATTTTGAAATAAAATAAAAAATACTTCAGTCGATGTGTCATTTACGGAGTATACTATGGGACACCATGGTGGTACGGAAAACTATACCATGGTGTTATGAATAATATATATATTAATATGATAGGATAGTGGTATCCAACTGTATGTGGTTTGAAATTTTTTGCACGAACTATATCGAGCATGTAGTTCATCTTCTAGATCATAATTAACGTTAAAACATAAGAGGTATAAGATGGTTAAAAAATTTGTCAATCTCAACCATCATATATTTCTAACTAAAAATCAAAAGATCGTATTTATCTAATCCATGATTTTATGTTCAAATTCATTCGAAGAGAACAGTCAATATTCCTCTAGGGAGATGCAATATGTGATTAGGGTTCCACATGCCTATTTTCTTTCATTCATATCGACTCAAAGAGCGACTTAGGTGGTGATTACGTACCATAATGTCGTGAGTTCGAATCTCTGTCATACACACTTCCTAACAACTCCTGTCCGTTCCATATAACCTATTTCTTTCATTCGTAGATGATTCAACAAATACAATTCATAAACACACTTCCTTGAAACCTCTCTATAAACACACTATTCTAAGCAATAAGCATCCTTCCAAAAGGATTCAAGGAGCTCCCACACCATTTTCAACCATACCAAATTCAGATACTTCCCCTGAATCCTGATGATTGACAGAGCTTATTACCAAAAGGTAAAAGTAAAATTCTCACCATTACAGCTTTGCTTGACCAGGCAAATAGAGCAGAGCACTGTAGGGAAGCTGGCTGGGTCGTGGTCAACTTCAATGGTGCCTGCAGTAATCATGGAACACGAATTTCTCAGTCCACTCAGGATCCAACTTCCACCCGAGGAAGGTTAGGCGGCGCTACAAAAACAAAGGGAGCCAATAGCAATCAAATCCCTCCATAGCTCTGGTTAAAGATTTGAATATTGAAGAGAGAGAAAAAAAAAATGGCCAACTTGCCATTTGAAGTTTTAAAATGGCTCCCCACATGACCTGATTCGTTTTTCTTCTCTTAATGTCTCTGTTTAACCTCCCAACCCCAAAAAACAGAGCAACTATGGCGAAACCATCAACACCCACGATGAAGTTGAAGTGTGCGACCTTCGCAGCAGCTCTCCTCTCCAGCCTCTGTTTCCGCCTCGCCGCGGCGGCGGATTCCAACTCCAACAACGATACCATAACCACCGCCCAGCCTCTCCGAGACGACGGCGAGGCGCTGACTTCCGCCGACGGCACCTACGCCATGGGATTCTTCTCCCCCGGGAGCTCGAAAAACCGGTACTTGGGAATCTGGTACAGACAAATTCCTGACATGACCGTAGTTTGGGTAGCCAATCGGGACAAACCCATCACCCAAACAGACGCCGCCCTTCTCCAGCTGACCGGCGACGGAATTCTCCTGCTCCTTAGTCGAATCAATGGCACCACCCTCTGGTCGTCTTCTTCACCTTCTTCTCCATCTTCAGGTTCGTCCCTCCCCGTGGCTCAGCTTCTGAACACAGGAAACCTGGTGGTGAAACCAACACCTCAGGGCGGCGACGAGTTCATCTGGCAGAGCTTCGACCACCCAACCGACACATTTCTCCCCGAAATGAAGCTGGGGAGGAACCTAATTACGGGCCTGAATCGCCGGATCACGTCGTGGTTGTCCCCCGACGATCCTTCCACGGGGAATTTCACCTGCGGGATGGAGCTCGGGGGCTACCCTGAGCTCGTGGAGACACACAATTCGATGGGCGAAACGTTTCGGACCGGACCTTGGACGGGGCAGAGTTTCAGCGGGACGCCGCATTTGAATCCAAATCCTGTCTACACTTACAATTTCGTGTTCACCGATGAGGAGACTTACTACATCTACCATCTCCGCAACAACTCTGTTCTCTCCAGGATGGTCATTACTCCGACGGGCGCGATTCAGAGGTACACATGGCAGGGGAGCAAACAGGGGTGGGTGGTTTACCTGACAGCGCAGAACGACAACTGCGATCGGTACGGAGTGTGTGGAGTTTATGGGAACTGCGACATCGAGAGCTCGCCGAGTTGCGGTTGTCTCGATGGGTTTGTGCCCAAGAATCAGAGGGAGTGGGATATGGTGGATTGGACGAGCGGATGTGTTCGGAGGACACCGTTGAATTGCTCTGGAGATGGGTTTGTGAAGCATTCGGGGATTAAGATGCCCGAGACGCGAAACTCGTCGTGGTTTAACGCAACGATGAGCTTGGCGGAGTGCAGGGAGGTTTGCATCAGGAACTGTTCTTGTACCGCTTACGCGAATTTGGACCTCACCGACGGAGGCACTGGCTGCCTCATATGGTTTACTGAGCTGCTGGATATCAGGGTGCTGTATGCCAATCGTCAGGATCTCTATATCAGGATGGCAGCTTCAGAATTGGGTAAGTGTAAAATTGTTGTATGTTCTTTGATGTTGGCAACTTGGTAACGTATTTATTGTTTCCCCCATTTTGTGGAACCAGATGGCAGTGGCAACTTGAAGAAGGATGTGCAGAAGTCGAAGAAAGCGGTGTGGATCGTCTTGGCCTGCACGGTATCAGCTGGAGTCTTGTTGGTGAGCCTTGGATTGGTTGTTTGGTTTAAGAGAAAGAAGCAGCGCGAGCAGGATGGTATGTGCTTACCAATCATCGATCTTCTCGGTGTAAGTATTGATTCGTCTACTAGTTCTAACTGGTGATGGAGTTTTGCAGGTACAGATTGTCCGTGTTTCGTTAGTTCAAGTCGAAAGAAAGACGAGCTGGAGTTGCCATTGTTTGATCTGGCCACCGTTGCTTCTGCAACAAACAACTTCTCTTCTGAGAATGTCCTAGGGCAAGGTGGTTTTGGGCTTGTTTATAAGGTAGTACAACATTTCTTCATTTACTTGGGAAAATGTATGTTACTTGTTAGAAGGGCCATCGGACTTAACTTGCTGTGTGTACAGGGGATTATGAGAGATGGGCAGGAAGTCGCCGTGAAGAGGCTATCGAAGGATTCGCTACAAGGAGCAGAGGAATTCAAGAACGAAGCAACCAACATCGCCAAACTTCAACACCGTAACTTGGTGAGGCTTCTAGGATGTTGCATTCAACGCGACGAAAGAATGCTGGTTTATGAGTTCATGCCCAACGGAAGTTTAGACTTCTTGATTTTCGGTTTGTTGACATCCCCCTACTACACATAATCTACGCATATCTGTCAAAGCAAAACAGCTGAATTCTTAACTAATGGGAACAATGTCCTATCATGTTGCAGATACAACTCGGAGCCAGGTACTAGATTGGCCTACGCGATATAACATCATCAAAGGGATCGCTCGGGGACTGGTATACCTTCACCAAGACTCGAGGTTGAGAATAATCCACCGCGATCTCAAAGCCAGCAACATACTACTGGACTACGAGATGAACCCAAAGATTTCTGATTTCGGGTTGGCAAGAACTTTCGCCGGAAATGATTCACAAGGAAACACAAGAAACGTTGTGGGAACCTAGTAAGTAAAGAATATATTTGATCAAGAATCGCTCGCATGAACTCTCTTGAGCTAATGAATGAATCAAACGATGCAGTGGTTACATGTCGCCGGAGTACACAATCGACGGGGTTTACTCCATCAAGTCGGACGTTTTCAGCTTTGGAGTGATGGTGTTGGAGATAGTGAGCGGGGAAAGAAACAGGGGATTCCGCCGTCGTGATCATGAACTCAACCTCCTTGGCCATGTAAGCTCGTACTTGCTAAACCCTTTTAGTATTTCCAAATACCCACATCGAAAAGATTCGAACTTGAAGAAGAATTTGCTGATTTCGGTTGTTTTTCCTTTTGGGGTTCAGGCATGGAGCCTGCAGAAGGAAGGCAGGGCTGCAGAGCTAGTAGATGCGACACTAAGAGGATCCTGCGACCAGATACAGGTGCTGAGGCTGGTCCACATCGGTCTACTGTGCGTGCAGAAGAGACCAGACGATCGGCCGAGCATGGCGGCGGTGGTCGTTATGGTCGGCGGCGATGGAGACTTGCCGGAACCGACGGAGCCTGGGTTCTTCGTGGCTAGGGATGTCGTCTATGAATCAACTTCTTCTTCGTCGAGTGGAAACAGAGGACCCAGTTCGCATGCTTCCATGTCTACGACCCTTGTGCTCCCCAGATAATGGGAGGAAAGAAAGGGCATCGTCGTCATCACCGATCAACTGTGAATCCGTTGTATATCCTTTTAGGTGTAAATTCGAGGAGCTGGGTCAAGATTTTGTTTTCAACAAGGTTTAGTCAATGTTTTCTAATTTGAGTTGAGTTGTAAGAAAAACCTACTGACGAGGCTTTTGATTGTTTTGATTGGTGATAATTTGTTCTCCATAGTTTATGCCTTCTATGTTCAGAATCGTAGAGTAGTAGTATTATAATGCCATCGTATTCCCTGACAACCGGCAAGATTAGGTTTTGTGAGTTGTGACAACGGACAGAAGTTGTAGCATATACATTTAACCTTGATATAAGATTTTTCCCAAAAAGACAATCCTAACTAAAATTATGCCCAATATAAAACATTTATACTAAAGTTTTCCAACATATGAGAGTTTTGTGTGGTTCGCTACAGTGCTCAACGATCCTCATATTAGTTTGTTGGAGATAGGAGTGATTCACTCTGATTGTTACTAGCTCCAGCGATCCCGTCCAGAAAAATCGCAAGATAAACCAGCGAACTATACCTAACACACACAGTAAGAACTCTGTGATCGATTCTTCGATCATAATGATTACTTTTGATTTTGCTGCCTTTGTCGCCATAGATAGACGTTTGCTATCCCACACAGGCAAGTTTGTGAGTTCATAGATTGATACAATGATATTTTGCATTATCTCTTCTTTGTCGTCTTCCACATCAGTCAGCAAGACGAAGCAGAGGGAAGCTTCCACCGCCATGCGAGAGAACAATTGAAATGAAAATGGTCCATTCAATCAATGGCGAATGAGGTCATTTTTGGATGACTACGTGATTCCCAAGAATTTCTTCAGCCGCCTTTAAGATCCAAAACCAACTGTTCCTCCATTGGCCAAACGGAGGACCTTATACCCTTCAGCATCAGCAGCACTATAATATAAACAAACCCTCGAGGCTTTCAACAAGAACATTAACAAATATCTGAATCTCATTCATACAAGGAGAGAAACAGAGAGATGGGAAGTACAGTGGAAGACGTGGTGATAGTCGGTGCCGGGATAGCCGGCATAGCGACGGCGGTGGCTCTGAACAGAGTTGGGATCCGAGCTCTGGTTCTGGAGAAATCCGACGAGCTCAGAACCACAGGAGCTGCGCTCACTCTGTTTCCCAACGCCTGGCTCGCACTGGATGCGCTCGGCGTCTCCCACAAGCTCACTCCCCTTTACGCTCCTATCACCTCCGGCTCCGTCACCAACGTCGCCACCGGAGCTGTTCAAGAAATCAACTTCGTCGGACAATCCGGGTATATTCTCTCTCCCCTGTTTTCTCTCTGCTTTCCCCTGTTCTTGGCTCTGAAATGAAAACTTCTCCTGACTGACGATGAAAAGTTCTCCGAACAGGGGAAATGGACACGGACCCAGACCAATCCATCGTAAAGCATTGCTAGAAGCTCTGGCCGGAGAGCTCCCGCCCAACTCGATTCGTTTCTCCTCCCACCTCGCTTCCATTGAAACAGGGGCCGATTCTCTGGCTGTTGTACACTTGAAAGATGGAACCACAATCAAGTCTAAGGTAACGCCCACAGTACTAACCCAAAGTTGAAAGCCTCTGTTTTTTCTCCTTATTCTGTTCTTCATTTCTCATCGTTTTGCACCAATCATTTCCTATGAAAGGTTCTGATAGGATGCGATGGGTTGCACTCGGTGGTGGCACAATGGCTGGATCTATCCGCTCCGGTCCACTCCGGTCGATCCGCAGTCCGGGGATTGTCGTTTTACCCTCAAGGCCACGGATTTGAGAGCAGAGTCCAGCAATTTGTTGACTCAGGGAAAAGGGCTGGCTTGGTCCCCTTAAACGATAAAGAAGTCTACTGGTTCCTATCTTGCCAAGGTAATTCCAATTTTTCCAATCACTTTCTGAGACAGACTATCTATTTCCGTCGCAAATCTTTGCGGACTTATTAGATTTTACTTAAATTCCTACTCTTGGTACTGAATTTTAGGAGCCGAGTTCACATACGATCCAAAGGCGACCCAAGCAGATGTGCTCTCCAAATATGCAGCAGACTTTCCTGCGGTCTTCCTCGACGCCATCCGACAAGCAGACCTATCGTCGATGTCATGGGCACCGCTGAAGCTGAGGTACCCGTGGAACATCCTGACAGGAAGCCTGTGCAGAGGGAACATCACGGTGGCCGGAGACGCAATGCATCCGATGACGCCTGACCTCGCGCAGGGTGGTGGCGCTGCGCTGGAGGACGCGGTAGTGTTGGGAAGGCACATTGGGAACTCCTTCCTGGCTAATGGGAAAGTGTTGGCGGCCGAAGGGATGCCTCGGGCTCTAGATGGGTATGCTAAGGAGCGGAAATGGCGAGCTGCGGGGCTGGTGGCGGGTGCGTATGCAGCGGGGTGGGTGCAGCAGGGTGGGACGCAGGTATGGAGGGGACTGGTGAGATATTTGTTCTATAGGTACATTTTTGGAAGGATTTTAAGGCTTGTGCAATATGATTGTGGGAAGCTTCCTCAGGTTGGGAATGGGAAATTGGATTGAGGAGTCTTGAGTTGATGAGATTGGGGTTGGATTATGTATGGTTGGGTTATTTATTAGAGCTCATGGAAATAATTTTGGTCTGTAATAATGGTGAGATTCAGCAGTAAAGAAAAACATGCAATATCATAAGCTGCTTGTTGCCATCGCTGGTGAGCGAAGGTTTTCAATGCATATTAGCGCTTGTTCGCTAGACTTGCCGAACTTCAACAGCATGATTATGCATGCTAGTGCTAAGCTATCAGTGCCTTGAGTAACCATGACATCTGAGAAAATGAAACTTAGAACAAGGTTTCATGGATGGGGCTAACTAACGCTTGTTTGTTTCATTACGACATACTACAAAATCCTCTAAATCAGAATGTAGGGTTTGTTGATGCAGATGGCCATCTATGATCAAGAAGCATATGTACGTATAGAATGGAATGAGCAGTTGAAAATTAGTAGTGGACTTTACTGAATGAATCACGGATTAGGGCCGGTAGGGTTGTGTGCCTCGATATCAACATGGCGGATGCCAGGGACAAGATCTTGTATCTCTTTTTCAAGCCTATCAACTTCGCTTCCTAACGCTGTCACCAACTCCTCACCTGAAACCAGAAAGATAACCACTTAGAAATGGCAGCACAGATATGTGCAACAAATCCATCTCGCCTTGGTACAACCACACATACCATAGTCAGACATTAGCTTCAGAAGCGCGGTATCGCCCTTTTGCTTTGAAGCATCACGGAACTGCATAAGATACAATCTTAATGAGTTCATTATAACAGGGTTTAGCCAATATACACTTGGATTTAATGAAAGACAAACTAGAATAATGGATTAGCAGTAAGAATCCAGACCACCAAAACATTAACTCTCCTCGCATGAGCATTGTAAGAAACTGGAGGAAATCTATAAGCTATGGATTAATATTTCGATACTTCTGTCCAGTCAACTGCTAAGTCAATACACCTATTGATAAAGATGATTCACCTGTCTTGCCCAGTCTTCCCGTCCAATCCTATTGAGATAATTCTGCACCACCACCTCGCCATTAAAATCTGTTTCACGTGAGCAGTATAATCCCATAAATATGCCAACAATAAACATCTTTGAACATCATATCTGTAAATTTTTGGATGTCCATAATATCTCAAATCAAAAGAACAAGATGCATCACACACAGGTTGCTTGAAGCTTCCGCTTATTCCCCAAGTCAGGAACATATTAAGAACAAACACCAAACAGATGAGGATACAGTATGTGGCAGGAATTTACCTATTTCTGCCTTAAATCTGAAAAATCCCGGTCCAATCACCTCGCTTTTACAATCATAAAGAGAATCCACAACCTATATCATAAAACCATAAACTTAGAGCTTACCAAGTTCAAGAAGACTGTCAGAAGTACTAATACCTAAACCTGATCATACCGGGTCACTTTTCAAGAAATGAAGAACCTTCTGCATATCATTGTCATCCATTGCTCTACCGATCAAAGCGTGCCTATTCCTTTGAATAAGGAAGATAGCGACCTGCATTGGTTGCCACTTGGATTACAAGCTTCATAACTAACAGTTAAGCATTGTACTAGCACCGCAGGAATTAAGTTCTCTATTAACATTTGCAACACCCAACAGAAGCACAAATCAAGTGCTTGGAAACACGAAAACATAAGGAGGTAGTGTCCATCCCAACTAGTAAACAGCAAAACCAACAATAGCAGACACAAAAATCAACGTACTGAAAATTAAAAGATGCTGTAGCATGTTTCTTCAGATGGATTGCACTGCCAGAATTTATATAAATAAGATTCAGAGAAGAAGACACAAGAAGTTGAGCTGTGAAAAGCAAACTTGCTTGAATTGCCGCAAAATCTTAAATTACACTCTGACATGATCCATTCTATTCTTTGTTTCCCATTAGATCAATAATCAGATCATTAGCATTTCCCTTTTTATGGCTTGAAATTAACACCATTCATAACTTCAAACTGAAGAATCATTTTGCACCAAATGCCCAAGTCTTAATCAGTCAAATTACTGGTCCACATAATGAAAAATCATTCAAAACAAATAAAACCGAGCTAAATACTTCTTCTGGCTTTAGAAACCAGTGATTAAGTTGCATAAACATGAAAGTAGGACTACTTACCATTCCCAAAAGGTTGCCAACTATGATTGAACCAATAGGATCATAAATTGGATTCCCTGTGGCACTGACGGCAACCAATGATGCTCCAGCTATAACCAATCCAGTCACTGCAGCACCATCCTGCAGTTCAGAGAGAGTTCTAATGGACGATAGCTCACTACATGGACATTAAATGATACATGCCAGCCAACTAGTGCATGCTAACTGCGATGTAACCACAAGCTAGTAAGTACAGATTAACCAGTCAGTCACTGCAGGACTATCCTGCAGATCAGAGATATTTATAATGGACGATAGATCACACACATCACTAAAAAATGAACGCTGCCTACAAGTACAGAATAACTGGGAAGGAAACATCCAACCCATTGCGGGTTCAAATTTGGGGACAAAATCACCTGTAAAAGAAAATACCGACTAACAACCACAACACATAAGGATGATCGAAAGTGTCAAATGCAGTCTTCTTGTAGCATCCCAATTGCAGAAATGGATGAAAGATCAAGAACACCTATTGTGAGCATTTTCTATTGGCAGAATACAAGGTATTTCAATGCTGGGACTCTGTTAGGTTATCCAAGCTAGTGCTATCATTATTATTGCTGCCCTATCTATTGTCTTTACTTGGACAATGTAATCAATCACAATCTTACCTCTGTCATCACTGCAACAGCTGTGGGATCATGACCACGCCATACATAGTCTCTGAACGTCATACCTTCTGCAGCTGCACCTTTCTTGACAGCTTCTATGGCGACAAGAAGAGAAGCACCTACAACAGAGACAAAAAAGAGAAAATATGAAAACATTGATGAAATACAGGCAACAGGTCCTCAGCCTAGAAGACACGAAGTGCACCTTCTATTATAAATGAACCACCAAGCACCAAAGCTGCATATTCAATGTGGGCTGGAGGCTGAAGCAAACATGCGAGTCAATAAAGCTTCATGAATTGACAAAGAACGGATTGAGATCATTAATAGAAAATGTGAAAACGAGAAAGGAATTCCAGAAAGTATCGCATGAATCAGCAGGATCAATAATTGAGCAGCTTACCTGAGAACTCCACAAGTTCTGAACTCCATTGACAATTGTAGCACCAGACCCAAGGCAAAAGATACCAACAGCAGATATCAAAGACCAGACAAACCTTTCCTTGGAGTAGCCATAACTGTACAGGGTTAAAGATATCAGAATCCTTTTCCAGTTAGGGAAGGCGACTAAGCAAGCATACGCACCCTAGAGATGCAAGTGCGCAATCAATTATATGGGCCTAGTATAAAAATGAAACGGTCCTGCTGTAGCAAACTCAGCAACCATAGTGGTGGGATTTTCAACATTGATCCGACATCCATCAAGAATTACAAGGAGAAGAGCCACAACGAGGGAGACAGAACAAGAGAATTCAGTGAACAACTTGCTTACTGAAATATGGAAATGTCTACCCAACAATCCAGAATGTTCATTCACTAGATTCCTACTAAACATAAGGGTGACTTCAAATGTCAACAAGCAAGTTTATGTTAGGAAACTCTGTGCCCCTAAATTGATCAATGTAAAGCAACATGCGACAGAAATGTTGCATATGATAAAAGTAGAAGTTGCTATTTTAAGATGCTCACGGATGAAGTGCATCTGGTGCACGCCTTGAGCTGCTCAGACCATAAGCAAGAAGTGCCTGCAATTTCGCAAGACTCAAATGATCACTGGATGCCATCAGAGAAAGGAAAATTCAGAATCAACTTGAGGAAGTAAAATGATCACTGGTGGCATCACCTGATTTGCAAAATCGGCAATTGAGTGCACAACTTCAGCCAGCATAACATGACTGGAAGACGTAAACCACACCCCAAACTTAAGAGAAAAGACGAGAAAATTGCACCAAAGTGCTGTTGTGACTGCTCGTTGACTGCCAGAGAAGACTAAATAGAGGTAAGAAACTAGAGCAAATGCTGATCTGCCAAACAATTTCTTAATAGTCAAGTTGCTTAAGGACCTCAAGAAGATGCAGAAATGGTGACGAGACAACAGTTCTTACATTCAAAATGGTGCCAACTATCTACAAGGCGTAAGGATTGTACAATACAGAATGCACCTAATACTCAAGATACTAAAGCAGCACACTTCTCTAAAGCTGTTATGAAATTTGCAACTGGTTGAGTCGGTATTAGGGTTCTATTTTAGCACAAGATGACCAACCATAGAGCAAATATTTCCTAAAAGACCTTCAAACAATTTCATGCAATCATAGCCAACTAACGGCGGGCAAATTAACAAAGACCTGTGCTGATCACTAATTTCAATCTTCTTCACTTGCTTAGCTCTGGTAAAAAATCCTGCAGACAGAACGTAAAAGAACACCAATTACATAGTTTCGTTAAGTACCCAGTTCATCAATGAAATATAAGAAAGTGTGAAGACCGGAACCCACCACGACGAAGAAACCCATTATGGAAATCCCGATGCTTGTGATCGCCGCCCAGAGAAACCGACCCAGGTAACGGGACAGACACTCGGGAGCAATCCAATGCCGAGAGCCCACGAGACTGATTGCACGAAGAGCCAAAGTAAGGGACGGGTTTGGGTTTTCTTGCAAAATCGTCTTCCTCTAAACAAGCTTCGTCTTCGCATTCGCGTCGGTAGCAGCTTCTCGGTGATTGGAAAACTGAACCCCCGCGGCCTAGAGCTAAAGGAAGTCCAAAAGCTGAGGAGGAAGAGGAAGAAGAAGTGAAAGGAAGAGGAGTAAGCTTGTGGTGGGGGCGTCGAAGGTGGGAGAGAAGGCGATATGATGTTTGCATTAAAGCAGCTTCCGAGTGTAAAGTTCACGGGGTGTAGCTTCCTTCGCAAACTTTCATGGAGGTCGCTTCCTCGAAGCTGGTTTTCGCTCCGTGGGGAGAAGAAGAAGACAGGAAATGCGGGAGATTGCTCACAGGCTCACAGCTACGGAAGAAGAGTATATCCCCCTCCTCGGCTCCTCTTCCCTGCAATCTACTCAGTCCCAGTGACGACAGCGCCCGGAGGAAAGACTGTGAACTGGAAAGTCGGCTACTGGAAAGGTGAAACTACTCTGTCGAATTTGGACCGAACAGTTTGGCCCAGACCTTCTAATCCATAAGCCCAACGTATCATTAGATAATCTTTGCTCAAAAGCCCAAATGTCCTCCCAACGTCAAGCGCAACAAGGTTTGACTCAATAATTTCTTTTTTTTCTTTGCAACCAATCAACCCCCTGTTGAACCATTTCTCACCTAATGAAGTTGAGAAAAAATATATGTTAGATAAAATCGAAGAGGATGATCAATTACTAAATTCAAATTAGTCTCTCAATAATAGGCAAGTATGAAGTGACAGAGGTCGCAATATAGAACAGTTTTTTGTAAATATTATAAGAAATAGAACACAACGTATCGAGAATGAGTCGGATCGGATCAAGATATGTCATCCCACCCCGACCATTGAGCATACGATACCACTTAGAAAGCAAGTCTGCACAAACACATTCCATTTTCCACTCTAAAAGTGTCAAAAATATTTTAGTTGTCTCATCTTCCAGACGAAGATTTTAGCAATAGCTCTTCAAGGAGAAAACTCAATGTCCTATCAAAACTACCATAACAGCAGTAGGAACTAGAACTAAAACTACTTCCCCTAGATCGCATGTTACATGTAAGTTCATAGCTTCCAGTCGACCCTTTCTTTAGCCATAAGTATACAACAACTCAACCTAAACGGCCTCGAAATGGAGGAAAACTTCCCCAGTTGGACCACCCTGGATCTCTCCCAAATGTGAGCTAGCTTGCCCTGTAATCCCACAACTCCTGTCGCCCTTTTCGATTTCTAAACCCTACTGTGTAATAACTAATTAGTTCACTGACTGATCATGCCCGCCCATCCAACCAGTATGACTGCTGCCGCGAAAGGGAATCGAATGGGTTCAACCAAACTGTAGACATGGCAGCCAGTTGAGGAGATAGAATGCAAACCCGCCGACTGCAGATCACCATTGCCCTTCTTTCCTGCCCCGCGACCTAGTTATTTTGTCCGTCTGTCCATTGCTCTGCCCATCTTGATGCTTCACAATTCTCAACGGGTGAGCTTCTGTGTTGAAGACCCATTCGTCTAATGAGATGACAGAAGAAGGCGAGAAAAGAAGGTACAGGTACTTGAGTGTCTCGGCCAGGAAAAAGCTTTGCATCATGTTGTCCTTGATGCCAGTATTCACCTGAAAAGGAAACATCGGCACTTGAATGTTAAGTGGCAGAAACTTGCAGGGATAAACACACCATCAGCTTGAAATTTCAATCATGAATTCTCAAGTTCATACAACGAGAACTCTGCAGTTGAAATTTTAAGGATCTCCAAGATAGGCAAGTTTAATGGAGATTAGCATGATAAGAGTGAAACTGAAAGCAGACTGCAAAAGGGATGGAAATGCAGTTGGCTTGTACTGTGCAAAAATGTAAATATAACATAATGGCACAACCCTACAAGATTGAGGTATATTCACGCAAAGATTTTACAGGTTGACAGAGTACTTACATCCTTCAGTCCAACATAACCACCCTCAACGCGTGAGTTTTTTTCAAATGCTTGAAATATGTTCCAACCCCACTCCTGATATGTCTTGTTGCCCGTTAAACGCCAGAGGTAAAAGAGTGATTCCACAGTTTCTGGCCTCATGATGTTCCATGATGTGCCAACGCTCATATCCTAAACATGTGAAGTCCAAAGAGAAAATAATCAAACGACAGCATTTAGTTTCACACCTTTGGAAAACAGATTAACAACCTGTCCAGATCGGAAGAAGTAGTTTTCTCCTGCCAATTTTGTTGGTGTTGATTGATAGAAATTGTAACAAGTCCAAGCAAGCTGCAAAAGGAAAAATAAATTCATCAATATACTGGTACACAGTGCATGAAGGAATAATCAATCTCATAATGGACGAAGACACGAAATTCTCTCTCAAGCAACTGGAAAGAAGATAATTTTGACTCTGTTTATTGAGAATAAGTCAGAAGCCAGCTTGTGGACTGGGATTTAAACCCATAAATTGTAAACCCCATTAATTATCCAGAGTTGACCCTGATTACTTTCTTATGCACCATTTTGCACAAACAATGGGGGTATTTCCCACGTAAATTAAGAGCCAGCATATCTATGTTTTATGACCATTTGTTTCCCTTGTAAGGAAAGAAACTAGAAAGACACAGGGTTAACTTCACAGAAACATATCAGGAAGATAAGAACAATCGAACCCCAGCCAAACAAAAAAACAATAGTACACTCCCCAGAAAAGGCAAGAATACCTCCTCGGCAAGCGAGAGAATTCTCTCAGATTCAGCAGGCTCATCATAACCAGCTGATCCCAAAGCCAGCATTCCTGGAGCAAAGCACGCTAATTCATCCATCTGAACATAGATAGAGAAGAGAAAACTTATATCAATAACGTGAACTGCATACTACTGTAATAACCATAAAAGCAGTTAAGGGGTGAGCTAAGCTTAACCCTAAAAGTATCCTCCTGATAGAAAAGATTGCCATGGCAGGGTTCACATTAACTATAAACGAAAAAGGAGTACAAACTTTAAGTGCAAGATAAAGGAGCATAATTTCTTTTGTAAGTTTACGTAAAAGTAAGGGAATATTATCCAAATTCAGTGTAAAGGTTGAGGAGAATAAAAGTCGTGAAAGGCCATATTACCTTATCTGTCAACCAGTCACCACTTTTCTCACAAATATACGTAAAAGATGAAGGTGTACTTCGTCTAATTAAGCTAACTAGACCCTTCATTGATTTCTCCCACATGTCTCTGCAAGCAAGCACAAAAGAATATTTTAGAAGTCGCTACAGAACTAGCTAGTCGTCCACAGGCAAAAGAGAAGATTTTGTCGGGGAGAGCTGAATAGGAATTTTTTCAAATTTACAAATGTGCAACAGAATTAAACAAGCAATAGGTGCTAATTCAGGTCCTTGGGGAGTTGAATTATGTTGATTGATAATTTGCAATTACTATCCTACAAAATCACACATGGTAGGAACCCCATCTTATCAAGAAACAAACTCATTACTCCAATGGGTAAGACTACTTATCAAATTATGGAGCCATCACCTCTCTACAATAATAAAAAGAAAACAATGGACTAATAAAGTATGGAACATGATTGGTCCAAAGGCATACATGTGCTACTGTCATGGAAGAGTGAATTGGAAGGAAAGACAAAGCATTTAGTCCATGGACAAGAAACAAAAAAACTTGCCATGTATGTATTCTGTTCTTTGAGTGTTTAAACATAAGCCAAACTATAAGGCTATGTTTAATTTGAGTGCATTCTAAAATTGAGTGATTAAAAACCAAATATTTCCTTTGTGTTGATCTCAAATCATACCACATTTCCGCTAATACCCAACAAATTAAATACCCATAAAGAGAAATGGAATTAGATGAATGCATGCATCTAGTTTCATATGTTAGCAGCAGAGTTCAGCAGAAGTTAGTACACTAGCCTGTATACCGGCATACTGGGATTAAAAACAAAAGGAGGGATATACGGAGGAACCTTCTTACTGACCTGTAAAGTTTCACGGCTCCAGATTTATTTCCTTGAATCCAAACTTTAAGCAGATATTCATAAAAGCTGCAACAATATTTCAAAGTTGAAAAGATATGGAGGTAATACTGATAATAAGAAAATAAACTTTCCAAAAGTCAAGAATAAATACCTGTCGCCCATTGCACCAAAAGTTATTGTGGAGATTGAACCAGTTCCCGTATCAGGACTTATATAGATTGGAAGAAGGCCATCAGCAGGAAAAGTTTTATTCAGCTCCAGGATAACCCTTTCAGCCTAAAGCATCAATTCCAACCACATTAATTATTTGTTCGTCAAGCTATTGACAAGTAAATATGCTCTTTTCATAGCCCCAAGGGGTTGGCTAGCTGTCAATAGCAAGATGAGTTTTCAAGAAAAACAGGACCCTTTTGGAAAAGAAACTAAGGAAAAAATACAAAGTGTAGCCATCAGAAAGACCTGCATCAATTCTGAATCTAGATAAAGATTTGGCCACAATTCCGCAAAAGGAATACTGGAAGAGGACTGCGCTTTAATTGAGAGACATTTATCGTTACAACAAATGCCATTTGCTTTATTACATGCATGTATTGAGCACGGACCTTTTGATGATACTTCTGGTCTCCTGTCCTTTGAGAGAGAGCAAAAAATTCAAGCTGCTCCGTACCAGAATCTGCAAGAATACTGGATCCCTGCAAACAAGAAAAGAAACTTTAATGTCTGCACAAAACCTGAAAGTAGTCAATACATTTTTCAAGAAGAACATTAGCAAAAGAACTTATGGCCCATCGAGAATGGAGAAAAATTGAAAAGGACCGAGAAAATGGTCTCCAAAAATGGCTAAATGCGCAACTATATTGAAATCAAAAGATCATCAAGTAAAGTGGATCAACAAATGCCCGGGGGGTGGGGCGCAGAAAAGTTATCCTAGCCTAAAGATACAACAGTGAATCAACTTACACCAGTCCAACCAGGGTTATGAGGATTTCCATGTTCCAGGTTGATAATGTTGTAAGGTATGCCAGTAGGTGTATCCCATGCAGGCAGCAATCTATCAGCAATGTCCTTAGCCTTCTCAAGGAAAACTTTGTCCCCGGAAAGGTCATAAGCACTGAGTAGGCCACCTACGACTCTGGAATTGCATTAACAAATCCCAGACATTTTAAGAGCACAATTAATCTCTCAACCATTGAATCAGACTGCAGCACACTAGCTGTACGAATAAAACTAACTACACAGTAAACCTGATAATGTAACCTTATGGTTGTCTCAAATACACTAGCATCGTAATCCTTGTTGAAATCCAACGAGGTTGCAACCCACCTACAAAGAAACCCAACTAAGTGAATGCAGATTCAAATCCAAATGCTATCAACAAAAACCATGAGACCAATAAAATGTAATGTTACAAAAAAAAAACTAAAGAGAATTAGGAAAACGCAAAGAAGCCTGGCTAAATGAGGTGATGAAAGCCTTTAGATGAAAGGAAATCAAAGGAAGCAACTCTCTGGATATCTAAGCTGTAGCACAAGCAAGAAGCCTCATGGATTCATATCAGCCATGCACAATATATCCAACTTAAAAAATCCAAGTAATATATCCGACAAGAACATCAGGTTTCAATCAGTTAGCTCAAGTGTGTTGGGGAAAGAAACTTTTGCTCAAAAAATCCAAGTAATATATCCCACTCTTCTCATTTAAGCATGCAAACAAGGAAGACAATGTTTAATAGGTAACTGCTATTGCTCAAGAAAGACAAATTCAATCTTCTTCTTCTTTTCTTCTGTTCTTTTCTTTTTGGAACAAGAGTTTATAAAGCTAAAAATGGCATAATCAATGATAAAGAGAAAAGCAACAAAGGATGCAACTAAAAGTATTAACTTACTCTCTGGCTCTCTGAAACTGCTCATCCAGACCCATTATATATAATGTATCAAGAGAATCTATTAATGTTGCTCCGAGACCACCAAAGCTGTCGACGCCATTCTTCGTCTGCGGCTGCCAACCCAAAGAAAAAGAATTCAGAATATAATGTAACAACAGAGTTTCACAAACATAGGATAGGGCAATTGCCAGTCAACAATAATTCAAGCCCAAGGAAATACCCCTTCAAGATCCTACCACAGACATAACTTACCAGCAGAAAAGAAACGAATCATTTTCTTAAGGCTTTCTTAAATATAGCCATTCTAACATCTTGTGGCTTGGGGACTAGTCCTTTTTCAGTTCGGTTTCTTTTGTTGGGGTAGCAGCTTTGGTTTCTTGGCTGCCCTCTATTTGTTTTTCCTAATAGACTTCTACTTTTGGTAATTGAGTAATAAAAAGAAACATCATTCTCATAAATAAATAAATAAAACATTCTCAGAGTACTGTTAATCAGCATTTTCATCAATACATATATACCCCCGCACAAAAATGAAAACAAAATATAGTTACCTCATTGTACAAAATAAATACACTCCCGCAACATGCACAATATTATATGTGCTGTTGCTGAACCATCATTTTAATAGTAGCCTTGGTTTTCACCAAAGTGCCCTTGCTTACATTATCTCTGTTTGGGTATCACAGAGAACAACATTATATTCCTCTGCTCAAGGTGTTCATCTACTCAATTTAAAAGCAAATGTCTGCCCATTTAGACTAATAACTCTATCATTCCTATACTGAGACTGAACCTTGGATCTCACACACTCCTATTAGGAAAATATACAACAGAAGGGTGCAGTCTTCTTAGCAAGACAATGTTTAATATCCTTTGCACAACATCCCATATTCCAATAATTCCATGGTTACGATAGACTGGCCACCCATGAACAAGCTGAAGCTCTCTAGTTACCTCTCTATAGATGCAACCCCAGAAGTCATTTAAGAACTTGAATCAGCAAGCTCATACAGCTTGAGCTAATTTTTGTGAATGAGCTCAAACAGCTAGCTTGAAAGCTCCTTTGATTCTTTGCAGATTTTACAGATGGAATGGAAGGATTTATTCTCTACATCAACCAAAGAAGAAAGAATTATTGCTTTTAATTCCCTCTTACCCAATGCATCCTACATCGTCCTGTTTAATATATCAGTTCCTTCACCAATACGCTGTGAATCTACTTAATTTTAACCCTCTCTAGCATGTTGCCAAATGTTGAAAGTGAAATTTAAAGCAACTTCCTAAAGGAAGTCTTACTCAAACAGAAAGAATGAAGAAAGGGAACCTTCCCATCCTCGGAACAAATTTCAAGCAAACCTACAGCAAAACTAATTCACAAGGCCAAGTCATTTCCCTGTAGCATTATCCACAAACTTTCCACTTGCACACAACAAAATAAGGTTACCACTGAGTCAACTGAAATACAAGAAACACCCAGAACTGATAATCTCCTGGCAAATGCCACAAACCAGACTCAACCCAAACCAATGCTAGAGCTAATGATACAATTCCAAATAGCATCTGAAACCAGAGGTTACTATTCTCACTAATCGAACTTAAATTCAATAGAACGACAAGGAAAGTCCACAACTAATTACTAAGATTGACCAAAGACTTAAGACCACAGCTCAAAAAGTTCATGAACTGTCTCAAAATATATATTGAGTTACAAGAAATTTGGCAGGAGAGATAACAGAACAGATTGTTAGCGTAAGGAATTTTGAATCATACCCGAAGTTCATCATGGCCCCATGCATATTTTTCATACGAACTCCAAGCATGAATCATGGCGTCTTTCACTTTCTCTCTTCTTTGGATATCAACAGGGTCGTCAGGAAGAACCTTAGTGACTTTGGAGGATTTCCCCCTCACAGAACTCACTTCATCCCCTTGAGTACTCTTTAACTCTTCCAGCTGAAGGAACAAACTAATCTTGTTCATAGAAGACCCTCAAAAGAATAATTATAATAAAATACCATAAAAGAAATTCAGACGAAAACCACCTAGAAATCATCTAAATGTCAAAACATGGCAGAAAAAAAGTTCAAGATGACATCAAAGCTCCTCCAATGTTGGAGAATGCCAAGTTCAATGGGTACAGCCGCAAAAAAGATTCTAGCACAGCCCACACAAGCAAAAAGTAAGAAGACGAAGAAAGAAGAATCTGTAAGCAGAAACATGGAAAACGCCAAAAAAAAAGAAAATATTGCTCAAATCAATAGTCAGTTGAGAAGTCAGTAGTATCAAGAAGATAAGGCGTCACTTACCATCATTTTTAATTGGTTCACTTCTTCACTTAACTTATCAACTTCCACCTGCAAGTAGAACAAAAATACATAAGGTGAAAGAAATTCTTAAGACAAATTAGCAGAAGAGTCCTGCAGGCCTGATAGGGGGAATGTTCCAATTACAGCAGAAACAGATGGACATTTAATTACAGGTAACCCAGATGACCTTCTTCTACCACCTCTCTCCAAAAAAAAAAAAAAACTATCTTTTCCCACATTGTAAATTCAGTTGGAAGCTAAAGACTGTCTCTACTAGACAAATCGAATAAAAGAAGTATGAGGGAAGCTAGACACATTCCCACAACGAACATGACGTTCATCCCGGATGAACCCAACTTCCTTCAATCAATGGCAACAAGAAAAGAGAACCCTCTATGAAGCCAGTTATGACTCTGTACAATTAGACAAAACCAGCCACCTGAGTGGCGGATCAGATCGTGAAACCTCCTCACTTCCCACAGGCAACAGTTTAAGGCCATGCTCATTGACATTGACATTACCCTTATAATCCATACGCATGATCGACCTCAACTGGTAACGCCCCACAGCCACAAAGGCCACTTACAAACTACAGACAAGTTTCCAAATCATGTGACCCCCCAAACATCTACTAACCCATGAAATTGCCACACACAAAAACTTCAAGCAAGTAGCCATCATCCCCACCCAACATTTCCCTCCATAAAAAGCTCCAACAATTTGCCTTCTCCAAAAGGTCCCCCTCCACCCCAATAGGCAATAGAGGACGGGAAAAAACAAACAGTAATAAACCCTCTCCCAATGCTGCATCTAACATTCCAATTTCCCTATCCCGACATTCAGATTGATACCAGCTAACCATGTCACATTTAGCAACAATCGGAATTTTATAGAAAATATAGCGGGTGTCGTTGTACAGACAAAAAGGGAAACTGGAAAGAAAGAACCCACTCAAGTTTCAATCAAACAAACAGACTCGAAACGCCTTAAGAAGGGACAAGATAAGGGTACCTCGTGTTCCCGGACGAGAGTCTGGCGATCCCAGACCAGAAAACTGGCGCAAACAAACACAAGGAAGAGCAGAGCCAATTTCTTGGGGCGCTTCAGGTAATAAGCAGGGTTGCAATACCTCCATTTCGAGGAAGACGACGACGAAGATGCCGACGATCTGCTGCTCCTCCCCATTGATTGGTGATCGGATCACCGACGAACCAAAAAAGTGAGGAAGGAATGAAACCCCAGGGGGGAGAGAGAGAGAGAGACAGAACAGAAGCGAAAAATCAACCGATGTCAATCGAAATTCAACGCGATGATGGCTGGCGCGGGTGCTGGTTCAAGAGATGCGCCTAAAATCATCGCCCGCACCGGAAAGGAAGAAAGGAAAGGAGGATGGCCGGCTGCTGAAATGGGGAAAATGTGCGCAAACAGATGGATGGCAGGAGGAAGGAAACAGGGGATCGGGAGAGAATTGAGGGAGCAAAGATTCTACGACCAAGACCTGAAGACACGCACCTACGTCTCTCCCTCGACAAATCTCAGAGAAAGGGAGAAAGAGAGAGACGATAGAATTGACGGACGGAGACTTTAACGTATCGGAGGGGAGGGGAGTATATGACTATTGGAAAGGAGTGGCCATGGAAGAAACTTGTTGTGCCTTGGCCTGGCCTGACTCCGGGCTAATTGTGGTTTAGGAAAGATAATTAATTGTGAACCGGGTCAACTTTTTTTTTTTTTTTTCCAATCTCTCTTTTGGTTTCGCCAAGATTGTCAACCCGCGGGCGGGTCGACCCACTTTGATCCTGGCCCGGTGAAAAAAACGGGTTGCATGTACCTGCCGGGTCGAGCGCTGCAAGGTATCGGGTTGGAGGGCAAATTGTGTCCTTTTTTTTTGTTTGCGAAATGCATCTATTTTCCGATTTTTCTTTACGCCTAACTCAATCTTTGGAATTCTAAGTTGAACATTTGAATAGTGATGTTTATAAGTGTGTGTGAATTTTCACTATATGTTGGATCTAAGTACGACATATTATTTTGGTGTAATATTATATGTTATAACTCATATGTTAGATGAGATTTGATATAATTTATCAGAATAAGTACAATATAATGATTATTTCTATATTTCCGAACCAAACCGGACTAAGACGGGTGACTCATTAACACTTGACCCACTTGCTCGACCGGGTCCCGGTCAGCCTGGGAGTTGACAACCTTGGGTTCCCCTAATCAACATTTTGTTGGATTTTTCTTCAACCACCATCTCAAATCACTTTCGAGAATAACGTGGGGAAGTATTCAAAAAAACAATGACTGAGAGGACATCTCTCGCAGCTAGGAGCTCCGCAACGTTGGAATTAGAGACCCCAAGATTGTGAAACTCAACAGTCAATAGAACATACACGTATGACCCGCGAACAGGCCAAAAGCACAACCAACACTACAGACAACAACTTAAAAGTTTATTTTGAGGAAGTCATCAGGAGGGGCAATCCGATTAGCCAGAGTTGATGATGGAGGAGGAGGGACTAGATACTAGAATGGGAGGTAGATGAAACTTCGTCTACTTGAAGAAAAAACTTACGGGCTAAAGAACGAGAATGTAGTTGAGTGAACGAGAATGCGATTGATTTTAAAAAAATTAGATTCTCCATAATAAGCAGGCACATTGGAGATTTGATATTAGTAGTACTCAGAGAGTATAAATTGTCCACCATAAACTATAATTTATAATTGGGCAGAATCCATAAAATCACTTAAACCCACTAAAGACCACATCTAAATGACCAAAGGACATCGAAAGAACAAATATTCAATACTCTCGTTGTTTCTCCAACATATCATAATCGGACATTGAGTGAGGCAATTTGCTCGTCTTGCCTTAAGAGCAACCAGAATTGATATAACCACTCTCAGATTTTGGAATAAGTTATTTTAATGTTGAAATGATGAGATTGTCAACCATATAAAAAGTAGGAACACTTCGACATGCTAAATAAGCTAATTTCGGTCCCTTAATAAGAAAAACAAAGTTCCCACCTCATACGAAGAAAGTAAAAAATTGAACTTCTATCTATATGATACAACCCTAAAAGATTGGTTGAGTTGGAAACGAGGCAATTTGACCATTGTTTTATTTTATAAGAGGAGTCATTTAAAATGAGTTAATTCGAATTATTTGTCCACACCCTAGACAATTGTAAATCGAGCCAATTCAAAATTTATAAAGCCAAGTTGCTTCATCTAAATTGTATGATGTCAAACGAAACAATCAGTCAAATTATCTACAATCAGTCAAATTAATCACGTATAATTTGTTATTCAAACAACCCCAATAACCTTTTCAACGATAAAATTAAGGTCCTGCAATAGACTTTACATAACATGTCCCGCAAAGATATGGCAATACTACAGGACCACTCGGGTTGGAAAAAAACTACTTGGCAATCGGTTCGATTATAACTAGAATTGTTTCGTCTATTGTTGGACAACTGAAAACAAGTTTGTGTTTATTGTCAATCCACCATTTTATACTATTCGGTTAACCATAATCGTATAATTGATTCACAATTATTTTTTCGGTTAACCAAAAACTATTAAACAAGTGATTCGAATAGGTTATGCCAAAATAACTAATCAAGAACATATCAATAGAAGTCCTTCTCCTTCTTGTACTTTTTGTAGATTTTTTCCCATATGTATTTTTTTAAGTTGTTAGAATTGAATACAAAATCATTTAATATATATATGGTTCAGGCTAGCATACGTTCGGGCGTACGCTAGCCTACCGTACGCCCCATTGTGTTTTGCTATATAGATCATGAATTAATTGAAATTTAAGGTATGATACTATACCCTAACCTCTAATGGGTGAACCCTAGTCCCTAATTTTCTAACCCAAACCATGAGGTTCGTTTAATCTTAAAATGAAAACCAATGAAAATTTCGACGAATCAGAATCGTTGATTTTCATTTTTAAGATTAAACGAATCTCATGCTTTGGGTTAGTGAATTTGGGACTGGGATTCACCCATTAGGGGTTAGGGTATAGTATTATGTCCCAAACTCCGATTAATTATTTGTCTAAATAGCAAAACTCAATGGGGCGTACGGTAAGGATGGCAATTTACCCACCCATGGGTAATTTTGCCCAAACCCAAGTAGACCCATTTATTATGGGTAGGGTTTGGGTGATGTGTGTATGGGTTTGGGGTTTGTATATGGATTTGGGTTAGATATGGATATTATCTAAATGGGTATGAGTTGGATATGGATATCCATTTACTTGAGGGTGTTTTAACTACACATACAAAAATTGGACCTATTTGTAAAAACTCAAAATGTGAGACCAAAAAATTTTAGGTACTAAAATGTAATTTTTCATCGATATTTTGAGGACTTATATGCAAAAAAAATTAAATTTAGGTACTAAATATGCATAACTATTAAGTTTAGGTACCAAACTGTAATTTGCATTTGGGTATGGGTACAAACCCAAATCCATATGTTAAAAACCCAACCCAACCCAAGTAAATAAGTATGGGTACAAACCCATCAAACTCTACCCATCTAATATCTATTTGGATTCCATACCCAACCCAATTGGGTTGGATAGTAAAATACCCATGGGTATGGGTAATATTGCCATCCCTAGCGTACGGTAGGCTAGCGTACGTCCGGGCGTACGCTAGCCTAGCGTACGCCCCATTGAGTTTTGCTATTTAGACAAAAAATTAATCGGAGTTTGGGACATAATACTATACCCTAACTTCTAATGGGTGAATCCCAGTCCCCAATTCACTAATCCGAAGCACGAGATTCGTTTATTCTTAAAAATGAAAATCAACGATTCTGATTCGTCGAAATTTTCATTGGTTTTCATTTTAAGATTAAACGAACCTCATGGTTTGGGTTAGAAAATTAGGGACTGGGGTTCACCCATTAGAGGTTAGAGTATAGTATCATGTCCCAAACGCCGATTAATTCATGATCTATATAGCAAAACTCAACGGGGCGTACGTTAGGTTAGCATACGCCCGAGCGTACGCTAACATGAACCATAATATATATATATATATATATATATATATATATATATATATATATATATATAGTGGCGTATTCGGTGCACCCACTTTTTCGGGTGCACCTCATAATTGTCATTCTGATCATGCGATTCATGTCAAAACGGTATCAATTGTTGCTTATGATATTATGAACAAGAAGTAGGGATGGGCAACGGGACGGGACGGGATACCCGTCCCGTTTTAAACGGGTACCCAATCCCGTTTAGAGACCAAAGTCCATCCCATATCCCAAACCCATATGGGAAACGGGTACCCATTTCCCATACGGGACGGATAACGGGTATCCATACTACCCATAAATACCCAAAGTTTAAACCACTAAAATTTTAACAAAAATTTAAACTTAACTTGTATTTGTTTAACAATCACAAGACACAAAATACATCCCAATCACAAATACTCGGTTTGCAAATAACACATTCATGAACAATCACAACACATAGAAATAAATCATTCCAAGCACCAAATTATCAAATAAGAAGTTTCATTCAACACAACCAAATGGGAGGCATGCTGCTACTTTTCTTGTGTTGATGAATGCAGAAAGTGTCCAAATTTTTAGGTTCATGGGAAGCTAAAATCTATAGTAGAGAAGTTGAGTCTCACTGAAAGGGTAAGGGCCCTGGGCCCAAATGGCAAATGGAATTGAAATTGCAATGGTGAGGGCCGAAATGGCCAATATGTTTGAATTGGGCTGGGCTGCCTTTGTATTGAATGGGTATAACGGGTACCCATATTACCCAAACGGGTATTCGCGGGTAACCCGCGGGTACCCATATTAGGAATGTACAATCCCAAGTCCCATCCATTTATAATATTACGGGTAATATGGGTACCCGTAACCCTTAAAAAACGGGACGGGTACGGGTATACCCAAATACCCGTTTCCCGTTGCCCACCCCTAACAAGAAGCACATGAATTTGAAAAAAAATCATTCAAAATTTACTTTAATTTGAAGGATTTAGGATTTAGGGATTTAGGGTTAGGGTTTAGGTTTACAATTTGAGATTTTGGGGTGGGATTCAAAATTGAAGGTTAAGGGGTTAGGGTAATGGATTGATTTGTTATGATTCTATGTCACATCATCATATTATATTGAGAGTACTAATTAAAGTTCAAAATTTGATGTATTATGGACGCTTTTAGAGTTGGGTGCACTGAGTGCACCGAAGTAGCCACCATATATATATATATATATATCAATCTATAATAAACTCAATACAATACATGTACACAATAATATCATTATATTGACAAATTTGATTAAAGAAGCATACAAGAATAATATATCCAACAATCATTACTCAACTCATAAATCCCACCTAATTACATGGAGCCTTATGTTACTGATTATTGTCGAAGTACTTTGCACAAGTCCAACTTTCTACTATACTCCTTCAAACACCCTTCATTGAAATTATTCTCATTTGAACCTAAGTCACTATTACAATTAGGGTAGAGAAGGGATCTTGTATGCCTTCAAACATTCCATTATTTTCAATCTGTGACTACAATTCGTCGAGGTCTATTGTTTTCGACCCTAACTATGAGAATGGTTATAATCGGTTAACCGTCGGTTACTAACTATTTAACCGTCGATTAATAATTGCCTAAAGTTGACTATGGAAAACAGAATATTTGTTGTTTGATTAATTATCAATGTAACCGTTAATCACCTTAGGATAACACTAAAACAAACTATCCTTTGAGACCTTGACTATTCCTATCTGGAAATGATGACGCATTATATCAATGAGCCTCAAATACCTCTCTGCAGTAATGCAGTGGCGCGCCTTTTCTTATTTTTTCTCCCCCTGTTCTCAAGTCGAGAGATTTTTTTTATTATCTCAGCTTCTTCTAGAGAGCGGATCTGGTGACTAAGAGGGGGTGCTTAGTCACTTGGCTAAGCCCCTCCTAGCCATTAAATCTGGACACTTTAATCTAATGGTTAAAAAGTGGGAAGGGCTATTAATTAATGACAGGGGTAGTTTGGGTATTATGGAAAATTACGAAGTATACAAACCGGATTTACAATCAGTACAAACCATACAAACATACGAACAGTACAAACTAGAGCGACAAAACATACAAACAGATTTACAAACATTACAAACGTATGAACTGTACAAACAATACAAACTAGACTGACAAACAATACAAAAAGAAAAAACAACCGGGTTGACTTTGGAGGCTCCATCCCTATATAGAGGGGCTCCTTCCCAAAGTCAACCCGGGTGTTTTTTAGACATACAAACAGTACGAACATGGTGGACAAAAATGACAAACTAGACCGACAATCCATACGAACGGGAAAAAACACCCGGGTTGACTATGGAGGCTCCATCCCTATATAGAGGGGCTCCTTCCCAAAGTCAACCCGGGTGTTTTTTAGACATACAAACAGTACGAACATGGTGGACAAAAATGACAAAGTTTACGAACATTACAAAATAACAAAGCGTACAAACATTACAAAATATGTCAACAAACATCACAAAATTGACATTGTCATCGGAAAATTCTTTTCCGTCCACGATGGTCGTCGGGAAAAAAAATTTCCGACCAAAATCTCTCTCTCTGGACCTTGATCATGGAAAATTGCTCTCTCTGGACCTTGATCATGGAAAATTGGGAGGGGAATTAAAAATGGCCGCAACTCTCTCTCTGGACCTTGATCATGGAAAATTGGGAGGGGAAAATTCCCCATAAAAATTACCGCAACCTGTGGACGAGAATGGGACGCCGGATTGCTGGCCGGCGGGAAGAGATGGGACACGGAACGGTGACGAAAATCCCAGCTGAGAAGAGGCGCACCAGATATTGAGGATTTTTTAATTAATTAATAATTGAAAATTAAAAAGTCTACAATTACTATATTATCCTTCATTAAATTGGATTGATAGGAGCCCTTGGATTTTAATGAGGTGCAAGGGTGAAGATTCACTTAGCCATGTGACTAAGGGGGACCCCGGGACCCCCTTAGTCACCAGATCTTAGCCCCTTCTTCTATCCTCACCGTTGGTTGCTGTACAGGGCCCTTGTTCAGACCTAATCCGACGGCTTCGGATCTTCATCTACCTCTTGTCCCTCCATCCATCACAATCCGTTAGTTTCAGGGCTCATCAGAATCTCTGTCTCATTTCCAATTCCGATTCGAATCCGTTCCTGCCCACCATTTCCAATCGAACCCTAATATTTGTTGGATTATCTGCACCTGGTACAACCAGCACTGCCCTTTGTATTCTCTAAAACGTATTTGAAAAAGTCTGTTGCTTTGTTGTTGTCTGTTTCCCAGGCTGGTGTTGATTTGTTTATCAGATACTTATGGTTGCTGATTCTCCTTGTAAAATTGCGAATGAGTTAGGAATTGAATATCTCCGTTCCATTCCCGTAAGCTATGCAACCTAGCAGGACGGTGGGCGTTTTCTTTTTCAGTTTCTTTCTTGCATTGCACCACTGGCCTAGATGCCATGATACATTGGGCAATGTACTACTAGCTTTGACTTGCTTCTACTGTGACTTCCTTGATATTGTTTTGGGTAAAGTTGATAGCTTTCTCTTGTTGTGCATTTTTTTATGGGGTTTTGTTGTAGAACCTGGGTTTCTGTATTTTCATGAGTGATTCGCGTGGCATTTGTCTGTTAGTCAGGAAACTTGACCCTGTTGTTCAATAACATTGTAGGTGATTGTGGCTGTGGGTTGATATATGAACACCCCTAAAATCCAACTTCTGTGGGAAGTAACAGGTAATTGAAACTTGGAAGTAGCATGGACGGCAGTCACGAGACTGATCCTGGAATGCAAATGGGCGGTGCAGAAAATGAACTCAATATACATTATGAGCATTACCATCATCATCATGAGGTTCATGGGATGAGTAATGGCAGTTTGATGAACGATGGTGAAGAGGGCAATGATTGCCATGACAACAATGGTAATGGAAGTGACACCATGCCAGAAGTCGAAGTAGATCAGGGTAATCTTTCAGATTCTCAGGTTATGATGGTGGCTGATCCCAGTATTGAAAATGGCGATCAGCTCACTCTTTCGTTTCAGGGTCAAGTTTATGTTTTTGATTCCGTCTCACCAGAGAAGGTGAATGATTCTCTATTCATTTGGGTTACTGTTGGTAAACATTTGCTGATTGTCCAAGTTCTTTTCCCTCCAACGTGTTTCATATGATCTTGTTGAATTGTCTAGGTTCAAGCTGTGCTATTATTATTAGGGGGGCGGGAGGTACCTTTAGGTGCTTCTGCTCTTCCAATGACCTCTCCTCAGGGTAGTAAGGTACAACTTTGTCATCCTAGCATGTTGATAGGTTAGTTCATGTCTGATCCAATCTAATTTTCACCTAACTATACATCTGATCAGGGCATGTCTGCTACCCCGGAACGGTTTAGTGTACCACAGAGATTGGCTTCTCTGCTCAGATTTCGTGAAAAACGCAAGGAACGTAATTTTGATAAGAAAATCCGATATACCGTCCGCAAAGAAGTGGCTCTTAGGTATGTCTTCCATCAGTAATCTACTATATTATAAAATAGTGTGGTGTCACCTTAGGGTAGCAAAATCTATTTTATTATCACATGACTAGAGAGTGGTTCGTGCTCCTGGGTGAGCTCCAATCGAACTTGTGTCGGGGGGCTGTTGTATCATTAGCACAAGTGACAAGAATTTGTATGTTGGAGTTGGCATTTCTGGGGCAGGATGTTACACTTTTCATTGTAACATTAGTAAGCAAAATTGATGAACATCCTGAAGAAAGTAAGTTGAACTTGATGATTAAGTATGTACGAGGTATCTTGAATTCAATTACATCCATTGAGCATTCTTATCATTCCTGGTTACATATTGGAATGAGCTCCTTGACATTGGTAAGTAACCTGTAAGAACAGGGACAATTGGTAAGCTGTGGCTTATGATGTTACTGATTTGGTGGCATGTTAATTTTTTTTTGTTGACATGAATGAATCAAGCTGTCCCAATTTCGATCTGAACAGATGGTGGTAGTATTTCATGAAATTGTGGTAAACTTGATCTTATTGGTTCAACCTCGAACTTGGCAGCAGAAAGAGAAATGGGGAAAGTAGCTTTTTTGGAAATTTTCTCTTTTCTCTCATCCTTTGACCATGGAGGATATTGCATCTGCTTGTGCTCACTTGTTCCATTTTATAGGATGCAACGACATAAAGGCCAATTCACATCGTCAAAGGGGAATAATGATGATTCAGTTACTAGTTGGGGTTCAAGTGAGAGTTGTGGATCAGACAGTAATGGTTCGAAGCATCAGGAGGCCGTGTATGCTCTCTACTTCGCTAATTGCTGTTAAGTGAAGTAGGATGTTTCCTATGCATAATTAGCCTTTCTGTGATGCATATAAACAACCAGCAAATCATTTATTTTAAAGGTGATGTTGACCCCAATGTTCAAATCCAAAGTGTGGTGGATGTTATCAACCCCACATTACCACCAGACAGACCATTGGGGTTAACCAGCAAAAGCACATTAGTGCCATCTACAAAAGTTTGCTTGCTGTGTCTGATTCAATGATTTAGAAGTGGGGTTGTTTGAATGTAGTAACTGTTAGCAAATAGAGTAATGTCAAGGAAAAAACCCTTGCCCAGCTTTTAAGAAGTTTCTTTCTTAGGAAATTGATTCACGATATGATTATAGATGGTGATGCCACTATTATCTTCTCAAGTGCATTTTGCACTCTTGAGACTTTTATTTTGATGCTTACGTGTCCGACCTACTTAATTTTCGCTTGCACGGTGTTCATCATACATGCTTCGAAAACACAGAATAGAACATAAACTTGCAGTGAGATTCTTTCTCTTCGGGAATATTTCCGTTTTCACAGCTGCATCTTGTTTGTCTATCTGTTATCATTAAACTTCATATTTGCTGACTAGGAAATCTGCCTTGACTTGTAAACGTTCAGTTGTCGGCACTGTGGTACAAGTGAGAAGTCTACTCCAATGATGAGGCGTGGACCTGAAGGCCCCAGGACTCTTTGTAATGCTTGTGGGCTTATGTGGGCAAACAAGGTTAGTAACCTTTAACCATTAGTCTCCCCGGGAAATCCTTTCAGATCTTCAAGTCCCTCTCCTGATAAATTTTGTTAGCTATCTTCCTAAAATGATCAGTCTGGATGCTGCAAAAAGAACTCTGGCCTTGCTAGGATGTTGTTAATTCACTTTATTCAAAGTGCTAATTAAATCTTCATCTTTGTGGTGGTTGCAACATGTAATTGCATTACCCTTCTCTCATTTGTGCCAGGGATTTAATTTTTGACTAAAGTACAAGGTCGTTTTCTTAATTGTTGTCTTGGTGCAATCGTTAATCAAACAGGGAACGCTAAGGGACCTCTCGAAGTCCGCACCCCAGGTTGGACAGAGCACTTCTGCTTTGAACAGGAACCCCGAGGTGAGCGAGACACTCCTGAAAAGGTTTGTGATTCTCGAGTGAACTTTCTTCGGGATCAAGGCCTGAATTCCCTCTTTTTTTTTGCCTGTTTTTCATGCATAGCAGGGGCAAACTGGGCAGGTCGAGACCAGCCAAGGGGGTACTTGAAATTCCAGTCAGACAATGAACTATGTTTGTGTTGAAGCTGTTTCAGTCTTCTCAGAGCAAATACCTATTTGGATGGAGGCAAGTTATCATCTGGAAGTGGCGATCTAGGCACCTGTTGGATGGGTTTTGAGGTATTCTTTTGAAGGTATGGTTGGTTGTCCTCAGCTTGTCAAAATGCATCAAGTTGCTGGGTTCTGCTTGCCTGGGCTTAGAGATGTGCAGTAGGGACTAGGGAGTTCGATTGTTGTAACTATTGTCTAGGTATGTAGTTGTGGTGTTTTAGATTTGGAGCTGTGATGGTTCATTGGTGATCAATAATTAGTTTGGAGACTTGGATACCATTGTTATTCTGGACCTTAAATAAGTTCCATTGTATAGTGCTAGATAGCCTTGTGGAACATAAAGAGTAATGTAATGGTTCATGACAAATGAATTAAAGAGTACAATTATTGATTTAACATACCGCTCTTTTTGTCTGTTCTCTCTAGTTTCTTGGCTTTCAGATCGTAGGCATTATGTTAATCGCTCTTTTTGTCCGTTCCCTTCTCTCTAGTGTTCATGTTTCCTTGATATCAGTACTCGAAGGAGGTACTGGTTGTAATAAGAAAAGGTTGCGATATCAGTACTCGAAGGAGGTACTGGTTGTAATAAGAAAAGGTTGCGGTAGAAATAATTCAACAAGCGGGGATAGCTCAGTTGGGAGAGCGTCAGACTGAAGATCTGAAGGTCGCGTGTTCGATCCACGCTCACCGCATTTTTTGTATTATTTCAATTAGACTAGTTTAATTTATGTCGGGTCCGATCCAAACGATCGATTTCAATTGGGCTTGTTTCATTTATTGCAGGCCTGATCCAAAAGTTTAGCCATGATTTTAATTGGGCTTTTAACCCTCACACGCTCCTTTTTTCCCCCAATTGAACTGTTTTGAGTTATTGAGATAACACGGATACACCAAGGATATGAAACAACGTAACCAAAGCCACTATCCAGCATTCAGTGTTTGTAAACTCAGCTCCATTACGCCATTACCGACCTCTGCCTTTCACTATTTAGTATTTACATGCAAAGGCCAAAAAAAAAAAAAAAAACGGATTAAGAACTAATCCTTCCAAGCTAGCCTAATAGTCATAGATGACAAAGTCGATGAATCTTGATCTTGACACAGGCCTCAGAGCTTTTACTGTATAATTCACCTACAAACTTAGACCACAAACAGATGAACGTCTAACAAAGATAACAAACTAACTACACCATCAGCACCATCCGGTTCTGCCAGTGTTTTGGTTGTACAAAGATTACTGATCTGTCAAGCTGCAGCAGAGCGGCCGGTCATAATGAAGGCATGGATGAGACACTGAGCTGTGTGGATTTGATGTGAGGTCCCGGATATCCCGACCACAACATCACCTCCTCCTGCCTTTGGTTCCTGGATCAGTATACTCGCACCCGATATCTGAAAGTGAGATCACCGCATGTAAGAACGATAATTTGCTTCGGCAAATGGGTGCCCCCAAGACGTATAAAGCAAATAGAAAACCGACCTGTCTGATCTGGTTCAGATTGCTATTGTTCTCTCCATGTACATGGCTAAGAAAGTTCAGAGGAATCACCATCTCAACTGGGCCGCCTGGTGCTTGGACTCCACTGTAAAATATTCAAACCAGAGTATGGTTAGGATAGAAAAAGAGAAGCATACAGGGCACAGCAACATGCACCGTAATATCAACTTCGAAAAGAAACGAACTGTTCTGGGGAAACGAGGATCACCTAGCTGGAGGCCCATTTCTCGCTGCGTACCCATCAGCACCTCCATGTGGATTGCCGCCGTTAAATGGCTGGAGAAGAGAGCGAAAGAGAGAAATGGAGTCACTAATAATAGTTGAGCAACTGAGTAGGCTGTGAAATAGCAACAACAATACAATGACAAAATCTGAAGATGAACATCAAGATTATTTCCAATCTGACAGAAGGAATATCGAACCTGTTGATTATTCCATGATCTGGGAGAAATTTCAAATGGAGGACCATGCCCAGGTCGTTCATCACCATAAGGAAACGAGTGGTGATCTTGATGATGTGGGGGAACAGCAGGATGGTCAGCGCCATGATAAGGACCTGCGGCAGGAGAAGGATAAGGACCTGTTGATGCTGGATGAGGTCTTGGTCTAAATTGAGGAGGAGGCATATCAGAGAACTGGGACTGATAAGGTGGCGGACCACCACTGTTTGAAAATGACGATTTCACTGGAGGAAATATTATATCTCTTAGTCTGCCTGTTATATGATATAGAGCATCTTGGACACACTGCAAGTTGCCAATAACCTGGAAAATGAATCAACAGAACACTTCAAAAAGGTCCCTCATGGCAGAAGGTAGACAGAGTGGAGGATCAAGCACTTGAAGATAAATTTTGGATAGTATAGAAAGATCCGGCATCAGCATGACATAATAAACTCTGACTCTCCGGTTCCTCATATCTATACAGGCTAATGGCCTGAACAATACTTTTCCTTCGAAAGAGATTCTGAAGTTTTGTTGCAGCAGAATAGACAAAACCAATAAAATTGACACAACTTGCAATGAATAGTGACAAAGTTCACAGGCACAGCCAACACTCCAGAGTTCTAAGTTCTAACATGAACATCGAGCTTATTCCACAAAATAAACCATAAAAATCTTTTAGAAGAATCGAACAAGTATGGCCATGTAACCCCTCAGGAGAATTATATAGTACATCGTGCTATGTTAGAGAGACCCATACACTGCACAATAATATCCTGAAAACGAATTGTAATTATCAAATATCAAGTAACCCAAAGATATCTCTGACAGATCACATAGAAACAGCATACACTCCTCACGGTCCAGCATGGAACTAAGAGGCACTCATTCCTTGGTATTGCACCACTCGTACAGAAAAGTAATCATATAATGGATAACAAACAATAGACCAGGAGCAACAAGAGGCACTCATTCCTTAGTATGCAGTTTTTAGTACCCACAAAGACACCTCCAGATAGTGTCGACCAATTTAACAGTATCAGTATTTATCACCTTCTGAATACCTGCACAATTTCGTCATGTGGTGTTCCATGCTTGGCAGCTTGATCCGTAGGAAATATGCGTATGTGGGCACCAGTAAGGTGTCTCATCTCAGATATAATCTGACCTCCTTTACCCAATAAGCGTCCTATCTGCTGCGAGTGTACAATAAGACGAGCAACAACTGGAGCACCATGTTCATATCCAATCTCAGCAATTCTGGTTTGTACTCGAATAACGCCATCCTGGGCTGGAGAACGTCTTTGCTCTGAATTCTGCAAGAATTAACGCTGCAATCAACACTAGCAAGGATCTGAGGCCACACTAAGTTTTAAATATAATGAAGTTTTTATAATCATGTTCACAGGGTGACAACAAGAAACTAATGGAGTTAATTGAGTGATCCAACAGAGATGTCCATTACAAAGGATATAAGACCAATAACCAAGACGAAATTGGCCAAACATAGCCGGAAACTCAGGTTGAGTGATGACTGATGAGGATACAATATATTTGGAAGCAAAAGAATGATTGAAGTTAATTGATCCCAATAGACATTCTCAGGGTTGCACAGCTAACTACTGGAGTTGTCAAGAACTATAACGATATAACACCATGTCTTAGCTCTTCACAACAGAAATGCGAAAGGAACCCTTTCCCAGAACTAACACGTTGTCATGCCTGTAGGACACGCATGTCTAATGATATGTCAATGGAACAGCTAGAAACATTGCTGATCAATGAAACAGTTCTATGTCACCTAAAACTGGAGAATAAAAATCCCAATCCCGTGCAAAGTTAAATTGGTCCAAAAGGCACGATAAATACTGCAGCTCAATACAGACTTAACAAGGTAAGAGTAGAAGATATCAGAGTTAAGTTCCCATGCCTCTCGTGCAGATATCACAACAATTCGCTCTTGTGATACCGGCATAACATCAGCAATTTTGATAGACGCACCAGTGTCGTTCTGCAAAGTTTTTATGACAGAGCCACCTTTTCCAATCAAACTGCCAACTTTATCCAGTTGACACAACAACTTGAATACAACATCCTCCTCCACAACCCTCCCGTTACGGCCATCAAAGTTTTCAGCTCCCATATTAGGAGAGTGACCCCTAGAATGATAATCAGCATAACCCCGCTGCGAAAAGTCTGCATGCCCATGGTGCCCCGAATGTTTGGCACTACCAGGATTAGCAGCTTCTGCTTTACTTATATCTTCAAGACAACTATAAAATGCTAGAAGTGCTCTTCTTACAGCATAATAGCTTCCGGTAACCTGAATAACCACAACGTTAGGCATCAGAATAAATTTGAAGGAAACATCATATACAATATGGACATGAGTCGGAAGGAAAACGCGAGCAATTATAGGCATTACTCCTGGAAGAGGAATGAGGTGGCAACATTCCCATATTTACAATTTATAACCGTAAAACTGGTATCATTCTCCTCCTTAGCTTAAGGTAAATGCACTACGGCAAAGGGCAATCCAGATCTTTCATTATCAAATGGAATAAAAATGCAAAGCAATCAACATGTAGATTCTGATTTTGATAAACTCATCGACGACCAATCTAAATCTATTTTAGAACGCAATGAACTTTTCCACAGCCCTTACTCAACGAGTGTAGCAGTCGAATTCACATACTCTAAACCACATTCTCCTTGAGGAAAAGGGCATGACATGAGCTAAAGAACCAACTTGGATAGATGAGACGATTCATCAAGTGGGAGTAAACAATGAAGTTTACCAGCATGAGTTCATCGCCGAGAGATGCGCAAGGAGGTATCTGCTCACGAGGGAGAAGCCTGACTTGGTGCGCTCCACTTTCTGCCATAATCTTGTCCAGCACATTCCCCCCTCTACCGAACAGATGAGCAGCCTGATCGTTCCCAATCAAAACCCTACCCACGACCACCACTTCTTCACTCAGCTCCTCCAAACTATCCCCTTTCACAATCTTCTCAAATACCCTAACCAACGCTTTCTGCACCGGACCCCACCCTTCATCTCCCCCTCCGCCACCGGACTCTCCGCCACTGCTTTTGACGCCAACGGCGGAACTCCCATCAGCAACGGCGCCGCCACTGTCCGGCGGATGAGAAGAACTGCTATTACTGTTTTCATTCGCGGCAGTAGTCTCTTCAGCCGCGGTTGGCCTAGGGTTTCTGTTGTTGGCGGTGGCACCGGAAAAGGGATTATTAACATGCGAAATGAGAATGACGCGTTCGTCGCAGGGAGGGTGGCCGTGAGGGTTGTCGAGGAGGCGGATTTTGGCGCCGGTGACGGTCTGAATGTGGCGGACGCTGGAGCCTCCTTTACCTATAACGGCGCCGGTCCTGGCCGACGGACACAGGATACGGAATTTGGAGAGATTGGAAGGAGAATCCATGGGAGAGAAATTACAGGGCGAGAAACTCAGCAAGGGAAGTTCCCCGGTGTTTCTCTATCAGATTTTCGCCCGACGGCTACCCGCCACGGCAACTACGACTTGGATTTGGACCTGTGCCGGGAGTATGGACTTCCATTTTAGGATATTTATTGTATGGGAAGTTCCCCGGTGTTTCTCTATCTCCCATGTGTATAGAGAGGGAAATTATACTGCCAATTTTACTTGGCTTAGCTTGCAAGGATCATTTGGCTAATTTTGGTACACATCTCTTCTATGTGCATAATTCGATTCTTGGTAATTGATTGTTGTACGACTCCATGGATCGAAATATTATTAATATGAACTAGGATGCTTTGACGTCCGTCTTTCTAAAAAAAAAGTATGCTGCAGCTGCAAAGTGCAAAGTCAGCCCCAAGTTGGGGACTCACGCACTTAACTTTAGTAACTTTTAACGAAATGATTATTCTCTTAATTTCCTTTAATTTTTATTCATAGGTCTTAACTATGCTCATTATCTCAAAATAATTAAGGTTTCAAAAATGGTTTTCGCTAACTGTACTGGTCGAACAAACATCGTACTAGCATGAACAAACATCGTATTATGCTTATTATGTGTTTAGGTTTTCTTAAACGTGTTTTCCTTATTGTTTTGCTGTGTCGAACAAAGAATATATATTTTGACATGAATATGTCTCGATCCAAGTATCAATGTCGTACTGGCATAGTAAAAGTTTATGCACATATTATTTGATTGAATAGAACTCCAAAGCTCTCTTCAAACTCCAACCTAAAAAAATACCATGTGTAACCTAAACTAACTGTAAGTCTGTAACACTTTAGGCGAATCCCACATCGACAAACACACGGGAGAGATCCATGGTTCATAAGTAAGAAACCATCATTAACTTACAAGACGCGTTTTGAGGTGAAATGAAGGAGTTCTTATGAGAACTGCGAAGTTAAACGTGTTCAATGGAGTACAACAAGGATAGGTGACTTTATGGAAAGTCACTTTGAATTGCACCCCAAATCGAAAATTCGTAAGAGACGGGGCCCAAAACGGACAATATCTTCATCGAAAAAAATGTTCGGATGTTACACTAACCATGCCATATGGCCAGATTATTAAAAAAAAAAAAAAAGCCATATGACCTTCTGCTTGGAACTTGAAAGGGAACAGTCAAGCAGAAGCTTTGTCATAAATCCGCTCATGGATAAATAGTGCAGTTACACATTTAGGGTTCTACTCAGCTTGTTTCTGAAATCTGAACATACATCAGTCTACATCGTCAAAAAGTCATATTTGTTTTCCTTTATTGGCTCCAAAATAGTTAGTCGGGTTGGGGGTTCTAAAGTCTGTTACTCAACCTAGTCCAGTCCAACAGATACAGAGGCACAAAATTCTGCATATTTTACATGGCAATGTTTGTGTTGTTGTATAAACCCTTCTTCACGTTACCGCAACAAAAAGCGACTAATCAAAGTCAGGAAGAAGGCCTTCTTCCTTCAGGAAATATGCAAGGATTGCAAGTAATATGATGAGAATGATGATCCACCAGCTTAATCCTCCTGCAGAAAGGAAAGAACCAAGAACATGAAACAATTCCTCAATAATGAAATCTGCACAACAGTTGCCGAGGATGGTTTCCCTGTATTATTAACTTTCTTAGTCTACCCTCGATTATTGGCATCTTATTTAGTGGTAGCAAATAATTGGATGCATAGCTTACTTGCTTTAATTTGATTGTACATACCGTTTTTCTTCTCCTTTATCAATGTTACCCGTGCACTGGAATCCATAGAAGCTGATACCAAAGCCCTGTATTGAAAATTACCGAAAGCCAAGGTTAAATCCAAGAGACTGTTGGACGCAGAAGCATAACCGATGGATACAGGCATTTCAGAGGGAAACATAGAGACGTGAATGAGCTCAGAACGGCACTTGACACAGGAATTAAATGTTTTAAGTTAAAAACTTCTTACCTTGAATCATGTGAGAAGGCCAACGCAGTTACAAATCCAAGATGAGCTTTCCTAACCACCATCTGAACTCCCAACTTGGATGAATCTACAACTACCACGTCCCCTTGGGTTGTACCACTGTTGGTTCATCATGCCAAAAGACCGAAATGAATTTTTACTATTGCCACTTAATAAACTAAAAAGATCGCTCTGAGATATTGGAAGAGGGAACATGTCATAAAGGAGAAATTGAGCCACTTCGTACATTGCAAGGAGCCTTCCGTCAGGCGAGACATTGAAGGAAGAAATGGAATCACGAACCACATGCTTAGAGCGTAACCTTTTCCAAGAACTTGTGTTCCAAGTCACTATACTTCCACCTTTACCTGCACGAAGTACATCCTCATAAGCTCTTAGAGATCAATAACTAATTTTTCTCCAACGAACTTAAGGGGCAAAAAGGGTGTTCGTACAAAGTTTACCTGTTATGGCAGCAATATACAGTATTAGAGAATTATCCCTACTTTGTGCAAATCTACAAGAGAAGAACACTTCATCCTGTATGCAATGGGATGCAAGGGAAAACAGTAAAACCGCATTCAGTCAAAAGATGGGGAACTGGACTGACTTGCAGAAAAAAAGCTTAGAGATTCAAAATTGACGACATTCATCTTTGACCAGGAAAGGCAACAAGGTTATCCTATTGTAACTATGTTAAGAATCAGGCAATTCGTAACTAAAGCGGAAAACAATTCATCCGTGCATCAAATGAGTTCTTGAGAGACTCGATACGGGGCTGATTCGGGGACTTAGAAAACGATAAAATTCAATGCTTCCATGGCTGTCAGTACAGAAAACAATGCAAGGCCAATTTGAAAACGTTTTTTATCTGTTGCACAAGAGAAAAAGAAGGAATGACCTTAAATTGACAGAAGAAAACAAATGACAACTGCCTAGTCTACTTTCTAAGGAACCACAGCAAAGAAAGAGCAACATTGGACTGACTAGATAAAGGAATCTGTTGAAATTAAATGGTTACTCACACTTCCATTTGGCAACGAAGCTACAACTTTTGCTGAAGGTACATCCCATACCCTCCCAGGACCACGACTACCGAGGGAGACGAGAAACTTGCCATCAGGACTGCACCAGAGTTCAGTGAAGTTATCAGCTACAGAGACTAAAATGCTATCCATGCATACAGGTTTTGTAGATTGAAGTCCTATAAGCTAACCTGAAACACAAGTCTTTCACGGAAGAATGTGCTTGATCCTCATTCAGAATCACTTCCATGCTTGGCCATTTAAAAATCCTCAAGTTGCCCTCCTGTACTGCACCAAAATCAGTGTGTCAAAGCAACTATCTCTAAGGATAGATCCGCATCATGTTGGCAATCCAAGTAGACGGAGTAGATGAAGAAAGGGCAAAGAACTTTAGTACTTGATAATAAACACCAACCTAGAAAATTATATCATTAAGTTGAACAGATGAGTAGGCGAATGCCTATGACAACATTTAAAATCCGCTAACGCAGTGAAAACTGAAATGGTGAAAAAAGACTGTGGCAGCACAGGGTAATGCTACACAACCTGAGCTAAATTACTTCAAGGTGACTATGGGCAAAAAAAGTTTTAGCATTTCTTGTGTCAATAACACCTCCCCTGTCATGCAATATCTACCAAACACAAGGAGAAAACAAGAATCTACCTCTCCTCCGACAGCAAGAGTGGAACTGTCAGTGTCATAGGCTAATGCTAATTGTTGTCCAACATCTTGTAACAGATCCAGGGTTTTATCCGAAACTTTGACATCCAGTTTTCGTGTTTCACTTTCTTCGATCTCATCCCACTCAAAGAACCTGAATGAAAAGGGAGGACACAGGAACTGACTAAGCATTCCAATAGGATGATTCTGCCAGCAATGACCGCGAAATTTTTACGAGCTTCCCAAACCCAATAATATTAACAGGACTGGAAAGAATTTGCACCTGCAACTGTTTTGCATAGCACATATTAATCCATCCCCTTTTGGGTGAACAGCCATTCTATATGGCAACTCAGAACCAAGAACCAGCTTAGCTACCTGAAACAGAGGAATGCAGAAGAATGATGAACATAATATCTTCTAGAAATGCATAAACAATACTATTACGTATTATCGAACTGGTTGAAGAGAATGCTTATGGCGTTTTATGATACTGGAATTGGTAAATCATGTTAAACAGAATAGGAAGGCCAAACAAGATGATTTCTATTGAATGGAAAAACAAGCATAAATACAAATGTTTAACCTGCAAATCCGTCTCAACTATCTAACCACTAACCCACGTCCTACAAATAAGCAGACCCCTCTAACAACTGCTAACTCCTACTGCTACACAACTGCTATTTATTAGCAAGGCTTTCTCAACAGACAAGCCTTAAAGAATAAAACTTGAACTATTAAATTCCAAGACTCTAAACCAATTTGTACGACACCAAATTATTCCAACATAGCCTCCCCTAAACTGAAGCATATTAATGATTCAGTTTACTCCAAAGCAGTAGCAGCAGCTCTGCAATCCACAACGAACTCAAATGCTTGCAGCAACAACTTTTGCAACTTCACACTCTCCATGCATTCCACTCACTTAAACAAACATCATCATCGTCTTCATAGCTTTACTCATCAAATTACTCAGTTGATCTACTATTTCAGGACACCCCAACACCATAACCTCTTCATTATAAGAACACTAGAGTTGGGAACATCTTGATGCTTGAGCTGCTGTCATAACGTGCTCTGGTGCCTTCAAGCCCATTTCCTTTCCTTTCAAACCCACTTCCTTTAAAAGAGTCATCTCAACCACTTGCATTGTACAGGGCAATGAGCTTCAATTTTCTGCAGCATCACCATTAAACACACATTAACAGCAACTTCACTCTTTCAATCAATTGCAACTGCAGAATTTTCAGTAACTCGAGAGTTTGCGGCAACACTATCAATCAACTCAATCATTTGACGCTAGCCTCCAACGAGATTGGCTTCAGTTCAACTTCACTTTCCTCTAGCTTCTTCCTGGCAAGGCATGCTCCACTGTTTTCATTTCCGGTTTCTTCACTGTACTCTCTAGACCTGTCCTCTCAGATCTCTCCTTCTATGTCATCTGCCAACAAGCGAGAACTGCAACTCAAAGAGTTATTTGCAGGCTCTCAAATTGTTACTTGTTGCATGACATAGCAACCGAGTACTTCTAAACCAGCCATTCACCCACCGAATAAGGACCAACCACTCTGCTGCCTACTCGTCAAATGACATTGAAACCAAACCTGCTTCACTCACAGGTTACACCACCTACTTCACTCGTAGGTATGTCTAGCTGACACTGACACCCAACCTGCTTCACTCACAGGTTATACCACCTACTTCACTTGTAGGTATGTCTAGCTGACATTTCCCTAAACAGTTCCCCGAGCATCCTTGCACAACCATGGATTCCTTTAATCCAATCATCATTCCTCACCATCTACTTCTCTGAAAGTCTCCAATTGAACTAATGCTACAATCTCATTCACTAACTTCATAATATAGCTTGGCAGCATCAAAGTGTACACTACCTATCATGCAATCACAAAGCTGTCATGACAAGGATAACAAACAGAAGACTCTCAAGTCACTTACTTTGCTTGTTTCTTCTTGAGTTGCAGCTCACAAAGGCAAACGTAGACAATCACAGAACCCATCACAACTCTTTTGCATAGCCATCATGGTTGCCATTTCCTCCCCTGAACTGAAGCCTACTGGAACAAGCTTCAGTTCACTGAATGAGCACCATCTTCTGCATCTGACACTGCAGATCCATCTCGAAGAGACTCTTGTTCCAGTTTCTTGCACAAGCCCTCCTGAAAGTTTCCTCACAACCCGATCCATCTTCTCATGGGGAAACTCTTGTAACTTTCTCCAGGCAAAAGAATCTCATGGCCGAGTACAATTTTCCCACAACCTTAGCTTCACCATTTGAAACCTCATGCCCCTCCTTTCTGCAATTTGCAGATAGGTTGTCTTCCCTTAACACTTTGGAACAAGTTCCTTGCTAGTTCTTCCCTAACCAATTTTATCAATGCTCTCATCAAGTAGCCACAACCTCTTCGGGAACTTTTAGTTTAGCAATGCTCTCACCGCCCCAGAAACTTCCACCTTATCTTCAACTGCCATCAGAGTAAGAATTTCTAAGTTCATGTCATGTGAAAGAACACCAACGGCCTCCACAAATGTCTCCTCTTTATTTTGGGTTCCCAAATTCTCAACACCCAGCACCGAACTAGCATCCTCCTTCCACACCTTTGCGCACTTACTGCACCTAAAACGAACAGCTTCCAACTCGGCCACAACAACTTCGACACCTTTCGCCTTCTCCTCAACTACAACATCCTTATCTACTACCTACGTCAGTTCATCTGAAGCTACCACCACCATAACCCAAATCCTTGTCGGCAACCACCGACGCCAACATGCACATCACGACTCCCATTGGTTCCTCCATATCAAATCCACAGCAAACAACAGCTTCTTGTTCCTTTCCTTCCCCAACATCAACTCTTTCTTTGTCAATCGAGCATTACCAAACTGTATCCAAGAATCTCCTACCCTTAACGAAAGTCACGAGTGGTTAATCTGATGCACGAGAAGACCCTTCCCGCTGCCGTCTCTTTTAGGTTCTGCAACCGTACCTCGTATCCGGCAGAATCAACATAATCCTCCAGTTCATCAGAATCTCCGATCAATCAACAACCCGATTCCACCTTGTCCTGGTTCTGGCTGCAAAATCGCGAATTTGGAGGCAGAATCCTCATCAATGACAACGTTCCTCCCCATCTCCCCGCCGGACTTTGCTCCGGTTCTTTACCTCCTTCTCTTTCAAATTTACCTTCTCTGAAAATCGATCCCTCATCTTCGTCCAGGTCTACCTGACCATTCTCGTACTCTCCGCCTAAGCCATTGGGCTCGAGCCACTACGCACCACCGTGAGTTTCACTAATTTCTTTCCCTTATACTCCTTACACATAATAGGTGCGCTGGCCGTTGAACAATCTTGCCACCACTGCTTCCACCATGCCGTTGTTGCTTCCCAAATGCCGTTGTTGCTTCCACCATGACGCAGACAATCTTCTCCTCCCTTGTGTCATCGTCGATTTCACAGAGGTGGCTTGAGAAGATCTCCACCTCTCGATTCTTCAATTGGACTGAACCCTAATTCTACCATCCCTCTATTTTTCTCCTTACAGATAATAGGCCGGCGGTGACCGTGGTGGCCACCGCCGTTGGAACCTGGATCACTTTGGTGTTAACCTTATAAGGCTCTGATACCACTATGTTAAACAGAATAGGAAGGCCAAACAAGATGATTTCTATTGAATGGAAAAACAAGCATAAATACAAATGTTTAACCTGCAAATCCGTCTCAACTATCTAACCACTAACCCACGTCCTACAAATAAGCAGACCCCTCTAACAACTGCTAACTCCTACTGCTACACAACTGCTATTTATTAGCAAGGCTTTCTCAACAGACAAGCCTTAAAGAATAAAACTTGAACTATTAAATTCCAAGACTCTAAACCAATTTGTACGACACCAAATTATTCCAACAAATCAATCTGCGAAAATATTCTAAAATGAATGGGGTCAAACAAAAGCATTCAGCAAAATCCAAGCACCAAGGATTCGATAATTGCTCAGTGCAATTATGTAACCCACGCATTCAGTTCACAAGCGATCAAAATCAACGCCATGAATGAAATCCCAAACACAAATTCAAAACCTCTGCTATCCTAACAATAACCTTAAACTTACGGGCTGCGGCGAGAGAGTACTGGAAGCGAAATCGAAATGAGCAACCACAATAGCATTTGCTATGCCACTTCGCCCTTCGCCGCCACCACCAGCCAAAACCACGTAATACTCCGACGCAGCAGGTCCATCGGCCTTCTGCGGTTCTGCAGCAGAGGGTTCCTTATCAACGGAATCCCCATCTTTATCCGCCGGAGCGGAAGTCGCAGATTCTTTGTTAGAGTCTTCACGCTTGTCATCAGATCGAGCTTGATCGTCGGATTGGAGCTTGGATTTCAGTTCCTTGTACGGAACCCAAGCAGCGGAATAGAAAGGGATGCCATACTTTTGCAACGCGGAAGAGTCCGGACTCTGACCGTTGGCCATTGGTGCTTACTTACTGAAAACAGCTTGCCCGTACGATCGATCGATCAATCAATTCCTCTGTTAGCCTAGCTTACCTTCCTTCTCCGAACCTGTGAGTAGAGATGGACAAAGAGAAAGAACGGAGACGACAGCCGGCGGTCTCTGCTGAAACGCGGTAGCGGTCGGTTTATTCGATCCCGATCTTAAAGCGATTGTCGTATTGAAGGGATGTTATTTGAGCCCTTTTTGTTTTGGGCTTTCGGCTACGAGATTTAACATGCGTGGGCTGAAATGAAAAGACAGGCCCATCCGAGAGTCTAAACCACTGGTAGAGTGGGAAAAAACAGGTAGGGTTTATGATCTCCATCTCCATCTCCATCTCCGAGGAGCTCTCTTCCCCTCTTTCATGGTCATTAGCTTCTGAGAAACCAGCTGAGAAGACTTCGCGAAAAGAGGGAGCTGAGATTCATCGCTTCCGCCATTGATTCTCTTCGAGTATGACGAAGTTCAGGAAGCTAAATCGGCCGACGGGCCACCGTATGGCCATGCTTAGGTTCTTGAAGAATTTGCCCCTCTTTGTTTTTTTGGGTGGCTTTTGTATCTCCAGTCGCCTGTTCTTTGTCTGATTTGTTCGTGTTTGTACCTGTAGAACAATGGTTTCACAATTGGTGAAGCACGAGCGTATTGAAACCACTGTTGCCAAGGTACTTCCATATGTGCTTTGCAGCGTTGAGTTGTTTTGTTTGATTATTGTAGTCTATAAAGGACTAGGCCATCGTGCTGTGTTCATTGAGAATATGCATTTTCTCAGTTCGGAATCCACAGCTGATTCTGGCCGTGCTTGCTGTTTTGATTTCACTTGAACATTACTCGGGGGAACAATTAAGGAAGTGAATTTTCTCCTTTTCATGTATTGTTTGATCTTCTTTAGGCAAAAGAAATACGGAGGCTCGCTGATAATATGGTGCAGCTTGGCAAAGAGGTGAGAGTGCAGTAACTGAATTACCTTGTCAAAAAGTTTGGTTGTTTTATGCCAACCACATGTCCTCTTGGTTGATTGCTTTAAGTAAGGAGTTACATGATATTTGTGTTTCTTAATTCTGGTTAAGCTTCATATCATCTCGAATCGGTCAAGTATTTGTTGAGAATTGTTGGGATCGGATGGTTTGAAACACAAAGCATCTTATTCAACTGATGTACCATTGCTTGAAGTATTTCGTTGTAGTATGATGATGTGATCGTTTATTTTTCATGCTTATGCTCCCTAATGAGTCTGAGATTTTTGCTATAGTATAGCCCTAACTTTTTACTGCATAATGCGCAAAGCATAAATTTCCCATAACGGTGTTTGAGCAAATCATTAAACACTACGCTGTACTATGAGAAAGAAAGTATGGAACTTAAGTTTTGAGATCTCAATCATATAAAATTGTAGAACGAGGTCACATTCACAAAGTCTTTGATGACTGATTTTAGCAGCTGTGAGATCACATCTTGCCAGTCTTTTGTTCATGGGAGACGATGAAGCAAAATATATAGCTCTTGAGTCTTGACCATTGTCAACTGTGGCGATCCTTCGTAGTTGTGAGGAATAACAACCATTGTGTTTGTGTCATGGCTTTTGATCTATACATTCCTTGAACTAGCTCCAGCTTCTGCTTAACTATTGTTTGAAAAGGGGAAAAAACTTGACAATGCTACCTACTTCATCAGAATAGGCAATTACTTTATGATAAATTCTTAAGTGTGGTTTTATTTCTACATTATGTTCTCTGTTTCTTTCTAAGAGAAAAAGGGTCTATGGGTAAGTACTAAGAACTAAGTACTAAATAGATGACCCTTAGTCTAATCTTATATTTTGTTACTGCTCTTCATCTATTGATCATTTTCTATATTTTTGAATTTTTGCAGGGTACCCTTTGTGCGGCCAGGCGAGCTGCTGGATTTGTGAGAGGAGATGAAGTCATTCACAAACTGTTTACAGAGCTAGCATATCGATACAAGTATGTTTCCACCAGTTCGTTTTAGTTTCTCTTTCGGTATCTCTTGAAACTGTATTCTTATTCATTGCATGGTGTATCACAGGGACAGGGCAGGTGGTTACACAAGGCTCCTACGGACACGGATAAGAGTTGGTGATGCTGCACCAATGGCCTACATCGAGTGAGACTCTCTCTCCTTCTCTGCCAGCTTTCAAGTTTCCATCTTTTGCAGACCTTTTCAAATAGAAATTGAATAAAATACCCTTTGTCATTGTGTGGTTGCATAGAATTTACACAGCTTGAACCGAATGAGAGTGAAAATCCCAGATTTTTCAAAGTTTCCACAGCACCTTACGAAACATAATGGTACCATTCAAGATAGTCCAGGACGTTCATACTTATCATCCATTCCTCATCACTTTATTGTTATTGAACAGTATGCATGTGACTCTAGGCTCTAGAATGATGTCTTGATAATACGAGTTTCGTAATTCGTTTATATCTAGTTTCCGTTGGTCTTGTATTGCCTTGCAATAGTGGTTTGTGCTGATGTTACATATATCAACCAGGTTTATTGACAGAGAAAACGAACTCAGACAATCAAAACCGGCGGTCCCTCAGCTGCCACAGAGAGCTGCTTTAGATCCCTGGACGAGATCGCAGCTTACCAGGAACTTTGCACCTCCCAAGGAGGAAAAGAAATCCGATTCGGATTCCGACTTATGAAGGAAGGACGATGGACACACAAATAAAACTGAGCCAATACTGTCTATCTAGGAGTGTTGTTATCCTAGTTAACTCATCATACCATTTTCAAGATTTGGAACGTGTATATTATTGATGGCTATTTCAACTGACATGGTAGACTGATACGGTAACACTGGGCGTTTTGAGGTATTTCTGTACTGTTGCGTGGAAGTTGGAAGTCTCCAACTCTGTCTCTAACATGGTGTCTGTCTGCATTACATTGCAAATTCGGACATTAAAAACTAACATGGTGTCGTAATGATGTTTTTCAATATCATATCGCAGTCCGACTGTTAAAATTGTTTTCATTGCTATGAATCATGGTTTAAGTACAATAACTTACCATATGGTTTAAGCACAATGCCTAATCACGTTATGAATCACAATTAAATCATGGTTCAAGCACAGTGCCTTACCATGGTTTTACAATCTATAATTCAAAATGAACTATGTGCGCTGCTGAACTACAGGGCACTTTGACCTATACATTTCCTAAACTCTCTAGAGCAAGTCTTAACCTTTTTTGGCTTTTGGAAAAACTCAACATTATTAGAGTGCTTTGTCAGTTTGTCCATGGTATTGGCATTGGTGTCGTTTGATTTTGTCGATTGTTTAGTTGAGATAGTTACAATATTTTTTTTTGAATTTTCTGCACAAACAATACATGTATTGTTGGCTTGATGTGACACAAACTATCACTCAAAATGTAGTGATAGTTAAATCTCAAGTTTTTTGAGAGAATGTTTGGTTGAGATTGTTGTGTGTTTTATTCTTCCAACTTTGTCCCTATCTTTTTATGTGTCTTGCTTTTTTATATTACAAACAAAGGGTAAAAGTGACATTTCACCCAAAAAATAATACAATTTATTTAAATAACACAATAATTATCACATAAACCAAACGCGATGCAAACTAAAATACACCAATTTTTTTATATACATATATTTTATTATGCATGCATTGATGACAATCCATATATTTAACTATCACCAAAATCAAACATACTGTCACCTCGAACCTATACATAAGATCTTAGCTCCGTCCTTGTGATCACCCATAACGTGTATTTAAACCAAACGTGGTGTGAGGCTTTTGTGTAGGGGTGGCTATACGGTCCGGTCCGGTTAAATTTGCCCAAATTGATCCGGTCCAGTCCGGTTTTTTTGAGAATATAAGGACCGAAGATTGGATTGCATACAGTCCGGTCTTGATCCGGTCCGGTCCCAATTCGGTCTTGATTTTATATTGAGATTGTGGGAATTTGAGTGGCCTAAGGCCTAAAAGGGTGAGGAGTTGGTTAAGTTTTGTACTAAGTGTAAAGGTTTGTGACCGTTTATGCAAATTACCCTTAAGTTTTGGGTGTTGAGCTCTCTTATCCAGTATTTATCCGGTTTTTTACCTCAAATCTAAGCCCAAAGATTGGATTGGATTGTTTACTATCCGGTTCCGGTTCCGGTCTCGGTTCGGGTTATACGGTCCGGTTTCCGGTTTTTCATCCGGTCCCGGTCCAAATAGCCAGCCTACTTTTGTGTGTGTTGTTGGCACCCAAATGAATCTGACGTCGCTGTGAAGGTGTAGGGACGCACACCGCACCAAAATGAAATTTGGAAGCCAGATGGTGACGAAGAAGACACCATTAGCGAATGACATGTGGCTGTTTTTGGGTGGTACAAGTTCACCACCACGTTTTCGTTTCCTTCAAGTAATGCAACCACAACTACTAAAAATAATTCATCTGGTGGAGATTTTGGGATGTGGTTTTGTGGGTAACAACCCAAACACGAATGCACCACCTTTCACAGTGTAAAAAAAAAAAATTACAGCCACAACCCAACGTGAAAGCGGGGAGATATTTATCACCCTTCACCTAACGGAACCCATTCTTCTTCTTCTTCTTTTTTCCCTTTTTACGAAGTCATCATCCTGCATCCCGGTTCTTCCGTTTTTGCTCCCTATGAATTATTTTCATTACATGTCACTCCACCAAGCCCCCCTTGCGTTTTTGTCTTGTTTAAAAATTTTATGCCCAACACAATGGGTGTACTTGTGTGGTATTTTTCACGAGATATGTATGTAGTAATCTCTAATTCTGTTTCAATTACCGACGAGACAATCGTTCTCTAAGTCTAATACATGGGTGTAATATTTTTGACGAGTTTTGTGTGCACTTGCTTGGAAAATATAGAACATGCTCTCGAGACTAAATTTCTCTATATTTGCTTCAACAATTAGCCTATCTAAGAGCATTATGGTGAGATTATCATACCTCGCACTACCTACAACCCCCTCACAGACTCGCATTCTTAAGTCCTTGTTGCGATGAAATGGGGAAAATGTTTTTCTTTTTTTGAGCTTGTTGATGCTCGCTTCAAAATATGGACTCAAATATGTGTACATTGTTTATCGATCACACTCTGTCAATCCTCTCATCATTCAACGTTTTCATTCTTTTTAAAATGAAACGTGCGTATATAGTATATTGAACTAGAATACTCATTAGATCCTTATTATGCCAACCTAATGAGCAGTGGTGGAGCTAGGTTGAACCTTGATTGGAGGAGCTGCAATCCTCCTCAATGTTGAAATATAGGCAAAATTACATGTAAAATTTTGTATAAATTTAGGTATTAGAACATACTTTAACCCCTCTGCTCCAATTATAACAAATCAAGTCAACATAGTGTGTTGTAGCAGCACTCCAAATGGCAAATGGAAGCAACATGTACCAGGACCAATATGCTAAAATTGTAGAAACGTAGTAGTAGAATGATATTTTCCACCCAATACTAAAAGTTGAAGCTTTCGAGAGAAACGAGGTTTCTTCCTTGAAGCAGCGTATAAAATTGTGGTGGTGGTAGAAGAAGACGAAGGAACGCAACAGAACAAGGCGGCGTGTCCACCTCGGCTCTCTCAAGTCTCCTTCCACAGTCTCCTCCACTCCCACCACCACAAATTTCCCCAAACCCAACGTTCTATTTATAGCCGCCACCGTCCCCCTGCCACCAGTCGACCGCCGGTGCCTCCTCCACCAATACTGCATTTCACCCCCTACATTTTCTCCCGATCACGAAAACCCACCCGCCGCCTCTAACCCACAACCAGAAACACACCACCGATCCAACCTCTCTCTCTCTGTTCTCTCCTTGAATCTCTCTTCCTCAATTCCCTCCCTCCCCAAAATCTCTTCCCCTCTATTTCTCACCACAAGATTCTTTTCCCCCTTTTTCCTTCCCACCATTTCTATTTAATCCCTCACTTCTATCAATCACCACCCATTCTCCCTTCCTCTCTCGTTTCTGAATTCTTTTGATTCAATGGAGGATCGGGCTAAGATCTGCGAGCTCTGCGCAGGAGCGCCGGACGTTTACTGCAACTCCGACGACGCCTTCCTCTGCTTCAACTGCGACGCCAGAGTTCACCAAGCCAACTTCCTCGTCTCCCGCCACCTCCGCCTCCTGCTCTGCCGGACCTGCCGCTGCCTCACCCAGAACTCCGTTTTCGGACCCAGATCCCTTCCTCACTCCGCCGCCTGCGCCGCCTGCTCCTCGTCGGAGGTGGAAAGCGTTTCTTCGGAGCAAGAGATGGACTCGATCTCCTGCTGCTCGTCCTCCAACCCTTCAGAATCGGGGAGTTCCACTGCGAAATTCCCCATCCGCTGCGACGTGACGGTGGACCAGCGGCAGGGACCGAGGAGCAACAACGCGCCGCCGAGATCTGGAGCCTGCGAGGGGAAGATCGGGGCCGTTTTCGCGAATTGGTGTAGGAAAGTGGGTGTGGAGGCGGATCTGGTGGAGCCGAGGGCGGTTCAGGCGATGGGATTGTTGAGCGCGGGGCGGATCGGGAGAGTGCTGCCGCTGCGGCTGAGCTTGGCGGCGGCGTTTTGGTTTGGAGCGCGGCTGAGCGGGGACAGGTCGCGGCAGAGCCTGCGGAGATTGGCGCACGTGTCGGGGGTCCCGGCGGAGCTGATCGTCAGCGTGGAGGCGAAGCTTGAGCAGGGGTTCAAAGGCCGTGGAAGATCACTGCGGCGACCGGAGCCGGAGGAAGGTTGGGCGGAGTCGGTTGTTTGATCAGGAGGTGTTGACTGGACACGTGTCTGGCTGGGTGTGGGTTAATTAGGGGGATGATGATACATATCAATTAAGGGGTGATTAATTCAGATTTGATTGTATTTAGTGAGAGATTAAGATTTACGAGATTAGTCATCTAGAAAAATTAGTCAATCAGAATTTACGGGTGGTGTGGATCAAGTTTCGACCATTTGAATGATGAAATTGTATTCAAAATTCCATTGAGTGAATGAGGATTCCATCGTTTAAAACAAACTTTAGTTTAGATGTTTCTTTAAATTTTGTGTGCCAAATTTTTAGATTAAAAAAATGTAAATTCGGTCGGTTGTATGAATTTTTAGTTTGAGTTATTTGAGTGCGATTTCAAACAATTATAATTGGATAGTAAACTTTTAGAAATAGATGGTCATGATATTACTAATTTTCTATAGGTTTCTCTTATTAGTTTGGGTCTCCTCAATTTTGTCTGTGCCAAAAAGTCGAATCTACTTTTATATTGTCTCATCGACCAAATTTCTATCGTCACATATTGCCTCATCGATCAAATTTCTATATCATATTAAGTGAGATGGCCAGATAAATCTCTCCCTATTTGCTAGTTAATTAGTTAACTCCAACCACATTGAGATTTAGGGCACAATTGACTCCATTATTTCTTCATTTTCATTAAGAAGAAATTCTCACTTGATTTCTAAAAAAAAAAACTATCGTAGGTAGTGTGACACATCAAATAAAATAAAATATTTGGTAGGTAGCGTGACACATTTTGTCTTCAACTACTATGCACATCTGGAAATAATTTATTCTTCTTAACCTTGATTAGTATTCTAATAATATAGGTCCTTTATCACCCACAAATAAAATGAAATGAAAAATCCCTTCAAGCAGATCATGCGATTTCAAACCACAAAAAATCTCCCTAATGAAACTCATTAGTCCTACTTACCATCCGAATGACATAACCATATTATCCCTCTCCTAGGAGCACTTTCCGTAAAAAAAAGTGTCCCACACATTCTTAGTTCTTACTCATTCTTTAACTTGATTCTTCTTTTTCTTCTTGCTAGTATGACTCTCTGTTGCTTCCTCCTCCAACTCAGAAGACCGCTTCCTCTTACTCTTCTTCTTCACACCATCTTCAACAGCATCAGTCTGTCCAGCTTCAGCTTCTTTCTTCTTCTTATCCCTCTTCTCCTTCTTATTACCATCAGCATCTCCATTTGTGACTTCAGTAGCTTCAACATCTTTGCTCTTTTTCTTCTTCTTGTCCAAAGAAAAGGCTTTCTTCTCTTCAGTAGCAGGAGCTTCCTCATCAATCTTCCTCTTCATCTCGACCGTCTCCTCTCCAACTGATTTCGGTGTTTGTTCGAGAACAGCATCAGTAGAAGGATTATAGGTCTGCCAAAAAGGGCCATTAATGTTATGATTCAGGACGCAAGTAATAAAACTCAAAGAGCTCAAGTTCATACAGGAACCAAACCTTTGCAGGAGTTACCATTCCAGCTGCTCCTCCCTTCTTTCTATCCTTATCATAGACTTCGATCTTCGGCTTCCCCTTAACTGAACCTGCAGAACGTCCCGATTCCTCGCCCTTGAGACTCCTCAGCCTCGCTTCCAGCTGCGAAATAAGCACATATGAACAGTACTTCCTAGATTCAGAACTGAAATTACTTACATGGAAGATGACGTAAAAATGTACCTTAAGACGGTTCTCTAGTCCGACGGAGTTATCTTGGCCGCCATCTCCAAGAGCATCACATCGAATGGCAAGAGCAGCTTTAGCAGCAAGCGACCTCGAAATCTTCCCTTTCAGCTTAGGTGCTGCTTGGCCAACGAGGGATGCATGGTAGATCAGCCCGTATTTAGGTGTGGCGTGCTTCGTCTTTAGAGCTCTGAATAGGGCCTTCTCTGCTCCGAGAATCTGGACAGTGCTCCCTGCCTGCTTGGCGAGATTCATCAAGCTGCCTGCATGGGCAATCAGCCGAGCTCCAACAAGCTCTCCAACCAGAGCTGTCAAATTAGGTGCAACGGCGTTCATCCTACTTTTCAGGTAGTCGTACAGTTGAGGCCTGTATTCGGCTAGAGACAAGGCCCTGTTGCAGAGCTCCATTATATTTGCCATGTCATATTCGTCCATTTCACTCCCCATCGATATCTTGGCTGCTTCCTTCACTTCTTCCTCGACCTCCTCAGGTAATATCTACAAAATCAGGAAAATACAGTTGTTGATGTGTTGTCAAGATTCAGAGGTGCATACCTCCAAGGAGCCAAGATTCAGATGTACATACCTCGGAGAAATCAAGTTTTGCAGCGTTCTCACGGAAACCCATCAACTTCACAGCTTTAGCATAGACAACGTTGTCATTAACAATCTTGGCGAGCTCTGGAAAATGCCAACCGTAAATTTCCCTGAGGCTCATTGCAAGCCTGTTAAGCTCCTTGTCAAGGTCGTCAAGCACGCCAATAGCATGAACAACCATTGTATCGACCTGGAACGTAAAGAAGAAAGCATAGGTCAATCCACGCGCCCTGCTACATATACACGGATGATATGGTGGACAAAAGATGCATCGAAGATGACAAAGTACCTTGTCAGGGCTAAACTTCAGCTTGTATCTAGACAAGCTATGAGACAAACCGAGGCTCATTGGTGCTAAATCTTGGCTCCCTAGACCAGCTATAAGTTCTTCCAACTGGCTCCTCACGCCTCTCATCAACTCCATGACACCATTGTTGTGCACACAGTCGATTTTCTGAAATTCCAATCACCAATCAGATAAAGAAATGCTTAGTTGGTATACATATATAAGAACAAGTACAATGTTTAAGCCAAACAGAACAACTCATATATGGATTAGTATTTAATGCAGAAGCATACCAATTTCTCCTTGATTGCATTTCCCAGCTTCGAGTCAGCCACAGCCAATTTCTCGCCCTCACAGTGAGTTTTCAGGAATTTTCGCAGGCTTTTAGTGGTTGAGCCGTCGATGATTTTGGTTGCTGCCTCCAAAGCATCAGCCGTGTTGTCAAACTTATCAAAGGCCTTCAGCTTCACCACCTGTTTCTCATATTCAATGATTAAACCAAACACTGAAGAGAAACACAATCTCAAGTGGGAGAAGAAAAAAGGGATCATATCTACCTTTCTTGCAGTGTCAGAGTTCGAGAACTCCTTCCACAAGTCCTGAAACAAAACCCAAAAGATTGAGCTAATCCATACACTAAACTGCTGCTACCAGTAAGAACCTATATGTTCTCCATCATTCTGTCATGATCCTTAAAATGTTTGCCGATGACGACTGAATTAAGTTGTACAAAAATTCTTTTACCTCAACTTTGGATAGCTTTCCTTCATCCAAGACTTTGAAAAGGGCAAAGCCCGCCGGAGTCTCAAACAGCACTAACATCTTCTTTTGCAAACCCTAAATAATCCTGCATATATAATGAACACATATGTACACTCCCAATCGCTTGCAAACTCAGAACATTCACAATCGGGCAAACAAAACCCTGCATTCTGGCCACATACGGAGGGTTCCTCCCTCTGCATGGGCTGCATGGGCTGGGCTCCGATTGATTGGTTCATCACCGCCATAGCCGACATTTACCAGCTCAAATGCAAACAAACAAACAAACAAACAAAACCCGCAGCCCCCAGATACGAAACGCAGGTACCCAGAAAACGTGAAACAGAATAAAGAAGATCCTGGCATTCTTCATACGCACAAAGCAGTTAGTTCATAAAAACAGAAACCAGAGGCGTGAATGGCTATTTTACAAGCTTTCATGCGGAGAGATACCAACTACGTACCTCCTTGATACAGCGCCGTCGATGAAGGAAGAAGGCAATCTTCACCAAGTAGAAGCAGAAGCAAAAGCAATTGAAGTTCAACTGAGAGTCGCTAATCGGCAGGGAATCGGGCCGCAGGTTTTTACAGAGAGGGATTCTGCAGGGTTACAGCCGAGGTGCGCTTTTATAAATGAGATGGCAGCAGAGAATCGGGCTCTCTCGGGCCATCCAGTTGAATGGATCTTCGCCAATTGGGCTCAAAATTCTGTCGCTCATTTTCTTGCCAATTGGGCTTCTGCTTGTAACGCTTTATGAATGGGCTCAGTACCCACCACCGTTTTGGTATCATGTTCTTGCCAACTGTCATCATTGCCGCCATATCTCTCCGTCGTAGCATTTGATTTGAGAGAGGAAATTAACTGGAAATTGCTAGTTAATTAAATTTGCGGGAAACAAGACGGAAGATGATTTAGGAGGATTAATCATCATTCTAATCTCAAGTTAACCTGAACCACTTGAACATAATTCAGATTGAAGTAACCAAACACAATGATTATTAAGAAGCATCTGATGATGGCAGACTGCAGTAACTCATAGTAGTATTTCTGCCTTGTGAAACAAGTTTGGACAACAAAAGCTGAAGCTTTACCCCATAAGCCCCTGCCTTCACAACATCAATGATACTGCTGCTGCTGTTCCCCCAACTTGATGAACACATATCAGCATCATCATCCTTTGTACTCCCTCCACCTTCTGACAGGCACCATTGCCACGACCTTCGCCCCTTGAAGACAGCATCATCAACCTTGTCTCGAATCACCCGGTCCTCTCTATCTCCACCTCTGAATCCTCGGACAAACACTGCTCCACTGTCCAACATGTCCGTGTACTGCAGATCGCTCCCATCGACGATGATGTTGTACCTCAAATCGGAGTCCAAAACTGTCGCGTTTTGGAAGTCAGGGGAGTTGCAGAGGACAGTGTGGAAGTAGGACTCTAGTGGGTAGGCTGTGTTGGTGAAGTACATCAGCAGTTTCCTAGGGAGATTGTCCCAACCTTGCACACAGTACTCCAGGAAGTTCCTTGTCAGAATCACCCTAGGAGAACCTGCATTCATCGTGTAAATTTGTTTAACATGACATGGTAAGGTAACATTATGAAGCCTTAATCACTGTTATGATTTACTAAACCTCCATATATCTGGAAAGCATCAGGCGCGTCTCGTTGCTCTACAGCATAGTAAAGGTAGCTGCCCTTTTGCAGATGTAAGCTTGGATCCACCACTATTTGGTTCTTCTTGTCTTTCCTAGCTTGCAGCAATTTAATGTAAATGGAGGTTAATCAACTCAAAGAGGGCTCAGGTTGGCTAGGGGAAATGGCAGCAGCAAGAAGAAGCAATGTTGCTTACTCTTTCCAGTCAGTGGAATTCGTGTAATGGACGAAATTGAGATCTCTTGGCAAGGAGCTGAGGGCATGCAGCAAGTCTGCAAAACTCCATGGCAAAGTATTACACCAAAATCCAGCAAGAAAACATAAATGGAGGAAGAATTTGGTTTATATGGTACCATCAGGAGTGACAAGTGGGTAGTCATCAGGGCTCAAATTGACAAACCAATCCCAATGTGGGCTCAACCTCATCAGCACAGCAGCAGCATGGAGCATTGCAGCAAGAGCCGAGGCACCCATCTGGTTAACACCAAAGCTCTTCTTGCCAACGACATTGACGTTACCAAAGGTTGCAAATACAGACTGGGATTCAACCCACACTGCCAAATCAGCAAGCTCCCCATCAGAGGACTCTGCATCAAGTTCCATCAGGTACTGGTTCCTGGGATGGTAGACCGAATTCAGCAGCCTCGACATCCTCTTCGAGTCTCCAGCGCTACCAAATATCCAGAAGGCTAGAACTGGAGGGAATCCATGTCCTTTGGTTGGGATGATGTTGACAGTAGTACTGATGTTGTTAGTGGTGACAATGTTTTGGGTACCAGTTGAAGATGGACTGCTTGGAAGCCATACGATCCATGTCGATCGAGAAGTGAGGACTAGCAGGAACATTGCAGCAGCAAGGATTTTCCATGGTGAAGGGAACCTTGGTGTTCTCATTTTCCTGGGTGATCAAATGGATTTGGTTCAGTTCAGGGGAGGGGTGAGATGTTTTTGTAATGTGGTGTATGGTTGGTGAGTGAGAAGGGGAATCATGGTGTTTGTGTGGGGACTGAAGAAGGGAAGTGAATGTGAGACTTGGGATTGAAGGAAGATGCAGAGAGGGAGATAATTGAAGGAGTTAGTTAGAGTTGCTTGAAACACAAGGAAAGAAAAGGAGAGGGCCATGATCTTGATGATGTGAGCCATCTTGCCTTTTAGAAAAGGGTGATTTTGAACCTTTAGGTTTTGGTGAGAAAAGGAAGAGGGGAAGGGGAAGGGAAAGGTCACCAACCATGATAAGATGATGATATTTGTGATGCATGAACTATATAGGTGGCATGGTTTGCATGATGTTGTTTGGGACAACATAAAATTGGAGTAAAAAAAGAGGGTAGGTTCAAGTATTGTACCAAATAATTGAATTTGATTTGATTTAGTAGAAATACAAATTCCATTTGTGTATAGATTACCGAAAAAGATAGAGTACTCATGGAATTTAAACATTAAACCCCGAGATTAGTATGACAAGTTTATGTGTTACATTAGATGTCATTTCATGTGATACGTATCTCATAAATTATATTTGTTCTTATTCGAGCAGTTGATTGCTTATATACTTACATTAAGAATAAGTTTCAGAGTAAAACATCACTAATGATTGCGTAATGTGAGATACATAAAAAACGACGTACTTAAAAATATAAATACTATCAAAAGTATGAACCAACAAGCGAGATGTTCACAATTAATTGATTTAACCGTATTAAACTATTAAAAATCGATAATGAACCAATGCCTCGTAAACAAGAATATTATAAGTATAATACATACAGTAACACACTAAACCATAAATACAAAATAGAATACATTATTCATAAACAAAGATGAATATTAAAGTTCTAAAGTCTTAACTTCCAAACATTGATGTTCTCCAAAATTATAATAATTTAATTTTTAATATATTTTTGTAAAACTTTAAACCTTTAATTATGATTTTCCAACTTTAAATAAAATGTGAACCCTATAATTAACCGAATAAAAAAAAAACGCATTTTTAGTAGAGGGTATAAGCTTTTTTACCTTAATTGGTTTATTTATAACCCTAAAAAAAGAGTAGAGCCTTGCTAATTGACTTCTGAGTAGATTGGAAATGTAATTAGCGGCAAAGAGGAAAGCAAACTCTTTTCCGTTGCTTTGCGCTACAATACAAAGGAACGAACGGCAAGCGGTCCCCGAATCGAATCTCCTCATATTAGCCTTTTCTCTTTCGAAAGACGCCCCTTTTCACTCCACTCCATACATTCGCCAGAAAAGAATCTCCAAAAACCCTTGTTAAATCTCTCTGCTGCAGTGCTGCCTCCTCTTCGTCTCTCTTAACCCCTTTTCGGTCTCCTTTTCAATCTCTGCTCGGTGCTTAATCAATGGAGTCCATGGCAAGCTCAGTGTTCGTCTCCAGATTCCCAGAAACACACCCACCGCTGAGCCCCCCATCACCTTCTTCCTCCTCTTCTGCTTGCTGTTACTCGTCTTCCAGCAAGATTCTTCGCAGCAAGGGAATTATGGGGTCTCCCAAATTAGTCGAAGCAGCGCGTTTCCCTCTACTGCGCCTTCAGGGTCTCGCCCGTGAGCTGTCTGGTGGAGCTGGAGAGGAACACAGTCACTTGGGTGATGATGAGTTTGGATTGGTTTCTGATGCCACCCTCTCCCTGTCTCAGGTATCCATTTCTCCCCAAATCTGTTGCCTTCAACGTTAGGTGTCAGAGTATTTGTCGCAAAACACAAATACCGTCTGCTGTGTGGTTCAACTATGGAGAGTGAGTGTTTAGTTAACTTCACTGGAGTAATTCAGATAAGTAGCCAAAATGGGGGGAGGGTTTGCTCTGGTTAGTGCTATTTACTTGATATAACAAAGATTCCATTTTGCGGTTTGAGGAACTTCAAAATTCAGATTGAAACGTTTATATACATATCCATACTTGTTGCAACACGCCATGTTGCGGTTTCAGGAACTTGAAAGTTTAGATTGGAACCTTGTATGCGTACACTTGCTGCGTCAATAGTGTATGTGTGGTCACTAGTGGATGCCATGTTGCACTTTCAGGAACTCCAAAATTCAGGTTGAAACGCTACATACGTACTCTTGTTGCGAACACAACATTGTATGCGCGTATGGTTCCTAGGGTATTCTAGTCTATACACTAGAGCTGATATCAATACCATTGGCCCATAGGAATTCAGTTTCTTGTCCTTCTAGAAATATCGAGATTTGAGACTGTTAGTGGTGTTAAGGATCATGGAGAACTTGTAAGTGCTAACTAACAAGCTATGCTGTTGATGCCCAATTATTTGGAGGTGTTTTGCTAAGCAGTTACGCATTGTTGCTTATGATATGAAGCATTCTTAGCCACTGATTTCAAACAAGGATCTGTTATTGTTGTCATTTTTCAGCAAGTGCTCAAAGTATACATGTTTGACCTCGATTCCGAATAATGTTGATTTGCCCAAATTTCTCTGGCGATGCTTTCATGATTTAATCTAGCAGTGTAAAGCTAAAATTGGAAGGAATAAAAGTAAAAAGTTTTGATGATAGAACCAGGACTCAAGTTGTGATAAACAGAAACAAAAAACGTAGAAAGCATAAGATAGCTTTTGCTTTTCTTTACAAGGGCTGCTTTAGTCAAACAATACATTGGACTCATGAGGTTGCTTATTTGACACTAGATTTGCTTAGCTTTCTGTTGTTAGCTTTTAGGTCTTCTACTGCTTTTCTATTTGATACTTGGAACATCTTCTTTTCCGTGATATATCAAATGGCTACTACAGCTTGGTAATGATCGCCTCTCTTGTGTTATGAAGGAACTCATAAAGCAAGCTGAGAGCAGTCAAAAGGATTCAGAGAACATATTGAAGGTGGAGCCACCATTGACAGTTCCCCATGGGAGTGGAACCAGTGGGGGAACTAGAGCAGGGCTTTTCAGGACTCCAATATCTGGTGGTGTACAGAGTGCAACCTCAGCACATGGCTTACCTCGACCAGCCCTGGCAGTTCGCAACCTGATGGAACAGGTACTACAGATGTGTTGTGTTTTGCCATCTTGATGTCTCTCCATATGATAGTTTTTTCTTGAAGCCCTATCTCTAAATTGGGGTCTATTTTTGTGATTAAGGCCAGATTTGCCCATCTGTGTACCGTAATGTCTCGGATGCACCATCGGCGTGAAGGTTACCCATTTGGTTCCTTGGTTGATTTTGCACCAGATGCGATGGGCCGTAAGTAATAATTTTTTGGTATCTGATTGCCACAATGGATTCTTCCAAACATTATTGTTGTACTGTGGAAGTATTTTAGGAGTGTGTATGATCAATAGTATTGTTCCAATTATCTTTGAAGGTCTCCCACCGTAGAAGCTTATTAATGTGTATGACAGTATGGTAAACCACCAACTTAGATGATTGACTATATTATGCATGAACTGTCTTCTTATGAGCAAATAATATCCATGCTAGATAAGTTCAGTTGGATCTAATAATGGCCATAAATCAAAACCTTACTTTAAAGATTGTGCTTGATATGCAGATCCAATATTTTCATTTTCACCCTTGGCTATACACACAAGGAATTTGTTAGCAGATCCAAGATGCACCCTTGTTGTGCAGGTTTGCTGTTGGACTGTCTTTATTTTAGGTGACCTTGTTCTGTATCTTCTGCATTATCGATTTTGTTAATAGTTAGCTCTGACAGATACCTGGATGGAGTAGCTTATCAAATGCAAGAGTTACAATTTTCGGAGATGTGTACCCTCTGGCAGAAGATGAACAGGTGCTTACTCATCCTTTATTTCTTTCTTTCCCCTTCTTGTCCATATGTACCAAGTTTAGGTTGTTGTTTTGCTTTCCACATTAGAAGCTCCTGGTTTTCCATAGCCATGGTTGATTTTGATTAGAACTTGTAGGTAGAAGAGCTCATTGGTTTGTTCTATTTGTATATTGTCCTACTCTGAAAAATATGTTATCATTGAGGTTCTTTCAGTGCCGTGTTAAATTGTTGTTCCTTCAAATACCATCAATTCAGAATTTTTTTTATTTGTAGCCATTTGAAGTTGTTCAAATGTAAGTGTATTTTCTAAGTTCTGATTGTTGGTTCAGGAGTGGGCTCATAAACAGTATATTGCTAAACATCAGCAAGGTCCTTCCCAACAATGGGGGAATTTCTACTACTTCAGAATGCAAAATATAAGGTCTGTTTCTATCATATTGTTGGGTAACTGTAGATCATCTGATTTTTCTATAAGTGCAGTGCTCCATTGCATATCATCTGATGACTCTGCCTCTTACCAAGTCATGCAAAACCATCTGCTGAGGTTCGGCTTGGGGTTTACCGTGGCCAACTGGAAGTTTATTATTATCAAAGCATAAATTTAGCAACCCTTCATTATGGTCATAGCTTTACAACATTCACTCTCATTTGTGTAAAAATTCTCTAATTGGTGCTCAAAGTCAAACGTGAACCGTTTAGTTGTTGCTGATGTTACTTGTAGCTACAAAAGACGATGTTGTAAATGCAAGTAACCTGACTTCTTTTCTTTCAGGGACATATACTTCATCGGAGGTTTTGGCACTGTTGCATGGGTTGATGTCAAGGAATATGAGGCCCTTCAGCCAGATAAGATTGCGGTCGATGGAGGAGAGCACAATCTCAAGGTAATTGTTTATTGTTCTACTGTTGTCAGTACATATACTTCACAACTGGAACGAGCAAAGCTGAAACATTTTGCTCCCGTGTCGTGGTTTGCAAATGCATGTGACAGGAACTGAACGTGATATTCTCGAAGCGGCTTAAAGAGCTTTTATCAAGTGAGATGGAGGTAGATGATGCTGCCATCATATCGATAGACAGCAAAGGAATCGACATAAGGGTCCGTCAAGGTGCTCAGGTAAGTAGCAAAAGACAACAGCTTCCTCACTACCCTTTACATCATCCATCATTCTCTTTGTTCGATCAGGATGGAATGTTAAGCTGTTCTGATACATGCGTCTTGGTCATCGCATCTTGTTGCAGTTCAACGTCCAGAGGTTGTCATTTGAAGAAGGCCATGCAGTCGAAAATTTGGAAGAGGCCAAGAGTGCAGTGCGGAAAGTATTAAACAAAGGCAAAGTTCAAAACTTGCAGAAGTAACAACTGTTGAGCTCGCAAAGAGGTCAACCGAAATAAGGAAGGAGAGAAGGGTGAAACTTTCCCCCCACCATTGGAGCTTCATCAACATGATGGATGATGCATAAGCTCTTGCATGCCTTGTTTTTTTTTGCTAATCTTCTGAAGGGACAAAAGGCTCTGTGGCTCTAATTTCTGTTAGAAGTTTGGGAATCTAATGGGACCTTTGCGTTAGAACTGTTATGCTTTTCTTCTGGACTGATGACTAGAGGAGGAGGTTTGAGAGGATGATCACTTGGCGCTCCTAGTTGCAATAAGTCACGGCTCTGGAGTAGTTGATTCACGGATTGGAAATTTGGAAAACTAAAATCATGTACGTCGTCGTGTTACAGATTGTGTCATTTACTCATTTAGCATATGTTCTCTGGTTTTTATAATAAAAGCCTAAATCACATGACAAATTCCTTGTGAAATTATAAAAATATTCTTTCATCGGCAGCTCTATTATTTGTCGATTGTCGTATCTGGTGATTTGGTACTTTGTAACTACTTATCCTCAAATTTACTATCTACAGGGAAAAAAATGGCATTCCTCGTGATATAAAAGGCCTCAATTCGTTCTCCTCTCAGAATGGAATCTACACGATTGAATTCGGTGGTGAGTAAATACGTACTCTAAATTGCACCAACTACTACTCAGAGTCTTATATTCTGTTGCATGTTGGTCATTCAATTGCATATAAAGTAAATTTATTTTTGTGTTGTATTGTTAATTTTTTCGTTCTAAAGTCATCATTGCACTTATGAATCTAAAATGCAATGAATCGTTAACTCTGCTATTCGAATATACACAGCCGACATACCTATAAGTACAATGACTGACTTTAGATCAAGAAAATAATCCACTAAATCACTCAACAACATTAATGAATCTGATATTTTTCTAGCGTGAACATTTACCGTTTCATATCAATGGTCAAATTTGAGCATGAACAAGTGTACCTTTTTCCCAAGATGCTTATAGGAAGAACCGACTTTCTTGTTTTTTCAATTTCTTAGATAATTTAGATAAGGGCAAATTTGCTTTGTCCAATTAACCCGAAGCTGACAAAATCATTCATAAATTTTTTGATGGCGGGACCTCCCGATTGGACCATATTTCCGGGAAAAAATCTCGAGAAGTAACCAAAGTTAGAAACTGGGCGAAATTTTACCGCCAAAGTCCGGTAATCTGTTATTTTTTCATTTATTGTTTTGTTGTGTTTTTCACCCAATAATTCAAAATACGCTAAAGAACGGAAATAGCGAGAGAGAGAGAGAGCTCTCACTCTCAAGCTTCAGCAACAGCAGGTACAGGCAGCAGCTCCCCACGCTCCCTTTTGTCGTCAAACAATCATATTCTCTCACGGACAGAAGAAGCCACCAAACCTCCATTCCTGATTCATGGCTTCTTCTTCCTCTTCCTTCTTCTTCGCCGAGCCCACTCCTACCGACAACAATGGATCATCATCATCATCATCAGCTCCAGCTTCATCATCGCCATCATCCTCGCCGATCACCAACATGGCCCCAGATCATCTCTTCACAGTCCTGCTCCTTCTCCCCGTCGAATCGATCCTCTCCTTCGCCGCTACCTGCAAGAGGTTCAGGTCCCTCGCGACTTCGGACACGCTCTGGGAGTCCGTCTGCACCAGGGAATTCGGGGCTTCCTCCGTCGACGCACTCAGATCTTCGCTCCTCCCCAATTTGAGAAACGTTGCTGCGAAGCCGTGGATGGCGATGTACAGAAAGGTGTCTCGGCTCGACACCGTGTCTTGCAGCAGGCTTCTTCCCGACCCGGACGCTGCTGAATTGGGTGGGATTCCCAGCCCAAGGGCTTCTCACTCCCTCAACTTCATATCTGATTGCTTGGTCCTCTTTGGCGGCGGCTGCGAAGGAGGTTGGTAGCCCGGTTTTTTTTTTTTTACAGTGTATTTGAACATCCGCTTGGCTGATTGCAGAATCTTTCTAGTTTTGAATAGTGAATCAGAGGGGTTTGATTATTTATTGCGTTGTATTTCATGATCTTTGAGTGCTGCACGCAAGGTGCTTGTAGATATGCCCCCATGACCCAATTACGGTCACATTTCCACGCCCGGTCGAGGGGTTTTGGGAAAGGTTTTTGCTTTTAGTCTTTGATGCAACGGAAGTATACACTTGGATTGGAATCATGGAATGGTACTTCCGTTGTAGTTTCTTTTTGGTTAAAATTCAATGGCGCCAATAGGATTTTGCTTAGTTTATCCAAGTCTTATGGGTTCCGAGTTCTCATCCATCCCTTCCCAATGTCGCTTGCTTTGCGATCACCCTCCTGCACTGGCTTCGGCCGATGTATATTGATTACAGAAGCTCCATCTTTCTTTTACCAAATGAAGAATGCACTCAAGCATTAACACCATCACTTAAGATTGATTGAACTACAGAAATGCACGTCTTCCCCTGTCTTTGGTCATGCCTCGATCCTGTTTAATCCATTTCCCCATGTTTTTTGGTTTCCTTGTAGGACGCCATCTTGACGAGACATGGATAGCATACGTTGGCAGCAACTCTCAAACAATGATAAAATGGCAGAAAGTCAGTACAGGGATCCCAAGTGGTAGGTTTGGGCATACATGTGTTGCTATTGGGAATTATGTCATCCTCTTTGGAGGTATCAATGACCGTGGAGTCCGTCACAACGACACATGGGTTGGGCGAGTGCTATCCACAGAGAATAATGTTGGAGGTGGCGGAATCACATTGTCGTGGCGGCTGCTCGATCTTGATCTGGGTTCCTCCAGGGCGCCACCACCAAGGGGTGCTCACGCTGCTTGTTGCTTCGAGAGGAAGATGGTCATCCAGGGAGGCATAGGGCTTTACGGCCTGAGGTTAGGCGACACATGGGTTTTGGAACCAGCAGAAGACTTCTGTTCAGGAACATGGCGCGAGTTACTGACTTATCCAGCACCTCCACCGCGATCAGGGCACTCGTTGTCCTGCATTGGAGGAACCAAAATGGTTCTCTTCGGAGGAAGAGGGCTGGGGTATGAGGCCATGGATGACTTGTGGCTCCTGCAAATATCTGAAAGTGGTGATCTCATGTGGGTGCAGGTCGTGTATGAGAATCAGAAGGTGCCTGAAGGAGTGTCGCTGAGACGAGTTGGTCATTCGGCTACCCCAATCTTGGGAGGGCGGCTGCTGATCCACGGAGGAGAAGATTCACTTAGGCACAGAAAAGATGACTTCTTGATTCTGGACATTGAGGCGGTTTTGCCTATCAGAGAGCAGCTGCCACCGCCGGCGCTGAATACCAGGAGATTGCAGCAGGCATCGTCTAGTTTGTGGAAGAGGATCAATGTAAAGGGTCATAAACCAAACCGTAGGTCATTCCATAGAGCTTGTGGAGATCAATCGGGGCGTTATCTGTATCTGTATGGTGGGATGGTGGATGGTTTGCTTCAGCCTGGTGAAGCTGCTGGTTTGCGGTTTGATGGGGAGCTCTTTGTTGTGGAACTTTTTCAGTAGCCTTGTAAATCATCAGAAATAAGAAAGAAAAAGTAATTAGATCGCATCGCCAACTAGCTCCACCTACAGCATTGGTGTTGTCCTATGGTTGTGTTTTTTACTCACTGCGCACCGATCGACATAATAAAGCTCTCATCAGGCCCTGTTGCTTGCTGTAGAAGTCAAAGATGAAACCTTAAACCTCGCACATAAAATCTGAATATTGTAATGGGAACTACATGCTTGATAAAACTGAACAAAATTATAGGATTGTGTAACTTCTTGTTCTTCTCAGAATGAAAAACAAATGATATCGAATACACATTTCTTCAAATCGACATTAAGGTATGAAGTTGAACTCTAAAGATTCAGTTCCTACCTTCTAGATTTAGAGGTGAACGAAACTGAAGAGAAGGCCGTGGAAAAAAAATTCTACAGAAAGAAACGATCACAACGACGATTGATGATACAGAGCTGTTTAATCGCAGAAAATAGAAATAATGAATTAGACAAAACTGCATTTCAGGGTTCCAACTTCAGTTTGGTTCTCCACATTTCTCCAATGACTTTCTTGGGTGCAGGATCGTCCGGTCCTTTGTCTCGCTGCCCTGACGTGAAGTATATGTGTCCGTCCCAGAAACCGACCAGCGTGGTCTTGACTCGGAAAGGAAGTTTTCCAATCACTGACCATTTCTGCGGTAAGTATCAGGCAGACACCAAAGGTCGTCAAAGGTTGAGAAACTTGCTTTAGATTCTCAGCTATCTAATTATTTCTCTCTGACATCAGACCATCTAAAAACAAAAGTGAACTATGAAAGTTCTTACCAGATTATTTAGGTTAAACTGGAAAATCTCGCCAACAAGGACCATCTTCTTTGTTATAGGATGCTTGTCAGTCGTCCCTCCAATTATTACAATGGAGTTATTTACAAGCGCCCAAGCAAACTCAATGTGAGAATCAGGCTTTGGCATTGAAGGCAACACTTTCCACTTCATCTCATCATCGAGCATGTACACGTCACCGAACACTACCTGGGGCAAGAACCATGTGAATTATTCAGTACATAATATGAAGATAAGAGTAAGAAACGGAAAAATGCATCTATGTATTTCAGTTCAACCAGATCCTAGAGATCCTAATTTCAGAAACACGATGACAAGGAAAACTGTAAAACTGATGTTCGGTTTCCCATTCAGAGGGAGATGTAAGGCTTTTTACCACTAAAACATTCTCATTAGCAAACAAGTGAAGATGACTAGCAAGTTTATATGAATGACTCGCAAGTTCATATGAAGTAAGCATGGATTGTCTTCTGTAAAGGGAGTCGATCACCTTTTATATCATAAAGAATGCACTTTCATCTTTCTCAGCAGAACCACAAATACTGCTTAAAAAGTATGATTGGCTAGATCGCACACAAATACTTCGTGTAACCACCATTCCCCTGGAGTGAGTAAAAAGAGGAAAGAAGTGTTGCGGCATTACCTCATTTCTACGTGAACACTTGAATATTGGAGATCCAGGTTTGGCCATAAAGTCACCCTCTTGACCACCAATGACATAAAGTTGATCATCTACAACAACACAAGCCCTAGAGAAAACCAAAATAAAACTAGCAGTTTAGCTTTTTGTGATAAGAGCCTAAGATGCAATCTACAGGCTTGCAGAATAAACGCATGAATAACCAGGAACAGGTATCATAGTGGACCACAAACCTATGAGGTCCTCCACGAGGTATGGGAATTTCTGTCCTCCATTCCGTTTCCAAGGCTTTTCCATCCTTAACAGCAAGACTCCAATGTTCTACTCCTGGCGTGTGCCTATTCTCCTTGCTGCCACCCATCACATGGAGCCTACCCCTCCAAAGCTGGGTTGCTGGTGCGTATCTGAGTTAAGTAAAATGCATGAGAATAAGCAGCATAACACGATTTCAATGTATACTCCTCAAATTTGCAGGCATTTGGGCACAATCAAGAGTAATATATTTGGTTCTGAATCTCACGTATCTAAGTTATTTTGACACAGACGCATACCTTGGAACTGGCAAAGGTGGCATGTCTCTCCATTGCTTTGTCTCAGTATCAAGAACAAACGTATGAGCAGTAGGCCCTCTGCATTGTGGGCCATATTGACCAGTCACAACATATATGTATCTCCCATCCGTTACCATTCCCAAGTGCGAATGTGCCATCTCTTTGGGCATGTCAAATCTCCCTCCCCATGTATTATCAGTAAAATTATAAATATCGACATGTGAATGTACCTACTCCACATGAAAATTGTCAAATGCAGACATCAGTATTCAATAATAAGTCAATACTACTATAACGCAACAGTGATTTCTTACACTCTCAAGGGAAGCATCAGCCGGCTAAAATCACTCAACAGAGCAAACAAACTCCAAAAGATTCTTCTGAATATCAAGAAAATTTAAGGAAAAGGGAACAAGATAGCAGCAAACAAACAGCATATTTAACTTTGACTAACTGCAAAAGCAGCTGCACTTCAAGGCTTGTCATTGCTGTTTTATGCTGTTCAATTATTATTGCTTTGCCTGAACTTCTAACAAGCACAAAGTTATATAAAAGAAAGGCGTTCTGGGGAGGAGATCCCAATTATAGAAACAAAAGGTTCAGTACCAGAACAAAGAGCATATCTGAATGCTCGTTAACCTCTGCCAGATTACATCTCCAAAGGACCAAGTACGGCATGAAAATGTCTATACCCACCAAATTTCGTAAGGCCAATGGTAGCCCCATTGAAACCCTTCGCCAGCTAACATCAATTGCAGCAAACAGACAACCATACTATATTTCACTCTTTCCCTACACTGCTTTCAAGTTCTACTGTATATAGTGGGTTCCCGAGTTCATCTTAGTGGATCCCTATAACCAAACGGATATGAATCACAAGGAGTTCCTCAACTATAAGCAGATCAGAACTAAGAGAACGAACATAAAGAAAAAGGAAGAACAGGGTCCTCACATAATCTATGGTACCGTATCCAGCAAAGACAAAAAGAAGATTCTTAATCTGGATAGCAGCTCCATCAAGACGGGGCACCGGGGAAGGAGCCATCTTCTTCCAATCTAGCAGCGGTGCAGGCAAATCGGCAAATGTTGCTGACAGGAATCTCTCCGGCACATTGGCGTACTTCTTCTTGTCCTTCTCACTTCCTTTCTCCTTACCACTCCCATCTTTCTCAGCTCCTTGCTTAACATCAGGGTTGCCCTCTGATTTCACGGATGCGTCGCCGTTGGTCCTGGGAATGATTCGACTGGTTAAGGAGATACCGGCGTCAGAGAAATTTGAAGCCCCGAAACGCGGGGACGATGCCCAGAGATAATCGGCGATTAAGGCGAAACCTAGCAGTGCCACGCAGATCACGGCCAATCTCGGCGGTTTCTGCTTAGATCCTGGTAGCCGTACCATCTCATCTCAGTAGCTTTACTCCGCTCTCAGTAGTGGATGCTCGCCAGATCACAACTAGAGGGTAATTGCGACGGAGACGAATCTGCAGCTGAATCAGTTGATGTCGCCAAGCTTTCCACCAATAAAGAAAGTGTCCGTGAATCGAAGAAAGGTTCCTTACAGTATGTGCCTTCTCTTCGTTTTTTCCTTTCCCTCTTGTCCTGCTGTTCTTGCTCATACACACCACCGACAGGAAGACGCTGACGGGGAAGACCGTCAAACCTTGATGACCATTTTGTAATCAAGTTTGGGCAAAATTACATTTACATGCCCTAAATTTTCATAAATTTATGATACCATGGTAAAAAATTTAACAGACAAATCTACTTGTTGTCTAACAATTCGTTAAATTTAACGGACACATTATAGCAGTTTTATATCCATGATAAATAATGACTACTTGAAGTTATTTAAGAAAAGGGCTTAAGAATCTAAAAACGAATCTCATGTTGCCATATAGAAAAATTCTTTCACTTTGAAAATTCTACATCATCCAAAAAATTTAGCATTTAAAAATGGTCAACATGCGGCTCAAATAGCAAAGTATCGAAATTGTTTTGACGTGCTCTTCGAGTTCGATTTTCACACCTCATATTTTGAGTAACATTTTTTGATGGCTACTAACAGGACCATAAAAATTCAAAATCGATCTTTCACATATATAGAATATTCACAAAGTCGATGGAAGTTTGTAAACTAATGTACATGAATAATAATGAAATTTGAAATTAAGTGAAATTGAAGTGTTTTTAAAGAATCATATTTATTGGTGTAATTTCACAGCTGAATTGCATCAAGGATCTTACCTAGACCTAAAGTTAACGGAAACAGAATTCCGCGGAACGAACGGGGAATGATGAAATTGTACACAAATACTAGTGTGCTTCGATTATTAATGACTCTAAAGGAGTTTGGTGATGAAAGTGGAATTTGCCAAGTGAACTTTTTTGGGTTTGTTTTGCTCTCCCGCTCCCTGCTCGGTGCCTTCTGCTGCGAACTCGGTTCTCTCCCCCCTTCCCAAAGCTCTTCTTTATGCATTCCTTGAGTTCGACGACGATATTGCAGTAAGTGTTCTTCTCTTCTCTTCGTTTTTCCTTTTGTCTTCTTTTCCTTATACACATACTAACTGACGCCGGCTGTCTGTGTTTCTCACCTGGGTTTCTGCCCTATTCTGCTTTCTGGGTATATGAAGACGTGCGAATCACCCATCTGCTCAATGCTTCTCTCTGACATTTTCGGTGAAAAGAATGCTTCTTTTCTTTTTGACATACTGTTAATCCTTAATTCTGCTCCATATAAGTGAACTGGGACCTTGGTGTGTTTTTTTTTTGGGGTAGAAAACCTTGGTGTGTTTGATTGTCTGAATTATGTGGAAAAAGGGTTTCCTTGGGTTTTTTATGGGATCCTCACTTTCATTAACTTTTGCCCTCCAGGAGCAGGCGGCTTTTATGGGATACCAGGCGTCAGATGATAGACCAGTTACGCTTCTGGACAGTGTGTAACTGTTAGTTAGTTAGTTAGTTGCTCTCAATGAAGTTGGTGAGCATCTCCTCCGGGTTTATGCATCTGCTGAAACTAAATTGAACTTTTTTTTGACAACACTAAATTGAACTTGCTTCATGTTAATTTTGAGCTCTCTCTGTGCGCAGACGTGCTTGAGCAGCGGTAGCGGCTACCAGTTCCCTCCTTGTCACATCCTAGAAGATGTGTGTGGGTTTAGGATATTGCTGGACTGCCCACTTGACCTTTCTGCTCTCTCAGTCTTTTCCCCAGTTCCTCCTGATAATGACTTTGTATCGGATGGAAAAGCCTCTTATAATTCAGCCCGTGATTGTTTCGCCAAGGAACAGGAGATTCAGAAGAGGCAGAAAATTGAAACACCACTTCATGCGAAAGACTTAATTCATGATGAACTTTGGTACAAAACAGTAAAGAATTTGCACCTCTGGGACCCTTCTTCGATTGATGTTGTGCTGATATCAAGTGTCATGGGAATGCTTGGATTACCATTTCTTACTCGCGCTGAAGGTTTCTCGGCGAAGGTACTCAAGTTAAAATAGGGGATTTTTTATTTTCTTCTGATCTAAGGTAGGATTTTTCATTTCTTTGACCTCAGGTAGAATTTTTCTTATGATCATATGTTTATATGTTTGTGGATATCAGATTTATGTGACTGATGCAGCAGCAAGGCTGGCGCGGCTTATGATGGAGGATCTTATCGCTATGAATATGGAATATCAGTACTTTTATGGTCCCAGGGAGTCTGGTGGTCCTCATTGGATGAGGTGGGAAGAGCTTGAGTTGCTCCGGCCTGAATTGAAGAAGGTAGTGGTTGGCAAGGATGGGACTGAGCTGGGTGGGTGGTTGCCACTTTACAGGTGATTCTTTCTCCAGTTGCCAGAACTGATGGCCTTTTCTGTTGGACTTTGATTCTGAATCTTTGCATCCATTCTAAAGTTTGGGGGAAATGTATATTAGATGCTAGCATTAACAGATAACACACTGAAAACACTTGATGATATATGGATAGTTAGAGCTCTATTGTGCTGCTCATATATTGATGTGGCTAATTGAGGTCTCATATCCTTCACTCATTTGAGACAAAGGAAACAAGTGACGGAAGTGTTTTTTGGTTAGTACTTAGTAGCAGCATCTGATAAACATGGTTTGTTGCTTTAATTGACCTTTTAACTCTATGTAGCATTATGAAACGTCTAATAATTTTGCTTAATGATGCTGGGCAGTTCAGCAGATGTGATGGATTGTATGCGGAAGGTCCAAACACTTAAATATGCAGAAACAGCATGTTACAACGGAACCTTGGTCTTACAACCATTCAGCTCAGGTTCAGAGATAGGATCTTGTAATTGGACAATTGATGGTCCCAAAAGAAACATCACCTGGCTTTCCTGCTCAATATTTGCTTCTGCACATGCGATGAACTTTGATTATGGTGCATTGAGGGGACGAGATCTGGTGTTATATTCAGATAAGCAGTTCCTGCCTTTAATGGACGAAGTTCAAAGCAATGATGCTTCTTCAACCATTCCATCTAATGATTTATCAAGTCTAAGGTGGGATCACCTTGCTTAACTATGATTGAATAGGTTATAATATTTTCAGTTTTCTTGCAATGTCAATCTTATAATAGTAGAGTTTTCTTGATCAAATTCAGACTCTTAAATCAGCTCCCTTGGACCTGCTGCTTTTTAGTAGGTGCTGCAGTGCTGATAAAGATGATTGGAAAAAATTGACTGAGAGCTTACTGAGTACTGACGAGATTTTAGAAAAAGAGAAAATGGATTTTATTTGCTCATGCATTCTCCAGTCTGTTCAAGCTGGTGGTTCAGTCGTTATACCTTATAATCGCCTTGGAATTCTTCTGCAGCTATTGGAAATGATACCGGTCCTCCTTGAGTCGTTGGCAGCAGATGTAAGTTGATTTTTTTCCTGTGTATATTCCTTGAAATTGTTACTAGTCAGAGATAAGGCCTGAACTTGATTTGGCTTATAGAAATATTGGAATTCTAGTCATCTACTCGGTAATGAAAATTGGTTCTGTCCACTTTCGGATATCATGGATGACAGGAAATATAGAGGAGACGAAAGTTTCCCTTTATACAATGCTGTGCTTTTGAAGTCTGTGGTTGTTGACCTTGTTGGCTTAATACTTTTGAATGAGTTCAATGTCTTTATCTATAGAGCAAACTATTCTGTTCCACCTTCGATTATATGTTTCTCTTACTAATGATGTAAGGTTCTTTTAATATTGTCACAGATTTTGATCCTACTAACGTCATAATCTAGGTTCCAATTTACGTTATATCTTCGATGGCTGCTGAACTTTTAGCATTCACTAACGTCATACCAGAATGGGCGAGTAAGCCACGACAAGAAAAGGCATACCTCTTTGGACTTTCTATTCCTTCGTCGAAATTTGAACTTCACTTCGAGGTCTCAAAGGTTTCCTCTTCCTTTTGGATGTTCTTGCAGATGTTTTCTGGTGAGCCAATGTTCTCCCATGTCGACTTTGTGAATAAAAGGAAGCTTCATGTATTTTCAGCTATTCACTCACCTGAACTACTGTAAGATGTTTTTCGTCTTTCTTATGTTTAGCTCAAGCGTTACATTGACTTGTTTAAATATGTTAATGTCATGCTTCTCTGTTTGACAAGTTTTTTAGATATTTTTTCTACACTCCTCTCTGGATTTGTCACTCCCTAAAAGCTTTCATTGAATGGATATAGTAGGCTATTGTTTTACGTTACAAATCTATGGTCCTTGTTTGTATCAGCCCCTATGCATCTTATCCTGAAAATACACTATAAACCATTCATAAACGCATTATGCTCAAACTAACATTCCCTTCAGAACCACTTGGCAGGAACCCTGCATCATATTTGCTCCACATTGGAGTTTAAGACTTGGTCCTGTTGTTCATTTGCTTCGGCGTTGGAGTGGTGATGAGAACTCTCTACTCATCTTGGAGGTGATTTTGCTTTATGATTAATAGTTTATTGAGTGAAGTTATCCTTCAAAATGCTGAAGCACCTTAGAAGGGGACAACATGAAACCATCTTCATCGAATGTGGAATTGTTTGGAAACATATTGGTTGGTGATATATAGTATTATTTTGCAGGATGGGGTTGATCCTGATATTGCCCTTCTCCCTTTCAAACCGCTGGAAATGAAGGTTCTTCAGTGCTCATTTCTTCCAGAGAGAAGGTAAGCAACACAGTTTTTAGGGAGCACTGTACATGCCCATGTTTATATGCAATCTAAAACCTGAGTAGTGAACATGGATGTTCTGCAGAATCATTTCTTGCTCTCATAATCTTGATTACCATTCTCATACTGTGATTAATTTCTGAAATCTATTATCTAGAGTTCAGTAGACTTCTGGAGCAAGCACTTGGAAATGCTTAAAATAATGCTAAAAAGTTGCTCAAATGAACTTGTTCGGGAATTGAAACTCTTCCTTCCTTCGCTGTTATACGTTTTTTGTGGAACATAATCGACAGTTCTTGCTAAAAAAGGGTTTGTCCCGCTTGGTCGTCTTCCAAATGTGCTATATAAAGCTCTGACCTATTATATTTTGGGTACTGACAATGTTGTAGGCTACCAAAAGTTGACTGTATGCTGAAGTTACTGCAGCCAAAGATTTTGGTGGTAATGCATTTGCTCTCTCTTGTCAGTATCTGCATTTTCTTAAACCCTCTCTGTAGAAAGTGTTGAACTTTGATTTTCTTTTGCATTCAAACACAGCTCCCTGACGATTTGAAGGAGAAACTGGATTTCTCAAATCCCAGTTTGGACTCATTCTCAGTCCTCTACTACACAGAAGGCGAAACATTATCTTTACCAAGCTCCCCTGAAGGAACCCTGGACCTGGAAATCGCATCTGTTTTGGCCGAGAGATTTGCTTGGCAAAACTTGGGAAGGCAGGATGTAATGTACACACGATTGGAAGGAGAGCTAGTTATGGAGCAAGGCAAATTTCGGTTATTACCTGGAATCACAAGTGCAGATTCACACCCATCAAAAAACAAGGAAATGAAATCGGATGCAGGTTAGTCCCAGACAACACAAGGCTCTCGAACCATTTTCGTCCGAAGGTCATTCATGGATCCAAAAAATGAATTTGGCCACTGTGCATACAGACCTTTATGCAAGCACTGCAAGCATGCTAATCTTAATTGACATGGAACAAAATATTGGAGTAAATGTAATAGTGATAGCAAGTTCCAACTGTCATCCGTAGGCTTCTATATTATACTCAACTTTGTCAAAATTTCCAGCCTACCAAACGTGATGGAGTTGATATTGGCTGGCAAGATGCTTTTCCAGAAGCTCTTGTTTTCTTTATTTCATTTGTTGACTACTCAGTGACAGACAGAGACAGAGAGATATATACAATATAGAGAGAGAGGTATATAGCTCACAGATGGTCTTTCTTTTTCCTTCTTTCTATTTAACATAACCGGGCAACTCTGCTCAACTCTGCTCAAACATTCCTACAATATAATCATCAACATCCACCCCACATAACCAAAAGCCTTCTTCGATCCCTAGTTGAAAAATTGAAAAAATGGAAACCAGATTAAACACAAAAAAACACCAAGACCAAACTATACACGAGTAAAACTTCTCAGGGATAAAAACAAAAAATTACAAAAAAGGAAACACCACCACCTAATAATCATTACAATCATCATCACCACTCATAGGTACAGCAGCATCATCACCACCAGCAATGCTGCATGTTTGTTGCCTGCCTGCCTGCCTTGCAGCTGCCGCACCACCACCACCACCACCAATATTAATGGAAGAAATATGCAGGAAAAACAAAAGGAGAAGAAAAGGCCTGCCATTGAGTCTGTCTACCAACCAACAAATTATTACACAGGTATGACATCATTCCTGGAGGTGTCTTCACATCTCAACACAATGCCCTCGAGACTAGCAGGACAAATGCACTTTCCCCACTGGCAACCTGTCGTGAAGGGTTCAGGAGGTGGTAAGATCATAAGCACATTGTCATTCCTTTGAACAACTCCCATTACACTCACTGTGCTTCCTTCTTTGATGTATCTACACATATAGAAAAATAGATCAAACCATCAAAACATATCAGTCGATCTAATCGAACCATCCAAACAATGCTAGTAATGCCAATAACCCCAAGGCAGAAGAGAACAAATACTTACCCTTCTTTTAACCGCATCATCCGATCGTCGCTCGATAAATTCCTCTCGGCCAACCATCTTGAAAACTCGGGAGACAAATCCTCAGAACCCGCGTTTATGTCAATGACAAGAGAGTCATCTACATAGGGTGTCACTCTTGCTCCAAACCCTGTTTTAACCAACGCTCTTAATCCCGACTGGAAGTCAGAGATGTAGAAGTCTACAGCACGCCTCTGCCAGCACAGATTATCAAACTTTTAGTGAGATATGTACCACAAGGTTTATTAAAAATGGCATGCATAATGGAACATTTAGGAAAATAACCAAAAGACAGATACAAGATGTGCACATGATTTAACCTTATGTATTAATCACTGTTGCTCCTACCCTGAGCTGAAGATAAATTCCCCAAGTAAAAAACATTATTTAAAAAATGACAAATCTCTACTGTTCGGCAAGAACAAAACCTATAACGAGTACTAGTTGTCTCCTCATACATCAGCAGAAGTGCACTTGCACATGAATATTATTGGCAAGAAGATGCATGAATTGGAAGTATCAAGTTACTCACTTCAAGAGACCTGAGCCCCCAAGTGAAACGGCGATGTTTAGCATTGGCAGCTTTCGAATCCCATCCTCGATACTCGTACAAACTGGTTGATGTATACACACATCTAGGAACCCTTTGGAACGAGGACTCAAGAGGAACATTGCCACAGGTAACCACCTTCAAACAGTAACCAAGTCAGAGAACATTCTGGGCCTAGTTAGAATTGTATTTTCACTTCAGAAGCATTGCAACCATACGCATGGAAACCAAAGTAAGAATAGGTAAAGCTGAAGCTATTAAAATGCATAGGAGATGCAAGTCGAGTTTGTTAACGGGCTATAGAACAACTTGAGGAGAGGCAAGTATACATACCCCAGAAATCTTCACAAATTGTCCATTTTTGGCATTTCGTAGCTCAGCATCTGGATACTGGGCAATGTAGCCCATGATAGCCTTCCTCCCAAAACAATTATTCCATATGAACAATGCAGCAACAGCACCGAAAAGAACCACAACAACGACGAGAAGTATGGGATTATGAACTGCTCCAAGGATAAACCCACCAGCAATGAAACCCATTACAAAGAGTAGAATCAGCGACCAAAATATTGGTTTGGGGAAGTTCTTTTTGAAGGAAAACTCATCATCTTGGCTGAGAATAGTGACGGCCTGATTGTGAACACCGGATGGAATCTTGATCGATCCCATAGATTCCAGAGGACCAGATACCTTACGAGGAGCACCAGAGGAATTTAGTGGTCCTGAAGAAATAGGCCCAGATGTGATGAGGCCAGTTGCAGGAAGAACAGGAGGAATAGGGCCAGAGTTCTGTCGACCGGAAGGTGTCACTCCACCAGATTGAGGACCAGATGACTTCTTTATAGGTTCACCATGTTTGTTAAGGGGTCCAGAATTTGATTTCTTTAGAGAAGCTGAGCCAGACATGGCGCCAGAAGACGCAGCACCTGATGTAGTGTAGGCTGCCCGAGCAGCTGCATTTGGCATAATTGGTCCTGAATGTGAAGCAGCGCCTCCAAACGATCCCGTCCTCGAAGGTGCCCCAGTTATTGGTCCAGACTTCCTAGACTTTGAGCCATCCACAGGTATATCAAACATCTTCCCTAATTCTCCTGACTTCTTGATATCACCCCCGGTATATGGCATTGCCACAGAACTCATAGTTGGACCTCTTTCCTTCGGCTGCTCAGGCCGACCTGATACGTAGAGCCCATTGCTGAGCTGATGAGATGGGAAACGGGAACCCATCTATATAGCTTTCCTTAGAGACACCACCCAGAATTAATTACAAGACAACTGCAGCTACCCCCTTTGATGCAATGATCAAAGAACTCCTAAGAACAAAAAGCAATCACTATCACGTTAATAAGTTTTCCTACACTCATAGCACGATAGTAGATATATGGCTTCTCTTCAAAGCATTAGGTATCTCATGGATATTAATTGAAGGCAAAATCGTTCCACAAAAGGCATAACGGCCATCCCAATTTTGAAGGGAGTTTATTGCATGAAAAAGAAGCCAAGTAAGACAACAAGATGCGCATGAGTGTCAGTAGCTTCCTCAAAATCGCTACACACCAAAGTAATTTAAATATGGCTACGAAAGCATTAAATAAGGTGAGTAATAAGAGCCATTCAGAGTCCACATTGTGAGCAGCAGAATGAAATCATCCACAAAATGATCGTTATGTACCACGACAAATGTATGTGATCATGCGGGCAACAAAATCTATGCTAAAAAACAACTCACATTCAAAGCCAAGAAATAAAAAAGATGAGATGTAGTGTCCAAAACCAAATTCAGCAGCATGGGGCATATAATGCTTGAAATGACAACAAAATTACCACAGGAAACAAATAAAGAACAAGACACCTCATTATTACCCATGATGGTTATACACAGGTCATGTTGAGCTCAAATACCAGCTAAGTTTGACACATAAAAACCGTTGCTAAATCATCTGCAATCCACCCCCATTTCAAGAAATAATAACAACCCAGAACAGTGTGATAAATGGGCCTACTCTCTGTCAACTCTCCACTTCTTCATTCGGAAGGCAAGCAAGAACTAACAGATGGGCACTCCAACAAGGGGAAACAGGATTGTCACTTACGATTCAGTGGTTTCCTCATAGAAATGACTGCATACTATAAGACACAAATGAACACCCAGAATTCCCTTCAGCAAAGGAAGTCAACCACACACTTCAAGCAGATTCCCTAGTCCTATATCCCAATTAAAGAGGCCAAACACGAGAACCCAGCATTTGACTATCCAAGTTTCAACAAATCAAACTACAGAATCAAGATCCGTTGAGTTAGCTAACCGAGCTCCAATAGCTAAACACCATACCTTGAATGTTCTTATAATCACAGCATTCTAGCAATTTATTCACAACTCAGAGCGGCAGGCAGTTCATCAAAACCTCGGAGCAGATAAAGTGACAGAGCTGATGGTTGCATCCCAAGTAAGAATCAGCTAGAAATAGCAGTATTTAGACATACCCATTACCCATAGATTCAAATTGAACTTGTCCCATCTGAGAGAAGTGAACCAACCCATATCAACATTATGCACAACTAAACAAGATCTAGAGCAAATTAGGAATTAGAATTTCCAAGATCTCATCCAATAGTGGAGCTTAGAAGCGTGCCAGAGGAACAGAAACAAGAAAAAGATCCAGCGCACTTAGAGCGACCAAAATGAGCATCCAAACCCTTAACCATTAGTTTGAGATTGCGCCGGAAACCGAGCACAAGGATTTTGGGCCAAGGGAACCAAAAGAGAGAAAACTTCAGAAAACGAGACAGACCCAGGTCGCCATTTAGGGTACACACAAGTAAATGGGAGAGATCTAAGCAGAGAAGCACAGTTTGGACCCAAAAATATGACGACCGCCATTAAAACAGAGTGTAGGCACAAAAAGAAAGTGAGAAGAAGAAGAAGAAGAGTGAAAGAGAAAACAAGAATTAAGTACATACCTCAAGAAGTAGAAGACGAAAACGAAGAAGACGAATAGAGTGAAGAGGGAGCAAAGGAAGAAATCTGAGGAAGATTAGGGGACAACAGCAACACCAATAACAATAACATGGGTGTGGTGAATCAAAAGGACAAGACTTTGTTACTAGCAGCAGTACTTTCTCTCTCTTCCTCCCCCTCTCGCTCTCTCTCTCTCTGGGCAAATATCTCACACACACTCTCACACTGTCCCCTTCTCTCTCTCCCCCAATATCTGTCTCTCTCAAAATGAACCGGTTACTGTCTCTCTCTCTCTCTTTCTCTCCCTCGCCCTCTGTTTCTCTCACTAAAGTAGGAGGACTATCTTTCTCCCTCTAAAGTTCCCATTTTTTTTTCTTCCATTTGTGCTTCTCTTTCTATCTTCCGTGTATTTTTTTTTTTTTTGGCTGGTGGGTTCGTGGGAGTGTCACTTGAGAGAGCCGCAACAGCTGGTGAGTTGTCTCGTCCAGCAAACCAATTATTTTCCTTTTCCATTACTCATTTTAATGGCGGAAACCTAATCTTGGCGAAGCTTATGGTGCGTAACTCCTAATTTTGTAATTTAAGCCTGATTTGGTAATGTGAATCATTAATCTATCAAAGGGCTCATATGAGAAGAGGTAAAGGTTTTAACTTTTTTTTATACCAAATAAATCTATAAATAAATTTTAGAATTCATAAATACCTTATAAATATACAAGAACAAATAAGATGAGTATATAACAAGGATTAAAATACTATACCGTACCGGCGGTTCGACCTGAAAATTTTTCTACCGACAGCAAAACAGATAGGCGGTATTTTTTTTTTTTTTTTTTTTGAGGGGCAACCTGAGAAAATGTATTAAATCAGATCAATGGTTACATCGTCCAGACGAAGCTGGTCCAAAAGAAAAATCGGTGCTCTGTCTAACCAAACTTCCCGCATATCCCATCTTGACTCACTATGAGCCATTATGTGAGCCGCATTGTTAGCTTCCCTCCGAACATGGCTGATGATCCCACCCCCACCGCCTGGTCTTTTTAATTGCAGCAAAATGCTCCGACAGATAATTCCCAGCTCAGAGATAGCCTCAGTCTCCTTCTGCAAATGGCGCACTAGATTTAAAGAATCAACTTCAAGGGCGATCCGGGCACAGCCTAGCTGGTTGGCGAGCTGAACCCCAAACTCCGCCGCAAGCGCCTCCGCTAGATCCACACAATTGTTCCCCTGGACTTTCTTCACCGCCGCCGCAATGAATTTGCCATCGGAGTCACGAATAACCGCTCCCAAGCCTACTCCTCCGCCTGCTAAGATCCCGGCATCAGTGTTAACCTTCGTCCAGCCTACCGGCGGTCTTCTCCACTGTGAGGTCTCAGCTTGTAATTCTTTGGCCTCATTCTTCCGCTGGTTCTGCTGGTATTCCTCAAGCAACTGGCTAGATCTCAGCACAATCTCATCTTCCCGCCATTTCGCGCCATTGAAAAGCTGTGCATTCCTTTCTTTCCAGAGTGCCCATAGGAGCATAACCCACCCTTCAAGAACATTCGTCTCCTTCTCATGCATAACTTTGGAAAACCACTGTTTTAGCATAAAATACCCTACCGCTGACTTTTCCGGTACGACTTCCAGTACAGTATTTCAATCCTTGGTATATAATCCTATTAGTGGCCACTAAACAAATAACGCATAATCACTTTCCAAGTTCGAACCTGAAAGTTAAATATGATCAATGAAAATGTAGAATTAGAAGAATAAATTGTAAATATTTTTTTTTATTGTGTTACTAAACGCAATTTGGTAGCACTTTTACTACTTCAATGTTAATTCTCAATTTCTCCATATTTTTTTTAGTTCCAACTTAAACTTTAATGTATTTTGATAAATAATCAGCCAAGTAGCCCTTAGTGTGAACTTTATAAAAAAAAATTGGATCACTTGGGGAAAAAATTTCCAGATGTTTGGGTTTCAAGGATTTTGAGTTTTTGACAAACATAGGATTTCAGGCAAATCCTTCTTGGGTGGATTTGTGGGGAAAATTCCTAAAGCTAAGCCGAATTGGGACCTGGTTGCACCACACCATTTGGGTGCTAACTAAACTGGGCCTTGGCCCAAACTCATTCCTCAAATCCTAACAGTGGGCCAAAAATTAACGGATCCAGAAAAAATGTCCCTTTATTTTGACAATGTAGCTGATAACAGGCCCCGTGGGGATTGGATTGGAGAAGTGAAGGAAAAAAAAACAGAAGGGCCGGCTATCTCGTTATTCTGATAAGGATGGGCTTAAGTTTTAGGCCCTTTTGATGAAGAAAAAGGAATAACTGGGCCTGAACATAAGGAAAGAAGTTGAAAGAAGGCCCAGCACTGTACCTGGTCTTCGAAATTACGGGAAGGCTCCCCCAGGAATCATGGCCGTACCTAGGGCTGGGCATGCGGGCGGATCATCTGCGGGTTTGGGCCGACCCACCCGCATTTGACCCAAATTTCGTTAAGTGGGTGGGTCTATGGGTGGGTGACGGGTTGCGCTGGGAGCCATCCGCCGGGTGGTGGGTGGGTTGTGGGTGGGTGCGCGGGTGACCCGCTCAACCCAACAGCAAAAAGATCAAAGTCGTCGGCGCTAGAGAGGGGAGAGTGGAGACGTTAGACATAAACTAGGACTGCTCTTGGAGTTTAAACCTGAAAGCCAACCTTCCAAATAGCGATCCCCTCTTCTTCCCTTTATTTTTCCTCTAATTCTTGTGCCTAAATCACTGCTCTTTCCTTTGTGGAATTATTTTTCTTAGTTTCTTGCACCTGATAATCATCTCAATTTGTAGAAAACTCTTTCATCATAGAATTTCTATCCATTTTAAGAACTAATTCGACATTTTTCGCGCTATTTCATCTTCTTGTTTCCCCATATAACTCTCTTCGCCTCATGTCAAGTTGACTCCTTTATATTATATACATTGTGATGTGGGTGAACCCACAAACCCACCCAAATCATCCACCATCCGCCCTACCCAACCCGAGACTAAATGTGGGTGGGTGGTGGGTTAAAAATTATCCATCCGTTTAAACGCGGGTGAGTGCATTTTATGGTCAAAATCCACCCGACCCACCCAATGCCCACCCCTAGCCGTACCATTACGTAAGCTCGTTCAACGCGTATTAAAAAGTAGACTACCCCAACATATTTTTAACCTTCTCCCCACAAAAGATAATCATAGAAGAAAGAAGAAGAGAGGAACAAAGTCGTACTACAACGACACGTGGCCATGTCCAACAAAGCCCAGCACTGTACGTGTCATCACGCCAGACTAACACGTAACTCTGGCTACCAGTCGTTATCCCTTGAAGTTGAACTCTTTTCATTCCCCTATAAAAAGGATGGCCTTCCTTTCCAACCCAACCCAGCCAACTACTTCTGGAACTCGGACACGAGAAGCAAGTAGTTACACACATGAAGAGAATGTCGATCAAGTCGAGTCTTCTGATTCTGCTATGTTGCCTTGCTCTGTTTTTCATAGCAAGATCGGTTGACGGAGAAGAGGTGAAGTCAAATGTGAAGAGTCCGGCCGGTGGCGGTGAAGATGGGGATGGTAGTTCTGCACCAGCAAGCGGTTACTTGTACAGAATCAAGGCTGCCGCCGGCTGGGCTCAGTCCTACTTCGTTCCTCCCGGCCTTAACTTGTAAGTACCACTTGACTCGTGTTGTGTGTTTAGAGAGTTAGATTTCAAGTTTGTTATCACTGAATGACCTTTTCGTTATTCATGGGAACAGTTTCACAGGCGGTGCTACGAAGAAAGCAGCGGACAAGATCATCGACGGCGTGGATGAAGGCGGCGGCGGCGGCGGAGGTGGAGAGCGGGTGAAAGAGGCGGTGGCGAGGAGTATAGAGAAAGGCAAAGAAACAATGGAGAACACGGCGAAATCGGCAGCCAGAATGGCGACTAAAACCGCGCACGAAGCGAAGGAGAAGGTGAAGAGAACCATATCAGACGCCAAGACAGCAGAAGTAAAAGTCAGTGATTATGAGGATGACGACGAGCTCTGATTAGGTTCCATTAAGGGTGAAAGATAAAGCGGTATGTATAATGTAAATGGATATTACACGGGCGTGATGAGGTTCTTGATTAGGTCTCCAACTAGATAGCATATACCCGATGTTGCCATCCATATGCAGAAGAAGTAAAGGACTGTTGCAGCGTAGGGTTTAGGCTGCTGCTGCTGCTTTTGAGTGTGAGCCTTTGCAATTGCAAGCAGAATGATGCAGACGAGAGAAGCGCTTCCTGCTACCGCCAGCTTCTCGTCTTTGTTGCCGTTGCTGCTTATCTTGCTCTGAAATGTGAACCCGTAGGCAAACGTAGGGAGTAACCCACATACCAGAAATGATAATATGGCCGCCATGAAATGGATTCCAAAGTTTTCTCTCTTGCCCAGAGTTGTTTGGTAGCGATCCTCCGCTTCATCGTTGTTATTATCTGAAGTAGTAGCTTTGGTGTGATCCTGTTTCAGATCCAGCAGCTGCAAGAGGGAATTGGGGGAGAAGAGAGACCTGTTAGAAGGCTTGTAGATTCATCTGGGTGTGTGTTGGATTATGGTAAGATGAAACAAGTACTATAATCTGAAACAATGACGATGAAACTTGCATTATTGGCAATGATGACGAGTCCGCCAATTACGTTCGCCAGCCCCATAACTAAAACGTTCACTGCAACAGAAAAGGGTAGAAATGGTTAACCATGTGTGGTTTAATATGGTTCCATGAATCTGTGTTCAAGCGTGGATCAGTTACAATGAGACATGAGTACTTACAAGTTGGAGCACCGGCTCCAGCAGCAGAAGATACAACGCCAAGGCTCGTAATTGATTCGATCAAGCCTCCAAACACTACACACTTCAAAATCTCCCATCCATAGCCCTCTCCACCTCCCCCGCCTCTCGGTTTAGCCGTAGCCCTCTGGCTGCCAAGCTGTGGGCGACTACTTGCTCGTGCTGGAACATAAGCAATTTGTACAAAGTCAAGTAAAGCCAATACGGATTCAGATATAGTGGTTGACTAGTGAAGAGATGTAGTAGCTAATAAGTAACTCGGTTATGACAGTCCATTTGACTGGAAAACAGAAGCAATTGAGTTGCAACGAACTGGTAAACAAGTCTAGGTGCCTGCTTGAGTAAAATCCACGAGCAGGGGATAGTTTCACTACCTTCGGGAATGAAAAATCTGAAGCAGGATAAGCATCTGAAAACATCCTGCTGACCATCAGTGCCGTCGATTGCTGCAGGATTGGAACCATTGTATGCAGAAATGTCAATATATGGAACCTGATCATCGGCCGGATGAGTGGGTTCAGCATCGAGCACAGGAGGGTGAAATGGTGCTTTGGAAGTGTTCTCCTCCAGCTTTGCATACCCATTTGAGGTATACTGCTCGTTTTCCTCCAGAATCGCATTCCCTTTTGGAGTAGTGAAGTGCTTGTTTTCCTCCATTATGACATGCCCGTTTGGAGTATTCTGTTTTCTTATATTCAGGACAACCCGTTGTGTGATACAGGAACTACAGTCAGGGCAATACAGATCATGAGTATCTTGCTTCTCTAACAGCATTTCAACGTCTGATTCTGCAACTCCCTTTCTTCTTTCCACCGAGCCATTCAAAGATGTTAGACTTGAAGGAGAGAGCCTTCCATTTTCCAGAACGCCCTCAGATTGTTGCCTCAAGCCGTTAACTGGAAACCCATTCTTTTCAGCAGCTCCATTGATGGATTCAGCACCTGCAGTGTGCAATGTAAACCACATCAGAATTGTGGATCCCTGCGTCGGCTTGCCAAATAGCAGCTGCATCCCACTAGGTCTGTGACTCTTGATGTAGACTCAACGTAACTGCTTTGTACAAGGACTGAACTATCAGCACCATAAATATGGCGCCACTTGATGGATATAAGCATTCATAGTGCTAATCATGAACAAAAAAGAAAAGGATGCCTAGATTAAAGACCTTTGATTTCAGATGAGAAACGTGGAGCCCCATGGTCAACCGACAAGCTTTGGGTGGAGGGGTCGGAATTGCAATGGCGGCATCGCCACTTTGGATGGCTACCAAGCCCACCAGAACGCGAACTTCCAACGAAGTAGGTCCAGTTGCAGTGATGGCATTTCCATTTACCTAGTATTCAAAAGCATGTAAAGCAATTGGAAGAAGAAACATATAGAAATTTAACAAGGAAATCAGAGGAAACATAGAAGATGCCAAGATGGACATAATTAGATTAGGGTTTGTTTTACCATGGAGTTCATCCAAGTAAACGCTACAGTTCAACGGATCAGTCACACCTCCGTCAACGTCACCGCCACCGCCGCCGCTGCTGCTTCCTTCCGAAATTGGATTGTGAGCAGAGTCGGTCCCGGGGAAGGTTAGAGTAACAGACTGCCCGCCGTTGACGCGGAATCCGCTTCCGTTCCGATAGCGCGGAACCTTAGACAGCAATCTCCGCCGCAGGAGCTTCATCACGGTCGCCTCCTCCTGTTCTTCGTAATCAACCTCGGTCGTCGCCGCCGCAGCAGCAAGATCGGCGGCCATCGGAAAACTTGTGCTCGACTTCCTTCAGCTTCGTGTGTAGAGAGAGAGAGATAAGGTAGTTCAGAGTGAGTCCTCCGCTTGCAGCAAAGAAGAAGAAGCTAGAAGATGAGGAGCTGACTTTGTACCACTCCTCGCCCACTGCGTCGCCATCATCAATTCATCATGTCAGGCGGGCCGTATCCCGTGGATCGATTCGAGAAAGCTTGCTGGCGTGTTTGGTTAGTGGGAAAATAAATGCCGCGACATTCAATTAAGCAACCAAGCGCCATTTTTTAATTCCTCGTGTGGAAAACGTTGACCGGGTGTATATTTAGGGTAATTTACAGTGGAGGTCACCGAGGCGGTCTAATTTTACATTGTTGGCACCCGAAACAATATAGTGACGCAACAACCATCATCGAAAGCGATATTTTTCTTGTATTGTCTAGTAGGTTATCGTACGAAGTGTGCTTGTTTGAATTTGGTGAACTCGAGGAGTGCTTCAGTTGGTCACTAAATTTGCTCATTAGTTTCATGTTTGATACCGAAAGCAAAGGAAAGTATCATATCGACCAGTGGAATAGTGATTGCATATGTTCATTTGTTAACGTTGAACCAGCTTTATCAAAGTTCACACGAGGCAATGAAGGTGTTTCTGAAGCAGCGAATCAGAATTTGAGGAGAAGTCACACATAGATAATTCTGTTAACTTGATTTTTAGGTATCGAAACTCACGTATTAAATATTTCCCAAAAGAACCAATCAATTTACAATTTTTTTTTTTTGTTATAAGTTTACAAAGCGAATATATTCTGGAAATCATAAAATCGCATTGAAAACTTAACATACTGGTTATATCGTGTATGAGTATGACTCATCCATTCCAGATACTAGACAAATTTCTAAAATTACTACTATTTATTTGTGTGGACATATATATTAAGGGTACCCAAATGAAAATGCAAGAACCCAAGAGGAAAAAAGTTGTTTCCCAAAGCCTAAAACGGACCTCACCAGTCACCACCGATTTCTTAAGTCGCTAGGTAGGTGGTGGTGACTTGGAAGGGAATGATGACAGCATATGCATCGGTGGGTCCGGATCTGGTGACTAAGGGGGTGCTTAGTCACTTGGCTAAGCCCCCCTCAGCCCTTGGATCAATCTAATGGTGTAGATAATGGAAGGACTATTTTATTAATAAGAAGGGCAATTCTGGAATTAGAAAAAATTAAAAAAAATAATTCTCCACCTTCTCTTCTGCGCTGCCAGCCACGGGATGAAGGCGACGATGGAAAAGAGGCGACCGGCGGCGACGATGGAGAGAGAGAAAGGAGACCTCGACCACGACGGCGACAGCGACGGCGACGATGGAAAGAGGGAAAGGAGATCGCGACGGAGGCGAAGGCGTTGAAGAGAGAGAAAATAGATCTGGTCTTCATCATCGGAAAACAGAGGAGAGAGAGGCAATGGCGGAGAGAGAGCGTCGGCGACAATGGAGGAGAGAGAGGCGGCGCGACGATGGAGAGAGTGAGAGAGAGGTTGCGATGGCAGTAGATTGAATCAGCGGCGGCAGCGGTGGAGAGAGAGTCGACGGCGGCGGCAGCGGTGGAGAGAGAGTCGACGGCGGCGGCAGCGGTGGAGAGAGATCGTATCGTCTTCTGAAGGAAGAACAGTGATTTGTATAGTTTGTATGTTTTGTAACATTAGTTTGTATTGTTAGTATTTTTGTACAAAATGTCAGTATGGTTTGTATGTTTTTCTTTGACAGTTTGTACTCTTAGTATGTTTTTCTTTGACAGTTTGTACTCTTAGTATGTTTTTCTTTGACAGTTTGTATTCTTAGTATGTTTTTCTTTGATAGTTTGTATTCTTAGTATGTTTTGCTTGTATTCTTAGTATGTTTCGCTTTGTATTGTAAGTACTAATAATTTGTATACTTTATATGTACTGATTTGTGATGCAAAAAACATTACAAACATGGTTGACAAAAATGACAAACATGTGGACAAAAATAACAAACATTACAAACAATACAAAAGAAACCAACAAACATTACAAACATTACAAAAGAAACAGTACAAAGCATACTAAACGTACAAAATATCACTACTAACAATACAGATTGATAAACTTGTATTACAAACAAATGAATACAAAGTATACAAATCTTAACATAAAAGTATACAAACTAGAGCAACAAAAATTACAAATTACAATATATACAAAATAGTCATACAAAGATTATAAACAATACAAAAGAAACCAACAAACATTACAAACATTACAAAGCGTACAAACATTACAAAATAACTCGACAAACAGTACAAAACATACTAAACGTACAAAATATCACTACTTACAATACAGATTGATAAACTTGTATTACAAACAAATGAATACAAAGTATACAAATCTTAACATAAAAGTATACAAACTAGAGCAACAAAAATTACAAATTACAATATATACAAAATAGTCATACAAAGATTACAAACAATACAAAAGAAACCAACAAACATTACAAAATAACAAAGCGTACAAACATTACAAAAAACCCGACAAACAGTACAAAGCATACTAAACGTACAAAACAATACAAAACATACAAACAGTACAAATCATAACATAAAGTATACAAACTGGAATGATGAAATTACGAAATCGTCGCCGCCGCCAACAAATTGGCGATGTCGGTGTCTCTCTCCTCCTCAACCGCCGCTGCCTCTCTCTCCTCCACGGTCGTCGTCCCTCTCGTCGTTGTTCCTCGCCGCCGCCGTCGTTCCTCGCCGTCGTCGTTGTTCCTCGCCGCCACCGCCGTCTCTCTCTCTTCTCCTCTACCGCCGCCGCTCTCTCTCCTCTACGGTCGATTCGCCTCTCTCTCTTCTCCTCTACCTCCGCCTCCCTCTCTCTCCCCCGAACACAGAACGCCATCGACCCGCCGTCTTCCTTCGCCGTCGTCGTCCCTGGCCACCGTCGTCCTTCGCCGCCGTCGTCCATGGCCGCCGCCGTCTCTGTGGATTCATCTCCGCGTGCGACAAACAGGTGAGGGAAGGACTCTTTTCTTTTTTTTTATTTACAAAATTAAAATGTATAATTACCATGTTGTCCTTCCTTAAAATAAATTAATTATAGCCTTAGGATTTTAATGAGCATGGAAGGTTGAGATTAACTTAGCCAAGTACCCCTTAGTCACCTGATCTTAACCCATGCATCGGTGGCGGCAGCAACATGATTGATTGATAGCTTCAATAATCATAGGCATATTGATTTCTCACAAAAGAAGTACTGGAAGAAGTTAACATTGAATAACAATGACAGTCTGACATCCTATCCTTTCCATCATAGATATGGGGGCAAGTGCCACCATTGCAGTACTGCAATGTCGCATAACAGAGCCAGCTAGCTGAAATGTGGTCATATATAGAAATCAGGTAGAAGATCATTAGGAAGCAGAAACGAAAGTGTAACTTAAGTTAACATAATAACATGAGTGAAGGTATGTTGAAAGAAGAAGCCGGTGCTGCTGTTGAAGTAGTAGCAGCAGGGGATAAACAACCGCAGGCTGTTGAAAGAAGAAGCAGAGGATCCTGATATCCAGTGGAGGCATGGCGGCCCTCCCATTTTCGACACCGTCAACAAGCTCTTCGAACAAGGCCGCACCAATGCCTGGGCAGAAGGGTCGCTGGAAGAGGCGGTCCAGAATGCTGTCAAGACATGGGAAATGGAGCTCTCTCACAAGACTCGCTTGCTCGAGTTACGAAACGTCTCACGACGCGTTTCGATCGGCCTTCCCACGAGGGTTTGCGTGGGAGGTCATCAGTGTTTACTCTGGCCCTCCTGTGATTACCTACAAGTTCAGGCACTGGGGCTTCTCTGAGGGACCTTTCAGAGGCCATGCTCCCACAGGGGAGATGGTGCAGTTCTTCGGCATTAGTGTCATGAGGGTAAATAATGTTCATTATTTCTGCTAATTTCCATCAACGATAGCATTGAGATAGTGCGTGCTGTTGTGATATTATTGAAGGTTGATGAATCGATGAGGGCAGAAGATGTGGAGATCTACTTTGACCCAGCAGAGTTGTTTGGAGGCCTACTCAAAGGTGCTGCTACTGATCAATCTGATTCCCAAGTTGATCAGTCACTAGATGAGAATTGTGAGCAGAAGAAGTCCCATGGAGTTTCTTCAACCTCTGGCCATCTTTCGTGTCCCTTCTCCAACCAAGCAAGAACACAACTCTGACATATGTGATCTTGTTTGTCTAGTATGGTGCTAGTATTGATGTACCCAGCTTCTTTGGTGTGTAGACGTTCTTGTAATCGCCAGTTTAATTATATGAATCTGTGCGGAAACATTCTAAAATCACTTTGCTGGCTTCGCTTTCACTCGCAATCCATCTGTTACAGTCCTCAAATCGTGCACATTTTGACAGCTTCAAGAGTTGAGATGAGACACTTTTGACTTGGTGCTTTTGCCAAACAGAGGGCAAAAGCTGATGGCCTGATAGTATAAGAGGGAAACAACAGTACCATTATCTTCTTGGGAAAACATATGTACATGCAAAGATACAGGAGGTTTCAAGCCTCAGCATTATAACGGGGAAAAAAACCATAAAAATGGATGGATCTTCTTCAGCTTGCTAGATACAGTGGAACTGCGGGCTATCATTCCCAACTAATACACAGCTACCAACTGGAAGATCAAATTATTTAAACCTCCACAGGGTTTGCATCTGTACAGCTCCTCCTCCAATTGGTTCTTCATTCTTTATCACCCTTGTTACCTTACAAAGCTTCTTCCCGCTTCTTTCCATTGTCTGATTTACATTCAAGTTCCGAATCCGGACGAGCCTCTGTCAAAACAGCAGCACGCAATAAATAGTCAGAGAAGCCCTTGGTCACCCTGCGGCCCCTGCTTCACCTAAGAGGCCAAGATTAGTGCTACATTGTCCCTTTACACGCTTAGATCATATCTATACAATCTACCACGCCCTCAGAGTAACAAAAGCACTCGCCTTTTTATACACCCATGAACACTGAAGCTCTTATTCCTTCTAGATTGTGCAGAGGACCTAATAGATACTTCATTTCAAATGTAGATTAAGATAAATCTATGCATATGCACAAATATGAAATCCACACCTGAAGAGAGAAAGCTAAACCCCAGACAAGACGAATATGGCATCCCATTGTATTTGTAGCGTTTGTTTGTATGTGTGACTCAGTTCTTGGAGTGTGTGTGTGTGTGTGCGCATGGGCTAGAGAGAGAGAGAGAGGGAGATGGATCTAATGAAGAATATTTTGCTTACCGAGATGCGAAACCCCATCATAGAAATTATCCTTCCTCCGTCTCAGATTCAGGGGCATGACTGGACGGTTCCTCGGTCTTAACTTCATCTGAAGTTGAATCCTTCTCCAATTCATCTGCTGTGTTATATACAGGCAACTGTCCGAAGCTGGCACCTGAAAGAAGCAAGAAAAGAAGAATGCGACTGTGAGCGTTGACAATGTTGAAGAAAAAAGTCACAGCACATCCTCCTCCCAAACAAGAACATAATGAAGATTGAAGAAAAGCCTTTCTGATACCATCAGAGGAAACAGACAAAGAGCAGTCGGCAATTTCAAGTGAGCATCTAAATGAATGCTGAACAGATGCGAACAAACTGCAACGCTAAACCCAAATTGCATTCCCATCAGCGGAGCTCGGGCAATATAAAATAATGAACTTTCGGGTTTAGAAAGCTCCTATTCACATGATACTCTTCATTTCATTCCAAGTTTCCTGCCAAATTTAAAGAAGACTTAAGTTTCTTCGGTTCGTGACGCTGTACGGTTTTTAGGCAATGGATGTCGGAGGGGAATACCAAAGAGACACAAAGAGATTCGCAAAATGGACACAGCAATTAATCGCACACAACAAACTCAATTTGCCATCAGGGTAATAGAAGCGATCGCCACTGAGGCGAATCCTCGATCTTAGAAGACAGATCCCCAATCATGAACCGAGTTAACCCAACCCTAGAAAATTCAGGAGACGGGGAAGGAAAGAAATCGAAATCAAATCCCAGAAATTCGGTACCTTTGATGAAATAATCCGAGGAAGGCCAGCCGCGGACGGAGGTAACGGAGCGAGATTCCTCGTCGGTCAAGGGATTCGCAAGCTTCTCGACGAGCTGGGCAATCCCCAAGCAGCCGGCGTCAGATCTATGTGGAGGGACCCAGTAGGAAGTCCCCGGAAGGAAAGGGAGCCAATCGGGTGCGGCGCGGCGGACGATGATGCGGTGGATGGCGTCCTCGAGCTTTCGGAGGAGAGGATCGGTGGATTCATCGGCGACCGCGGGCTCGGCGTTGTTGTTGGGGAGGTTGGAGTTGGAGCGGAGGGCGAGGCAGCGGAAGGAGGCGGATGAAGGAGACGAAGCTGCGGAGGAAGAAGATCTGGAAGTTGCAGCTGCAGCAGCAGCGAGGTAAGTGCGGGAAGAGGATAAGGAGCGAGCCATTGGCGTCGATGGATTGGATGGGGTTTGGTTTTTTTTTCCTCTGAAGTGTGGAGAAAGGAACTGGGGAGAAGGAGGAGGAAATTGGACGCGAGGTGATTTTGGGGATTAAATAGGAAGAGGAGTGGGTTGGATAAAGAAGAAAGTGGTGGGACTGTTTTAGGATTGGCCGAGGAACGCAAATATTGGCGGTGTTGCTGTGGCGCGGTTTTTGGCGCTTGCACTGCTGGTGCTACGTGTGTAACGTGTGTGCTTGCACATGGAAAGTAAAGAACTAAAGATGGGTGAGTTTCGTAACTAGCTTTGAACCCGATTCGTTAGTCGAAAGATAAGATTATGCTTTCGTCGTTGTCGTCATAATTAACTCTCTATGCAGGCAATCAATCTACATGAAGTCAAACTCACATACAAACCGAACGACTTTCTTACATATCTGTGTCTGATTGGCCGATCGATTTCTATAATAATTTTCACAAACGTGTGTAACTGATGATGGATCTTCCGATCCATAACACAAAAATATCGTTTCTCGTGTGTCCGCGGCTGGTTGTCTAAGAGAGTTCTATTCAATTGTTCAAATTAATAAATTTATTTTGTATGGTTTTTAAAATAATTTTGATCTCACAACACGATTATTTTGTGCAATTCATGTCATGGTTTGTTATTTGTGATTGGTGCACAAAAATTCAGCCAACAAACGACATTTTAAATCTACTTGTTTCCCTTGAGTCAAAAAAATAAATAAAAATTCTACATGTTTCCCAATCTAATAGTCATTTTGACATGTGCTAATTCTAGCAGTTCACTTATATTAACAACATATTTAAATGAGTTGGACACTTTTATCCTTTAATATTTCAGCTCAGCACACATGCTATTGAAAAAAAAAGAACAACATATTTAAATGAATACAACCTTTTCAACTTCTAAGAGCATCTCCAATGGTGCAAATGGCAAGATACTTTGGAGCAGCATATTAGTGGTATTCAACGTTCACATTATAATTACAATTGAACTGATACAAGATTATGGCAATTTCAAAGGGGCAATAAGCAGGGTAATCGTAATCTAAAGGCGATTCACAGGATAAGAAAATTAACATGTAACCCTTTCCCTTTTGGGTTGGACACATGACCCGTTTCTGACAAACAAACAAATGCTCAACAGCCTATCTCCTGATCCTGAATTCTGCTTGCAAAATTATGTACAACAAAAAATGAAAAAAGAAAAGGATGTCCAAATTATAATAGCAAAAAAAAGCTTCAATTTCACAACTATCGTATCATATATCTTATGGATGAGTAAGTTCCTTGCAATCAAACACAACTATGCCATCTCTCATCGGTTCTTCGGCAAACAAAAATCATATCCATCCAGCTCTACTGTACTTCTCTCCCATTGTTGGCTGGAATTTAACGAGTCACGGACGCAAAAACAAAGGATGTGGAGTTCGTATAAACAAAACCACTAGCCTCGGCTGTATACTTTGCAGGTTTTGATTGAGATGCGTGTGCCGACATGAATGTTTCGTATTGTTTCATTTCATATGCAGTAGGCAACAACAGGACCTGACCTGGATCCTGTTTGTTGTGCATTGTCCATATGCAGGACGAGGAGGAAGGCATCGGAGGGAGGATGGTGGACTTTGAAAGCTATATCACCAGATTTGCACTAGCCTCATGAGGAACCTGGAAATTTGGTAATGGTCGAAGTAATTAATAAGGAGCAGGCTAGAAAGAGGAAGAATGTGAGCCAAAAAGATCTCTTTGCTTCTGACTTTTAACAGTTCAGGAAGCAGAAAGGCTTCAGGGAATGAGGCATCAACTGTCAGCGTGAGATGTCACAAAGCACTTACCTAGAGGAGAGGAGCCTCCAAATTAGAACTAGAAGAGGCCTAACATCCTTAGTTCTGTAATGTGGCTGGGATCAAGTTCAGGCACATTCTTACTAGCCTCTCGGTCTTCCACCACATACTCCTGACATTGCAAAAAAGTACCACATTAGAATAGCTAGAGTCAACTTAAGTTGAGAAGAACAAAACTGCTCTATCATACCACGAAAACATGATAAGGATAGATAAAAATGGGAAGGCTGAATCTCTTTTAAGCTACAACCAGCGAACAAACTGAATGCCGATCACATGGTAACCTCCCCATATAGACAAAGATCCATTTCAAGCCCCAGTTTGGCTGAATGCAAAATCATTACGAAAAAATAATAGTATTATGTTTTTATGCTTGTCTGAAGCCTAGTGCATTCATGGTACTATACGTAGCTCCCTTTATTCCCACACTATAATCTACTCCAATGTCAGGAAAGCCAGAAAATGAACCCTTCTGTTGTTGTGCCTGTGTTGATGAATGATGACAAACCAGACATAGTCTTTTAAACCTGAACATTAAGGAGCTTTCCCAGACCTCAGAGGAGGCAGGACTAGCCTGCCTGTTGGGCAGACACCTATAACAGAAAAGAGATTCCAAACCTGCCAACAACTATGTTCACCTTGCAGTTAAAACTGCTCGACATATTTTTCAGTTCACTATTTACTCCCAGTGTAGCTGTAGTATGCTGACGATTTTTCATTTAACCGTCAAAACTATCATTGTTTATTGAGGTTTGCAGAGGCAAGCATGCATCAAGAGGCAAAAGAGAAATACGGTCACAACAACATATTGAGCATGACGAAAGGGCACTACAAGTTAATTGGCATACCTTTGTCAGCTCCTGTTTGGCAAGAACATGGTAATGGCGCTCATTGATCCTTTGACCACATATTATGGCAATGAAGAAACCATAGAGCAAGCCCACCAGGACAATAGCCAAAACTGTAATTAGGTGACAAAAATAATAAGAGTTAGTGAGCATGGGCAATTAACATCTAACAGACACATTTGATGATCAGTCAATCTAGATTAAAAAAAAATGATAATCCAGGATAGACATTCCCACTCTTACAATCTTCCATTGAAAAATTCACATGTACAGAAGATATTGCTTTACGGTACATACCGGCCATCGTATAAAATCCATAAGGATGCTCTTCGTAGCCAAACATTTCTCTGAGTTCCTCCCCATAAAACTTGTACACTAGTACCCCCAAAAAAGCAACAATCTGCAGAACCCAATACTTATATTAACTCCTTGAACCCATGAAAACTTTAGCTACAATATGGTAGGAATTCATATCAAGTAATGTACTCTCGAAAAGACAGACAGTCCAAATAGTTGAAATTATAGTCCATCTGGCAAAGTTGGATCACACATAGACTCACATCCAACAATGTCAACAGGTATCATTATGGTATTGCCACAGGTTCATCCCACTAAAGAATTTTGAGATAAAAGATAATCAATTTATAAGGTTGAAATTTCAAGCATAACACTTGCAAGTAACATGGAAATTTTCCTCATTAAACAATACGAGTTCTATGTGCATTTAACATAAAAGCATAAGAGCCATACAAAATACAAACTATCACTGTTGTCACATCATTGTCAGCTGAAATAAAGTTAGATTAACTTAAATTCCATAAAAGAGCAGCATATAACATCAGTTCAGCAAATCGCAACCCAATTCTGATGATCAGCATTTCAGGAATTCACAATTTGATCAATAAGGCAAAGAATCCATTCATAGCATCCTCTTTGCGGATCAGCAAACAAAGTCCAACTAATGTACTTGAAATCATATTTCAAGTCTGATAAAGAAAGATGAGAAAACTCATCAACATACCAGCTGAACAACAATAAAAATGAACGCGTGGTCCCGAGCAACAAGGAACTGAAATTTCAATCTCAACCACCAGCGGTCAGGAGGAACATTCGCACGCAATACAAATAACGCCCGACACTCAGAACAGTGTGCGAAAGCAAAGCCCTCCTGAAACAAACATGGAATAGAAATTAATCAAAAGTTTCAGTTGCTCATAACCAGATGCTGAAGCGTACAGTTCTTGAATATTCAACATTCTGAAAGAACTAGAATCTTCTAATTTTTAACTGCAATGATAACCAACAAAAACAAGGACTGAAAGAATCGAACCAAACATCAGAGTAAAACCATGAAGGAACATAAGAAGTTAAGAACAACAATTCACCTTAGTGGACCTCCAGTTATCAAGACAAGATCTATGAACATATTTTTGAGTGCCTTTGCAATGACATGGTGCTATTAAGTCGTCACCTGAAATTGTGAGCAATTGTTTCAGCATTGATGAACATAAATCATATTCACAAACAGAACACCAAATCCAAAAGCCACCATTTCTACTGGGTATAGAAATATTCTAAAACAAAAGGAACACGGCATAATAGGTATACCTTCATAATCAAGGCATATACGGCATTGTGGCTGGTCCGGGTTGACAAGACGGCAAGTTTCATCTATGATCACACTTTGTAACTCATCACCACTAACATCACAGTCTCGTTCTAATGGAGTGATCTCACGTGAAGATGATGATCCATCGACCTGCGGTGAAATATCAGACTTGGGCAAGATGGGTTCAGTTTCTGAAATGTCTTCATGTGATACTAATGGCATCGCTGACAATGTTGAATCGGTACTAAATCGCATGCATTATTGCAAACCCTATACCTCCAACTGAACATCTCAGTAGTGACTCCAGAATCTGAAAAAAAATAGGAAAGGAACATTAAACAAAATGCATACTAGGGGTATAAATACAATAACCATACTAGCAAGCACACTAGACAACTATTGACTGTTCATTCAAATATTTCTCTCATATACTGTCTTGTAATGGATATCAGAGGGGGACTTCCACACCAGTGACACGCTTGGGGATCAATTTAATTATTATTAGGAAATTGCAAGCCTAAGCATATCACCAGATTCACTTATGCGTGACGAAACACAGTAAACAAAGTCACAAGCAACGAGGTTATAGGGGATCAGAAACATAGTTTGTGATTAACAAGATAAACGGAGGCATTGGTAATTTTGATTTCAAAGATGCAGGATACAGTAATTGCTACAGCTATCTTATTTTGCATTTGTTTAGTAATGGGGTAAGCATGGATGACCAATTCCTTTTTCATTGAAGTGCTAATATGCACAAAAAGATAGGGTGCATTAGTGTACTACTGAGGGTTGGTTCATAGCAAACTATGCAAGCAATAAAAAGATCACAACTGAAATTCACTATGAGCAATGAAGTTAAGCATTCAGAGACACCTGCGGTTGCGTGTATCTAATCCGGACTGAGAAGTTCAAGAACAGTTCACAGCAAACGATGCTTCCTATCACAACTAACATCTGCTAAACCCAAAACCATACTCGGGAAATTGGCCAAACAATACAATGGTTGTGATTGCGAAAAAGGGCAAAAGATTTCATTTCTATGAAAATCCCAACTAGTGGAGCTGGACTAAGCTATCTCCATTTCCATTCAAAAGAAAACAAACCAAGCTAACCCATCAGGCATGCCTGAAGGGAACAATAGACACGAGGACATACAACAGGAACGACAAGTCTAACATCCAATTCGGTAAAGATAACATGCAAATGGAACTCCAGAGGAGCCAGAAAACCTTGAATCAAATCTCCAACTTGGACAACAAGCAAGCATCGGTCTCCCTGAAATGTTGCGTCGCCTCAATGGAGGGAGGGACAAAAAGCATAAACAAAAGATTGCCGCGGGGACAGAGATGTCTGACCTGAAGGGAATTGAGAAGAAGTCAAAGTGGATCCAGATGAGATTCAAATGGCATTCAGCATTCGCCATCAAATCTCCTCTCTTCTCTCTCTCTCTCTCTTTCTTTCCTTTATCCAAATCTGCCCAGCAATCGGATTCGAATTCTGAAACGATGATTCTTGCTCTTCCTCGTGCTTTCTGCGAACCTTCTTCTAGGGTTCTCCGCTGACGCTTGGCTCCACGTCAAATGACGGAGAAGGGAAGGGGAAGGCGAAAGGGAAGGAACGAAGGAAGGGGCAAAGGGCAAGGGTGGAAGGCAATACTCAGGAAAACGGACGCCTTGGACCGACTGCCGACCAATTCCCAAATTCATTTTGCATGTCTTTTCTTGTTTTCCTAATTAAAAATAGGGGTTCTACCAAAAAAAAAAAAAAGGGTTAATATTTTTGCTTATCCCTAATTTTTACTGATCAGTCTTTTCAATAACACTAAATTTTATTTGATTGATCGAACTTAGAGAGTTTCTTTTTATCCAAGATTAGCCCGAGAGTTTATTGCAAGGATTAAAAAACAGTAGTGTATTGGCAAAATATTATTTAGTTGACAATTCACATGAATACATAGTGTGACACAAAAAAGAAGACAAAATCTCAACAAAAATAATTGGGTGAATATTTTGATAAAATTGGTACCCAAAATTTGGGGATATCACAATTTGATGCCCGAAAAGGGTCCCAAATTACAAGTATCTCTTCCCGTCAAGCACCTTCTTCAACAGCCCTTCCCGTCCAGGAAATCGACCTTTAATCCCAGCCGTTCGATCCTCACCCTTTCCACCAAACTGACGGTCGTTGACGGATCTACCCTCCGTCTTCCCCAAAACCCCCAATCTGTCCTCCTCTATCGGCGCCGGCGCCGCTTTCCGTCGCCTCATTCTCTCCCGTCTCTCCCTCCTCCTATCCTCGCCCTCCAACTCCCCATCCCCGCCGCCGTTACGGCCGCGGCCACCAACAACACCGCCGCCAGCATCCCTGTTTCCCTCCTTCTCTTCCTTCCCAAACCCTAATCTCGGGATCCGGCCGCCCTTGCTCGTACCCAGCAGCTCGAAATTCACCCGGCTCCACCCGACCTTGTCGTCGTTATCCCAGCCGAACCGCTGGCTGATCTCCAGCAGCTGCGCGACGGCGTCGGTGCCGGCCGAGGCAGATGACGGAACGCTCCTGCCGTCGTTGGCGTCCAAGACGCGGCTGGCGAATTCCCACTCGAGCCGGTCCAAGTAGACAGGGTCCTGAAGAACCTGGTCGGCGAGATTGGCCCAGTGGTGGGTGTCGCCGGAGCGGAGGTTTCCGGAGACCCATTTGAGGTAGGATGAAGGGAGGGCGCCCAGCATCTTGCCTTTGTACTTGCCGAAATCTATCACTCTGTCTCTCGCCGCCGGGAGCGATGCTGCCTTCAATGTCGGAGGTTTGGATGGCGGCTTCCACCGGCTGTGTTCGCCGATGGCCGGCTTGAAAGAACAATTGAAGGTAGGGAGAGCCGGGGAGTGAGCGATGTTGAAAATCATGGGAGACGATTGGGATTTGGAGCTGAGCTGAGAATCCTGGTAGTCAGGGGAGAGCAACCACACTGCACACAAGGACTGTATAAAAACCTTTTTATTCCTTTTCAAGTAACTAGAGTTCTTAGACCAAAACTCCACAAGTACCCATAATATTATGGTAAATATGCAGGAGAATCAATCTCCAGCTCCATTCGCATCTACCAATCTAAACTGGTTGTTCCCATTATCAAGATCAATGTAGATAACTCAGGTTATGGACACCAAATCAAGATCAGACATTGAGAGGCATCAGTCCTATATTAGAACCATGCCAAGAGTGTGTCAGCACGCCATAACACCAACATAACTTCGAAAGCTTGCAGGAGGATGAAGCATATGAACTCAACCTGAGATTAAAACAGGAGGATGCTAAGGCTGATGACTTCCTTCCAGCAGTGCATTTAATTGTTGTTTGGTAACATAGTACTCCTGCGCTTGGAACTTTGGAAGGTGAGATCCATCCAAAACTATAGCTAACTGGAAAGTGGAGAAAACAACCCCCTAAACTACTCCAGAGCACCATCACCATGCGCTGCACAAAACTGGAGAAGAACTACCGTGTCCGTATGTGCCCAGAAAGATCAAATCCTGCTCCAGTTCTAGGACACCTGGTGATGTTTCAGTCCACACCAGATTAATTCAAATTAGCTCGACATTGAAACATAATCAAACAAGATCATGAACTTTCCAAATAATAGAGAAACAGAACCAAGTAGCTATCTATATCGAATCAAATCGGATCAAATATCCTTTCGATCGGATACTAAGTTTCTTTTACCTTCTAACAGGACTGTCATGATACTGTTTGGACTGCACGGTGGCACTCCCGTCCAGCCACCATGTTAATCACACGACAAAAACAAAAACCCAGCGCGGTTGTCTATTACTAGTTTGGCATGGGAATCTAAAGCTCAAATTACAACAACTTCCTAGTGCTTAGTGTGGTATTGCCTTCATGAACTTCCAGGCAGAAACAAACAGCAACGGCACATCCTTCCACCCAATCATCAAGCTCTTGTAATCCAACGCCATCAAGCACGAAGCCGCGTACGGCGACCGGCGAATCACCAAATTAGCATGCTGCAAAGCCAGCCCTCTCACCGGAATCTCCAGCATCCCAAATCGTGCAAAGTACTTCCTCCAAACCCTAATCTTCACATCCCGAATGACCCTCTCCTCCCCTTCCGCCACCAAAACGTTTCGAATCCGGTCGTTCAAATACCATGACTCCACCGCCGCTCTCGCCTCCTCGTTCCCTTCCATACACGTCGCCAGGCTGTCGAAGTACCCGCCGACGGTGAACAGCGCCTCCACGAACCGGTGGCCGAAATCGGGAGCGTTGTGGTTCGCCTCCGTCTCGATCACCACCATCACGCGCGGGCGTACGGCCCGGATCAGCTTCATCATCGCCTCCAGCAGCATGGGCCTTCCGATCATTGGGCCGAGCGCGAACTCGGAGAGCACCACCGCGGCCTCGTTGGGCTCGAGGTCCAGCTGGTCCTTGTGGGCCCCAGAGGGGAACGTGCAGAACCGGACCACGTTGAAGGAAAAAGGCATGCCCATCCCGCGGGCGAAATCCGCCAGCCGACGGCCCGACCCTTCCATGAACTGCTCCTCCGCCGCGTCGTGGGCCAGGGCGGTGATCCGGAGCAGCTCGATCGGGTCGGGTCGGACCGACAGGGCCTGCATGAGGGCGATCGCCGGCAGGCCGCATCCCGTCCGGAGCTCGATCAAGTGGATCCGCTTCTCCCCGGCGACGTTCTCCACCATGATCTGGACGGCGGCGAGCTGGGACGCGTTGTAGAAGGGCACCCTGTTTCGGAACTCCGTCGCGTTCTTGTCCGGCAGCGTCACCGCGGTGTCGGAATCGAACGGCTTCTTATAACCCCCACCACCTGTTATTCCTCTTCCGCCGCCGGTCTGTTCGATTTCGATCCTCTGGCGAAGGGCGTTGCAGAAGTAGTACCCGACCCGTTGAACCGGGTTGCCGGTTTGGGAAGCGAGGCGGTCGCAGATGCTGAGAAGGCCGATTGCGCGGTCGAAGCTTCCTTTCCCGACTTTCTCGGCGCAGGCGAGGAGGCACTCCATGAGCTCCACGTTCTTGGCTTCTTCCGGAGTAAGGGCGGCGCCGCCGCCGTCGTCGGAAGCAGGGGGGAGGATGTGAAACGGGTTGTTGAGCATGGAAGGGACATCAATCCCCTGCATTGACGATCTCGATTGTATGATTCTCGCCCCTGCCAGCTTTATGATTTCGTTGGTCCACAACTGCCTGCTGCCGTCTTCCGCCGCCGCCGAATCGCGGTTTCTCTTGGCAGTTTTGGAGGAGAGGCGGTGCTTGAGAATGTCGAACCATGCTCTGGGATGAAAGGGTCGTTGCTGTTGCTGGTGATCATTAATGTCGTAGCTCAATTGTTTTAATTCTTCTTCCTCTTCCTCTCGCTCTTCTTCTTCTTCCTCCTCGCCGCAGAGGAATTCAAGCTCCGCCATGTCCATGATCCCAAAATCCGGGAAGGAGTCCTCATCGAAAAGCTGCAGATCTGGTGGTAAGTCTGTGAAATCTGCCGCCGGGAACTGGTGGTTGATATTCTCCATGAATTAATTTCTGGGTGTTAGAGGGGATGCAATCGGTTTAGTACTGTTTCGATTCATTGACGCACTAATTATATATAGTTGGCTCGTCGTGTAGGCCGGACGATTCGTATTAAGCTGCCTGCCAGAGTGATGTCGGCCGGACGAATCCTTTCGTTACCGATGACGACAAATCAAGTGGTACAAGTTACAGCAGATGGCGTGGGCGCAGCATCCTCTCGACGGCTTGTTTAATTAATGCAAACCCCATCCAGCCCCCCAATAAGATGAGAGAAATTCTAGTTTCGTGTCGCCTTGCAGTGTTGTTGATGATGCGAATGCAGTTTGTTTGTTTGTTTGTTTCTTCGTTCCCTCGGGTTGAGCTTTGACTGGGTTTCGTCGCTGGCTAGAAGGTGCCACACTGCTGCTGCCTTGCTGCCTTGTTTTGCTATGGACGATCGATTTAAGGTGTTGAGGACTGGAAAATTTAGGACCCTTATCCTAATGCTTTGTTTGGATGAAGGAATGTCTGGAATTTTTCCCCATAGTTTCATGCCGTTTTTATCTCAAAGGGTCTTTTAGCAGTAAATGACGAGATGAATGTATAGAGAGCTTCATAACCTAACAACAAAGCATCCGAATGCTCGAATGCTCAAATAAGAGAAACTCGAGTAATAAATATAGCGGAACTGATCTATATCGAGATTGAGGATAGAGATTTACATTCCGAAATCTGAACAACAGAGTTCGCAAAGATCGAGATATATTAGTTCCGGGGAGATTATCGAGCCAGAAAACGATCAGATGATTAACTGCAAAAGACAACAACAAATACAACCATTAAACTAAACTAGTGGATTCCGCCAACAACAAATAGAATGAAAGAAACACATAAGGGAGATTATGAGGCAAACCTCACTACTTATAGTAAGCATTCTATATAGGCTATAGGCATACCACAAATTAAACCAAAGTAAGCATTCTATATGTGCAAACTGACAATCTAAAAAGCACCTCGTTGATGAATTGAGCTTAGAGTTATAGGTTGGTGGAATTGCCCCATTGATTCCTCTCAAAAATAAAATCATGAACGCACAAAGGAAGTGTATTACATGATTTACAGGCCAATAATCACCACCACCAAAAAGTTTCAAATCCATTAAAAAAACACTCACAAAAGGAAACAAAAAGAATCTGGAATTGGCTTGCAAAGAAATGGCAGAGGAAGAAACAGAGAGCGACAAAGAAATACCTGTCTGACTCGCACGAAACTACACCACAATAAAACTCCAACTAGAGCTCAAATTTTTAAACTCTAGTCGGGTGCAGTATATGACAAGTATTTAGATATCGACCCGGGCCGATCCGTCTACCCCTACTTCGTTTGTTGAAATCATTATCTAGCAACAAAGTTTTGGTTTAAAGGTTTGCTAATTGAAATAACAAAAGGCAAAGGTAAATGGTTTTGAAAACTCTTTTGTGGAAGGATCACTGGGGTGTCGCTTCCTCCTAACTGCTACCATGATATGTAAATTGGAACGATTGCTTTGGGCACGGTAATCGCGAACCACAGAGGGATGCATATATGGTCGGAGACCACAATCTCAATTGCTAAACCGAGGTAAGCATGAAAGGTCGTGTCACTCAACCCTCTCAGTTTAGACAATCTGTAATTGACTTACTCCCTCACTCAACTCAAAGGTCGGACGGTTTAATCCTGATTAACCGATTTGCTTAAGTCAACATTGAGGGTTGCCCTAACTTAACCTAGTTAGGTGGCTTAGAAAGCGGAAGGAAAACCAACTCGATTAAGTCTCCCTAGGAATGAGGATTTTCCTCTCTAAGCTAGGCTAAGGTGGCTAATTAGATTGCTAGCACCAACATGCACAAACCTAAGGGTGCTAATCACAATTATGCACAATCCTTAGGTTGCTAAGCACCTAAATGCACAAACCCAAGGATGCTAAGCATAAAACATGCACAACCCCTATGTTGCTAAGCACAAGCATGCATAATCATGATAAATAATGCCTCAACAATTGAATTGAACAATACCTAATGGCAATCATCCAATACACATAAAAGAAAACTACATGGTAGAGTTAGGGTTTCACAACATCCAAGTGAAAGGAGGTCTACTCCATGCTAGAAGTGGGAAAAACAAAAGGGAAAGAGGTGGAAACCATCTTGGAGGATTCTCTCTCTAGAATGTTGAAGAAGTTTTTTCACACAGTGGGCTCTCCCCTCTCTCCTCCTTTCAGCTCATCATTTAAACTAGAGACGAGCTGAGATCATGGCCTGAGTTCACGGTCGTGAACCACGAAACGCGTCTGTGAACTGCAGGCGTGAGCCAAAACGCACCGCGTCGATCTCTTCTATTCACGGTCAACAACCTT